TTATTTTGGTGATTTGTGTATTTTAGCACTTTTGCTTCAACTGAATTTTTAGAAAATTAAAAGTTGTAGACAAGAAATTCGTATCTTTCAAGGAGCTTTTAAAATTATACATTCAAAGTTTTAATTTGTTATGATACTTAATATTGTATTTTATTAACTATATTTATAATATAATTTTTGAAACCAGAACATTAAGTTTGATCGTATAAAATAAATTTATCTATATTTTACAACTTTAAATATCTTAAATAATTTAAAAGCTTTTTAAAGGTTTTAAGAACTTTAGGTTGTTTTATGTTATACTCCTTTTTTGATTCAGTAGTTGTCAATAGAAAATTGTTTTACAATTCCTGAGGTCAAATGTTTAACTACTCAAACAAAATAATACCTCTTTCCTGTTTAATTTCAAAAGATTATAACTTTTAAATAGTATACCTATTTTTATGACTGGCTGTAAAGCACCCTGGACAAAAATAGGATTTCCTTTTGGCCACAATTGTCGGCACAAGTCAAATGATTAGTAATTAATTGATCGGCGTGTGATCGCACTTTGTGTGGAGCTGATAGGCGAGGTTTTTGAGCCTTTTGTTCGGCGTACTTAGCCAGATGAGTGGAACGGGCAATGAGATCACTTTTTATACTGAAACGCAACGAGTCTGTGGACTGTGCCTTGACTATGGGATGATTATTCGGAAAAGTTGTTTATAGACAGAAGCACAACGCAGCGCTGTGAATGCCTTTTCATGTTCCAATGGTGATGGTGATGATGATGCCAGGTCCGGTGCTGATGTCACAGTAGTGGAAATGGCTTCATTCTTTTATTTATACACTGCATTTGCTTTGTCTGATTTAATTCCCATTGTCTTGTTAGGCCGCAAAGTTTCCCCCAAATACAAAAATTTGGCTGCATCTTGATTCAGTTTTGGGCTAACGTATTTTTAGACGCTTGTTTGGCATGAAAAATAGGTATCTCAAGGGACAGGAGACTGGGCTGGCTGTGCTATTTTCGTATAATTCTCTCGCCCTGCTTTCTGGTTTATTTTCAAATTTAGCAGCATTTTTTCTTTTTAGTTATTTTGCTTTTTTTTTTTTTTTTTTGCCTTGGTCTACTCGAACTTGTCTTGTCACGGCGGAAAATGTGATTAAAAATAGAGTTTTTTAGAGTTTTCTGGGATTTTCAGCTGTTTCGTTTGGCTTCTTGTTTTTCGGATTTGGTTGTTCAACATATGGACTCATTTGTATATTTTCATAATACACAAAAAAGTTACAGAAATAATAAGGAATTGGTTGGAAATGGTTTTAATTATGAGAACATTCAGTTTTAACTAAACAAAATGAGCTTTATTTATTTAATTTAACTTTGGGAACCGTGTAAATTTCCGAAACAGAAATGTTTTTCTCCCACCATCAATTTGATTAATTACCTCTAATAAATCTTTGCAACTATATAGCGTCATAAACACAAGTTGCACAGGCAATATAACCTATTTTAAGGTTATTTCAACTCGTTTTCGTTGACTAACAAACTCTACGTTGAAAATATATTTTGTTGTAAAATACAGTTTGTCATCCCCTGTCATGTTCTAAGTGTTATCACGTTGATTTAAACGACAGCTTAAATTTAACGATATTATATAATACGACAAATCTCCTTGCCAATAAAATTTGAAGAAAAATAATCTTGAAATTCCACATTCTAGATTTTGATCAAAAATGTGTGTTAATTTATTCGTTTCTGTTGCAATTATATATTTTACAATAAACGTTTTGCTGAGAACCCACGCGTCTCCAACGAATGGGAAACATATAAGAAATTTACCTATATCTCGTTGTATACGTAGATGTATAATTGCTAAAAATAGGGAATTCTTGAAACTAATTTTATCATTTTTCGCACGTAGAAATCGGGCAGGGATGATGATATCTAGACATATGCAAATGCCTCAACTCAAACAAATCAAAATTGTTGACAGTTGCCCAGTTCTCTGTCTTCTTTTTTTTTAATTGCTTTTCTGCCAGTTGCTTATAAGTATGTGCACTCAAACATTTATGGCTAATAGTTTATATCGTTTACATAGCTTAATTTTTGTGCAAATAAACCATCTTGACTGATCTTAAAAGGAATTCATATATCTTTAATTGCCTCCTCAACTGACTAATGCCTCAGAGCTGAAAAATATGTATTTGGCATTTTCACTAGATCAATTTTTATTTAGAGAAGCGATTGTGATGCCTTGAAGTCAATATTTGAAGACCAAGATGCGCTGTTCGTTTGCCTTGCCATTAAGTGAGCAACTTTATGGTTAGGTGTGAAATAAATGAGGAAACATCAAATATATCTTGGGGAAAAAGAAAAATTACCGAAAGTGCTGAATATCGAAGCTTTCGAGAGCGGAAACCAATGTTTATGCGAAATAATGTTTGCCCAGAAGTCGAATTGGGTGCTGGAGATTGGTATAAATATAGATGGTCTATACTTAGGCCTTGATGTACATACTTAAATGTGCAACTCGATCATGAATCTATATTCAAGGATACAGTTGGCCTAAAGGAAACCTAATTAAGTAGTAATTTAGCGAATATGTATTCATTTATTACCAATTAGTTGAGCCATGCTAAAAAATCATTAAATCATTTACTCGTTCATTTCTCTTTTATTTCTCCACTGATCAAAGAAGGTACTTTAAGCATCCTTTATAAATCTTGCTTTTCCACTTTTTATTTTCTTGTTTTTTTTTTTAATGGATTTCCATGTTTCTACTTATCTCAGTTACAACCGAATTACTCATGGCCTTTCAAGTGGGTGCCACTTTACATTTTACAACCCGCACAGTGGCTCACACCCAGAGGAGCTCGTAAACAAAATTATGCTATAAAATAAAATTGAACATGTGAATTCTCTCAGAAAGGCGCCACTTTGTAGAGCCTTTGTTTGCCACTATTTTTGGGGGCCAGCTGTTCGTTCCGGACACCAATGTTTACAATGTACATATTCGAATTTTACATGATAATTCAAGTGTGTGTGGCATTGTTGTTATGGTCATTATAATAAGATTCAAAAGAATCATGTTGAAAATTGTAAAGTGCCTTTTTCATATCATATGAGTTTTTGGGGGTAATATCATTTATAAGACTAAATATAGATTTCAAAAAGTTTTTAAAATAATGGGTTTTTAAATCACCCAATCTCTTTCAAAGATACTATTTAAATTATAAGTTAACTTACAAGATAGATAGGTAATTATTATTTATACATATATTTTTTGTTTGTAAGTACAGTGGTTTGCTTTTAAGGGGCTTTTAAAATTTCAGTTTTTAGTTGATTGCTTTCGAATTCATTAATATCCGTCGACCTTTGTTCAGAATTAGAAGTTGTCTATGAATAACAAATTAAATTGCGTTGCAAGCAAATTGCTTTAGGCCATTTGAAGTGCAACTTTATGTTTCAGGGCCAACTTCTCGTAGTGACAGTGATCATATAGAAATATCAGTTGCAATGCAATCACCGCACCGTGACGTCATTAGTCTAGTCTGGTTTTGAAATACACGGGCAAAACTTGTTTATTTCTTTTTCGGGATTATGTAAGCTTCAAACACGAAGAAAAAACATTTGTTTTGGTTCGAATTTATGAATGGCTTTCATTAAGTGCCGCTTGTAAGTTGAGCTTTCCATGCGCTGACCCATATTTTTGTCGCTCCTCTCTCTCAATTGCAGTTTTTTTTTGTAAATGTTTGTAAAATGATCCATCAGGGTTGTTGTTTATAATCCATATGGGTATAAACAACCACCAGTCAAGGGCTTGGTAATTGATATATTCTCACGCTCCATGATGTCACGCACTTAAGGTAAAAGTGTATGGTAAAAGGTTTACAATTACAATTACAATTGCAGACCAAAGTACTTGCAATTTGAATGCCACCCATTCATGCAGAAGAGCGGATAACTTTAATCTTTCGGAGAGAGCTTGGGAGAAATGGAGAGAGTGCTGGGACTCTCTGAGAGACTCGAGCGTAACTGTTAACCTACGTACTCATATCATTCAAAGATTTTAACACCCCATAAAGTTGAGCTTTTTTTGCGTCGTTAGAATATTTAAAACCTAATTTAATTTGTATGGTTTATTAAAGAATAAGAAATAGTAGAATGGTGAAGCAATTTAGCTTGTTGAAAATAATATTTTTTTAAACTGCTACTTATTTTAAGGGGTTGGACTAAAATAACAATTTATAAACTATTTGTCAAGTTTTTAAGTAATGAATAGAGTTTATGCAAATTATTGGCAATAAAGCAATTAAAAAGTTTGCAATCGGCAATCCATTAGGTAGCCATATTAAAGCTTACCATTTCAAAACCTTAATTTTATTATGTATAAAACAAGAGAATTTTCCTTTAGGAAGTTTGACATAAATAAGTTCATGAATAGTATTCAAATTTAATTTACAATTTATTTATTTGGTCATGTTTTTTTTTCAAATTGGTTAACAATTTAAATCGTTAGTTTTCAGTTATTCCAAAGATAAAATCTGTTAAAAAGTTGTTTGCAATAAAATTGTTTTAACCGGAAAAGAAACTGGGTATTGCTTACCCGACATAGTTGACCTTGTAAAATTACTTGGAACTATAAAACGTTTCTCCAAAAATGCCTCACCCCCTTCAAAAAAAAGCCGGCTACTGCGCCACTGACCGTAAATAATAACAATAAAGACGGTTGAAACTCGATGAGTACGTTACGTGCTGGAGTGGTAAACAACATCCATCAAAAGGCGTACCAAATATTGCGTGTGCACTCTCTCTCTCTTCGCATTGCTCTCTGGCCTTATGCGATATGGCTCTCTAAGAGACTCTCCCGATTTGAAAAATACCAACACACCAAATGAGCACAGACTCTGGGAAACATGAGCTTTACTACTACGATTACTATACGATTCTCTCACGATTTTTGTGGACTGGACAAGGCGTAGCATATTGAACGTCGTGGGTTTTGGTTTGGGCTCAGGTTCAGTATCAGTATCGAACCGGCTTTCTACGACAGCGGATTGGAATCGCGGAGCGACAAAGTCGCCGGGCGTGTAGTGATGTGATATAGCCGCCTGCCCACCAGGCTAAGCACAAAAAAAGTGAAAAGTGAATAAAAAACCCAAAAATCCTAATTCCCAAGTGAGAATTACGAGCGAAATACGAATTTTTCTTACCCAACCGCATGAGATAATCTCAGGTTGGCATTGTGTCTAAACCTCTAATAAAAAAAAAAAAAAAAAAAAAAAGCTTTAAGTGTTAAACATAATAAAAAGAAGAAGCTTGTGTATTTGCTTTTAAGCAAATTAAAGTTGAGTTACGTGTGCCGAAAAAAATAAAATTGACTGAAGGCCATTCAAGGGTTGTTCAAAGGAAAATTCGGCACTCACGGTGTGTGTGTGTGCGTTGCGTGAGAAAAATCAATTCTGCATTGGTGGAAAACCGGAGGAGGAGAAAAGTGGAAGAGGAAAAGGAAAAGGACAAAGCTAAAGGCTGGTTTTTGGTGGCTTGCGAAAAACTCGTAACCGATGACAATTTGGCTTGACGAGGGTCTATTAGCGAAATCAATGCCATTATGGCTGATAACGGAGGGCCAGGATCCAAGCACAAGGATCCCAGAACCATAGATGCCGGCGAAGGAGGAGGCGATGACGTGCCTCCAGTGCCAGCTGTTCGCCGGCGTCGCGCGCATGAGCAGAAATCCTCGAGAGAACATGTGGAGGAAAAGCAGAAGAAGGAGGTGCAGGGTCAGGAGGGCCAACAGCTGGAGACATCGACGGTGACAAGGACCTATATGAAGACCATCACCACCTCACTGACCACCTCGAGTAGCTCCAATGTGGAGGAGTTTGTCCTGGAGGAGCCATCACTTGCAGCAGTAGCTCCATCGCCGAATCAGCAGAGATTGCGTCAAAAGGTGGCACAGTATGAAAAGGTCTGGTCGTCGGATGGCTCCCATAGCGTGAAGAGACCCGCTGACCAGAGCGCCGATGAGCTGCGTCTGGCCGACGACGTGCAGGATGACCAGTACGATGCCGAGAATCCCTTCGACATCGATGTCCATGAGATTGAGCGGCGGCTGCGCCAGGAGCGGCAACGTGGCCTGGCCGAGGCGGAGGCAGCCAAGCTGGCCTTCCAGCAGGTCCAACTGCGGCACACAACTCCTCCGCGTCGCGTGGAGGTGACCAGTGACCAGGTGGCCAGTCCCTTCAATGTCACCCTTCGCACCACCAGTCGCATGAGTCCTGGTGCCGAGCAGGGCAACGTGGAGGAGCATCTCGCCCCCTTCAATGTGACTTTAAGGACCACTCGAAGGAGCAAGAAAAAAGAGATTAAAGAACTCGAAAGCTTCCTCGAAGGAGAACGTACTGTGCGGGAGGTGCCATCGGCGGATGGCGTGAGGACCATCATCACCTCCTCGATGACCAGCGATGGTGGCTATGCCGAGGAGAAAATCTATCGCCATGGCGAGGGTTATGTATCCCCGAGAGATTCACCCTCCTGGTCGCGTTCCAGCTACTCCAGCGAGCGATCCAATGTGACGCCACCGAGGAGCGTGGATCTAACCGCCGGCGGACGAAGGATTCTGATCAAACTGGAGCAGGAAAGTGAACTAATCGAGGCGGACAGCCAGCAGAGGGACGAGACCGACTCGTCGTTTGGTCGGCAGGAAGTGGCCATGGCAACCGGCAACATTGACATTACCGTCGGCGGTAGCAACCCCCGCCGGCGTTTGTACCAGCAAACAACTGTCCAAATGGGTGGCGGCAACACCACCACCCCCGCCGACGAACTAACACCCCAAAGGCCCAGGCCCAGGGACTTGGCTTTGGGCACCAGCACCAGCACCACCAAGACAATGCTTACATCCACGCCAATTGGCACGAAGGAGCAACCGCAAACGGGTCCGAACACTCCAGTTAGTCCAGCTGCAACGTGCCAATTGCGTGGTTCTTCGACGGAAGAGCCCCGGAAAATTGTAAGCCACAAAACGATAACCAGCACAACGACCACAAAGTCCACTTCATCATCCTCCTCGTCCACGTCCACGTCCACGTCGCGCAAACTAATCGAATTGTCGTCGTCGCCGCCGGTAGTCGGAAATATCTCGCAAATACGTACGGAAAACAACGATATCGACATCGATAACGATTCGGACACGGAGGGCAGACCGGCCAGTAGCATAGTGATTGTGTCCACCCCCACGCGACCCACCACACCGGCATCCGCATCCGCATCCGCATCCGTATCTGTATCCGCATCCGTAACCCCATCCGCATCCGTATCCGCGTCAGCTGCCCACGCCCTCAGCGGCATCGGCACTTTCAGCAAGAGTCTGCGCCAGGATTATCAGACTCTAGCAACGCAAAGTGGCCGCAGCAACGAATCACCCAGTGAACAGGAATACCAGGAGTTCCAGTCCACCATGGCGTCCATTAATTATGCGCGCAGCAATTCCCAGTACGACAGCCATATCAAGGAGAAACGAGGTAAAGATCGGGAGTAATATGGTTAGAATACCGAAAGAGATTTGGAAAATATATATCTATAAATTCAAATAAATAGGTTTAAAAGGAAGCTTGGTCATATGCTATGCATTCAATACTCTTTTCTAAACGATTATATTGCTTTTAAAGAAAGAATTTTTTCCAAGAAACTAAGGCTGCAAACCTTCTACTCTTATCTTTTACAATGTCTCCAAATTAATCCCCCACAATTAGTCTATTTTGAGCTAGATCTTATCTTAACTTAAAACCCCCACCCAAGATAAGGAGAATTGCAATGTTTAGCTATTTTGCTCGTTTCCTGTTTAGCAAACCGATAGGTCTCTATAAAAGGCAAAGGTATTTAAAAGATTCACTATAGATTGTCAAGGTCAGTCGGCGGTACTTTGTGGTTACAGAGCTAAAGCGAGAGATATTTGTATGCTTAATTAATTATTACACAAAAACAATCGATAAAAAACACAACGGCCAAAATGACATCATCCATCGTCTCTAGACGTAGAAATTCGAACTTTAACTTGTTTAGCCGGCTGTTTGTTGTTGCTATAAGTCGTTATAAGTCAGTCGGTCGGTTGGTCGCGCCCCGAACTTCTATATCTCGATTTATATTATTTATATACTGGCGCACAGTGCGTTTGTTATGTATTCGCCGCATCGACTGTTGGCAAGCAATTTGTTACCTCTTTCCTTGGGTCGAAAATATAAATTTATTGGCAGCAGCGAAGAGCACTCGAAGGAAAGCACCCCCAGTACACGTAGATGGGGTTCGGTTGGATTGGATTGGATTGGATTGTTGTCTGTATTATGTGACCTCCATGGCTGTTATTATGTTAAGCACAACAACCAATTAAGTGTCTGGCAGGCTGTCTGTCGTATGTCGCCTCAAAATGTTGATCTGAGTGGATCGAACAGGCTGTCCGCCGAATGACTAGCGCAATTTTGGGCTGCACTTGTGACGATGGTACATACTTTTGTACACATTGTGCTCTATGCAAATATTTTCAGACACACACATGTGTCTCTATAGATACACCGTTGGTGTGTTAATCATATACGAGCATTTTGTGTGCATTATCTTTAGTATATGACGATTATTGCATGAAGAATATTTTATGGAAATTGATTTTTCATGTTTATCATTTGGGTTGTTGAGAGGGTTTCATTGTTGCGATAAGGTCTGACAATGATGAATTGAATTGAATTATTCTATAATTTTTGAAAAGGTCAAGTGCAGCAATTATGATAGTTAAATTGTATGGCTTTAATTTCTTATTTTTAACAACCTTAATAAAGTGTGCGTTATATTAAATTCACAATTATTTCTTACTGCGAGTTTATCTTAGCAAAACTTTCAGCAGGGTATCCCCAAAAACCTTAAACATATCTGTAAGCCGATAGATGTCTTCATATGATAATTAGTGAGCATAAATCAAGTTTGCGTGAGTTAAAGTATTAATTTTTCTCTTCTCGGGGATCATCGTCAATGTCAGCATAACGGCTCGCTGTCAAATATTTTGATGTTGCGTGTTTCAACAAACTTTTCGACTGCTTCGATAAATTTGTTTGACAAAGCAGCAAAATTTGCCCCAAATGTGTGCCATATAACTATATTGGCTGGCCCTAGGCACACACCACATCATATGAAGCGACATGAAGACAGCGCTTTATAAATTTATAAGCCAGCAAAAGTACGTCAAGCGTTCACTAATTGATGGCAGAGAGTCACATGTATATACATAGTATAGTAAACTATTGATTGGTGCCTTTTGACTTGGTTTCAATATATGTCCTCACTTTTCCAGCAATTATCATTAATGCCATTTTAATGGGTGTGCAAAAATGGAAACACAACCTGTAACTCTTTCAATATTTATAATATGTGACTTGCGGTATATCAGCCATTGAGCTTCATCAAGCCGCATTTCAAAGACGAATTTGACTATGAATATGATTTATGAGAGATATTCAATGCGCGGATCAATGAAAATAAAAACAAATTTCAAAACAAAGTGGCTTGTAGCGTTATCTCAGGCGATCTGCCTGATGAGTTCGTTATTGTAAGTAATCCACACAAACGAAACAATCCCAACAGCAGCCGTACAACTGAGATCATCGGCGAGTTGTTTATTGATTCTGGCATTGTTGTATTGTCGTTCCGACTGACACTATCTGTCAGTTATAATATTTATAGGGCATGCAGTTAAGCGGCTTTTAATTGATGCCTAAAATGCGGTCCAGAGAAGTTGGCGCCTCGTTCTGAGGTTTTGTAAATTAAGAAGCGAATCAAAGCCGAACTTGAAGTACCCACAAACTGACACTCAGATACAAAGTTTGCTCTTAACCCACAAAGTATATTTATGCCGTTTTTTGATGTGGGAGACTCGCTCTCCATATGTTGCTCATGTGGATAAGAAATTAAAAAAATTTAATTTCGTGGCTTCCTCCTCCTCAATTTTCAGTTCTGCTCGTGGGCAGATCTTTTGAAGATCTCTTCTAGAGCTTCTTTTGCGGTTTTCATCGTGGCATACAAATTATCTTTTATGTTTTTTGTTGCCTTATTTATTTTCTTTACGTTTTAGGTGCTCAATCATTTAGTTTTTGAGTTTTTAGCTATCGGGATCTGTTGGTTTAGTGAACGGTATTAATGACAAAAATAAATAAACACACGTACGCCTTTTGATTTTTGGTAAATATACAGAAGTACATATACTTAGTTATGACGCAATCTCACCACTTGACTCTAAATATGTACAATCCTATATCGTATTTGCATCTAATATTTTCGAGTAGCTGTGAAATACTGTTTATATGGATGGGGCGGTGGTTTGTGTGGAGGGGGCAACCTGTCGAAGGCATTGGAGCGTAAAGCTAAGTAATGCCATTTATAAGACTCTTCAACATGTTGGCTACAGGCAATTTATGCGGGCTTTTCTGACATACAAGTATTTACTGCTGCTCACTTGTCGCCGCAGGTGACAACAGCAAGTGCAACTCGACACACCTCACTGGGTTTTCGTTGCTTGTGCTGAAATTTAAATTTAAACGAAATTTAAACAGTTGATATAATAATTATATAGCTGCCTATGCTGCAGTGATCATCACATGGTTGATTGCCTATGTGGAAGGTCAACATTTTGAGTAGTTTTCGTTTATTATATTATATTACTTTCCTTATCAAGTACCCCTAACTTCAGGAAATGTTGTTAAATGAGTCAGTGTCAGTTTAAGTTTAGATAATATTTTGGCTTTTAAATTGGGGGTTTTGTGAAAGAATGCAAGATAGCAATGTTTTTTCCGAAAATATAAAGAGTACATAAAGTTTATTTTTGTTTAAATTGCATTTTCTTTATTCTTCCGTTTAAATAGCCCGACATATGCTCTATATCGTCTGCATTCAAACACACACACTCCCCTCAAACAATTCGATTGCCTTTTGTTTATGCAAATGTAGAGGAACATTTTTCGTATTTGGTTTTTTTTCTTTTCTTTTGGGTGGAAAGCCCAAACAATTAGCTATGCGTGAATGTAAATAAACTATTTTTACCGAACACTATTTTTTTGTTCTTTCACTGAAACGGTCGAGCTTCATTTCTATTTATGTATTGTAACTAGGCCAACTCAGACAGTTGGGCGACTGAAGCTGAACATATAAAAAAAACTGACTGCCCTTTCAGTACTTCAACTTTTTTTTGTTAAAATGCTCAGTAATTGGTAATTATTTTTAACGTAAAGGAAAGCTCACGGGTTTCATTCATAAAAGCGTACAGATTTTCAAAGAATTATATATCATAAGTTTTTTTTTTTGGGTTTTCCACTTGCCTTTAGTCCCGCTCATTAAACAGCAAAAATAGCGAAATAAACATAAATAACAATCTACCGACTTATCATTATAATCACCATCATTAACTGACTGACTGACTGAACCATTCATAAGATGGAGTAAAAAAGAACCGACAACAGAAACAGTCAAAAGAGAAGAAAACCATTTACCGCTGCTGAAATTCTTTGTTTTCATTTTTTAAGAATTTATAATGTTTATTTCCCCAGGCATCTTGTAATCATTTCATACATCATTATTGAAATGGAAATTGAAATTAACAAACCTGAAAAGTCATTCAACTTGAACGTTACTCCCTGGCCTGATTTTGCCCCTTGTTAATTGTGCTACGCATAATGCGGTGTAGAAATCAAACACGTTTCTGTATGCTTTTACTTTTGATATTGCTGTTCGATTTTGTCTACAGTTTTTCTGTCTATCTTAACTGATTGAGCAAAGCACTCAAAGTAAAGCAGAAGTAATTGCCTTTAACTTTTATTGGATTCCATAGGTTTGTTTATACAACTTTAGGCTTTATAATATCGGATTGTACTTTAACTTCTCTGTAATTGTATAAAAGAATTATAGTATAATTTAATATTTCTTACATTTAAGCACGATCGAAAAATAAGGGTAATTGATGGAACACTTTATTAATTTTTGGTCGACTGGAATATTACACAACGTTTGATTAGTTTGACCCGCATTTTTCGCAATACATTGTTATATAGCCCTTATCAGTCTTTTCAACTTCAAGTGCATTTTCCTATCTTTGCAATAATTGGCATATGTGTTTGCTGATAAGAGTTTTGGTAGTAAAATATAAAACAATAAACAAATATTCACATGATTTATGGCATACTAAAATACTAACTAATCAACATGTGTCATGCCATAGCATTTATTTTTGGTCAGACCAAGACCAAAATACTACAAAAATTGGCAACTCGTTTTCCAAAGAAAATTTATACAGTATGCCAAATGCGGTAGTTATGTTAATATATACGCAAAGCATTTAAAATTCGTTAACAAAAATATCAGGTTTACGTCAAACAAGTCTTTGAAGAGGCGTCTAACGCTTTTGACCAAAACAACTTAATTGTTTGGGAATGGCGAAAATACATTTAATTTGCAAGTAAAATATAAGGTGAATTTAGAAGAGAAATCAGTTTGTAGTCTAAACTTTTTTTTAAAACTTTGAGATTGTGTAAAATTTAAATTTGCGAGTAACTTAATGTCTTCTAATTTAAGAACAAATCGATTATAATTTTGTATACCTATACGTAACAGGTTTATATAACAGCTGCTAAGAGCTAAATCTGGTAAATATCAAATTTTATAAAACCAAGGCTAAATTAAATATTGCGCTTTTAAAACACAAATAAACAAAATTAAGGTAACGTTTAACGTTTGTTCCCAAACATTTGTGAAATTTCTTTGGCCCACAATGGTTTAAAGTGCCACATTTGTGTTAATTTATTATGATACCTGCTACATTGAATCTTTACAGGCCATTAGAACATTTTAAAGTGTCTGAAAAAACCCATAAAAATGGCAATTAGATTTGATTTGATATGCCAAGTTCAAGTGTACTCAATTACATAAAATTCTAGGTTTTTGCAGTGGCCGAATGTTGGCAATGTTATTTATTTCACTTTAGAAAGATGAATACACGACTTTCGGTTGCTTTGCAAATTGCGCAACCTTGAACTAATTTCTATTTAAATAATCTTTTGTCAACATTTCAAAAATTGCGTCACTCAACCAGCAATAAGTGAATGAATATTTCAATTCTAAAAGAAATTGAGTATAGATGTGACAAGTTGGGGGGATCATTTGAAATTAATTAATACAATTTGTGTGTGTTTTTACATTGTAAATTGTTCTGATAATTGCCAATGCGCTTGGCACATTCATGGCTACGTCGACTTATTTTATGTAATAATTCTTATTCCAAGCATTCTTCGTGTCTAACTGTAGAAATTTTCCATTTTCGAAAAAAATAGTATTTCTTATTTATTACGGGAAATCTATTTTCGTTTCATGTTGGCTGGCATGCGTTTGGCCAACTGCCAGGAAGCGAATAGACCACGCACTGGGCCAAGTCTTGGAGCTCGGTTCCACATGGGCTGGATTCGGTCCGAAGGGGTTGGTATTATATGGGATTATGGCCAGACAGCTGCTAGCTGCCATTTTCATTTCCATTTCGACTGCACTTTTCCATAATGACTCTGACTAATGCGTTGCCTTTTCGCTCTCTTGTGTATATTTTCATAATTGTTTACAAATCGATGTTTTTAACGCTTTGTTTATTATTTCAATTTATCGGCTAAAGAATTAAATTGAGGTAATTAAGGCACACAAAAAATGAAAGAAATGAGTAAATATTTGGTTTCGACAATCTGAGAATTTTGTGTTTACAAATTTCGGTCTACCTTGTTTGACGCAAACGAAAGGGTCAACGAAATTTGAAATATTTAGCGGTTTTTTGTTTATGGGTTGGTCTGGGACTTTCAACATTAATATTTAAATGATTCATCTTAGAAGATAAATATTTTTATTAAAATTATTTTCTAATTGAAAGAAAAGGCACTATACAAACACAGAAAAACACAAAACAAAAAATTAAAGATATTTCCAGTTAGGACTATTCAAAAAGTTCAATGTTTGCCATAAACTTAATCAACGTTTACAATTCATTTTATACCTAAAAAAAGTATTCCATAAACTTTTAGCGATAACATTGCGATAAAAACATGATGTCATTGCTTTAATTTCGCTTATATTAGCCAGCTTAACTGATAATTCAATTAAAACAAACATCAGTTGTAGGGGCAGGCAAAAATAAAATGAAAACGAAAAAACCTGTTTTATTTAACCTGTGCATACCAAGAAATGTATCTTATCGGTTGGGTTTCGTATCTTTGGTAGTATCGTCATGTCTCCGATTCGCCTTTTATGTCTCAGTCGTCTCGACTGCCGACACTTGTCCAACAATTAATTGCAAATGTACGAAATGTATTCCTCATTTACTGACATTTACCATTTTCTCTTTCTTTTTTTTCACATTTTCAGAGGAGCAAGAACGTGTGCAGAAGAAGACATTCACTAATTGGATTAATTCATACCTATTGAAGGTGAGTTTGTCTTGTCTATCCACTATCCACGGAACGTCTCAATCGATTTGCCTTTCGTCTTGAGAGTGCCAATGAATTTTGTCTACACCAAGTGGCATTGGAATTTGCATATACTCGTAGATTTGCATGTGATAAACCAAGCGTGAGAGGTTTTTTTGTGACTGCCAAAAAATAAGTGAACAAAACTAAGCCACCACAAAATGGGTTAAGGGGCGTGACACGTCCATCACTACGAATACAAAATCAGAAATTAAGCGTGATAAGTGTATTTAAGCTTTTATTTGTCGAGTAATTATGATGGAATAATAAGCGAGAAATGGTTGTTCAGCGGGTTGTGATTTATCAGATATGAAATGCGTGAAATTTGAAGGTCGCTTTATGGGTTTGTCATTGTCAAGTAAAAAAAAATGAGTTTTTTGGATCATTCAAAACTAAATTTTACATGATTAAACTATAGGACTACTGTCTTAAGCACTTTTTTTTCTCTGTTCTGTTTTTATTGAAATAAATTCTTTTGCTAGAGCTAAAAATTTCAATGTATCCCAACTTAATGGAATTCTTTTCAAATATTTATTCTGCTTCTAAGTTTTTGATCTTTTATGATTACCATAAAACCTCGCAAAATTTTTGAAAGCCCACCACTTCTATCATTAGCATACGTGTGTGCAAATATGTACATACCTCCTGGTTTCTGCACAAACATTTGTCATGTCTGAGCATATTCGAGTCACTCTTCGTTGCTGGATAGCTTCCAAGAATATCTTGTAGGCACACGCACCCAGCTCCTAGTCAGTGCGAGAAATTCCTCATAGCATTTGTCTAGGTGCTCTCCATTTTTATCCACTTTAGGCTTTTAACAATGCAAAAAAGATTGAAAAGAAAAATGGTTGGTTGCAAGAAATCCAAAGAGGTCCAGAAGTTGACGGCTGTCTGAACCGAAGTTGCTCGAAAGCGAACAACAAGAGAGTTGCATTAATGGCAAACGTATCGCTTCGCTCAGATAGTTCCGTTTCAGGCTGGGATCGGTTGGTGGCTTCAATTGCATTGGCATTAACCCGCAAGAAAAACCCACGCGACGCCTACTGACTTACTTTCTTGTCCCGAAACGAACCGAACGGAGGTGATTTAATGCACTTTTGCAGACTTCTCAGACGCTCCCCGACGTCCCGAAGTCACAGATTGAGTGAGCCATGTTTCGTTTGGTGTCTCTAATGTGTTATCTTTTAATACCAACGGCAATCTGCAGACATGAGCCGGCAATTTTTTCCTGCCCACACTACTGTGGTCAAAAAATTAGTAGATATTTTTATTTTGATAAAATATAAGACTCTTTAATTGTTCTATAATAACAATTAAAGATTAAATGTATAGTATTTTTATAGAGAGCTAAAAGCTTTTTTTTTCTTGTAACTATTTGTTGTTTAGTAACATTAACTGTGGTCAAAAAATAGTTATGTTAATAAAATGCATTAAGCATTTTAAATATTCTACATCAAATAATAATTTGTAGAACACTTTTATTGAAAACTTAACTTAACAAATTTTAACTATATTGTAGGTGAAAATAAAATTTTACCAAATTAGAAATAAATGGTAAAAATGAATCATATAAAAGCTTGCTTCTTGAAAATTTCAAATATTGATATTTCCTATTTAAATACCATATTCCAAGCAATTTTATACTTTTGGACCAACTTTAAAAATACATTATTTTAATGTACCAATGCCAGTGTTTCTTTGCCTCTCCTATATATGAGTGCATGTACGAAAACTGTTGCCGGCCGGCCGGCAATTATTGCAATACAATCCAATCCAATCCGGGCAGCCATTGAAAACCAGTTCCTTTGCCTTTGACTCAAAGACTGAAAGACTGCAGCTCGATAAGGCTGCGGTGACTGTCGGCCGGCTATGTGGCACATAAAAGGAGCAGCAGACATGCAAGGCTCTCTGATTTGATTTCCAGAATGCGTGGGCTCGGCTTCCCTGATTGAAGTCATATTTTAGCCGTCCCAGGAGTCGGAGATGCAACATCTACATTGCGGTTATGCAATATGCAAATGAGTCACTTAATGTGCATAATGACAAGGCAAATTGCGTTCGCTGTGGCTGTCGCTGCCTTTGCTGCCTTTGCAATTGCACAACGATTGGTTTGACACGTTTCACTCGAAGCAATAGATAAAATGACAAGAAAAAAATATTACTGTTGCTTTTACTAATAAAAAGTGATTTATTTAATTTGTGTGTTACCTATTGAAGCTTCGTTAGACTTGTCAATTAGCAAGCATCTTCCATTCCCCGTATATTTGTATATTTGTATGCAATAGATAGATACACACACTCAGCATGCCAAGTAAAATTTGTGATGGGGGGCAGCCGAAAAAAATGTTTGTTTTATTTCAAGCTCAGTTCAAGGTGAACGGGGTTTTATTTGGTTTCGCTGACGACCCAAAAACCCGCTCTGGACGCTCGCTTTTCATAGAATTTGATTAAAATTTATGAATTAATTTATACGCTTGAACTGAACCAGCGTGGTGGGTCGCAATGACATAGTTCGTTGGATGTTCAATTTTTGAGTGGCTGCCCTGGTCTGGTCTGGTCCCATACAAACCAAGTTCTCCACACACCCGTTCGCTTTCATTTCTTTATGACATAATTGATGGCAACGCCCCGGCACGAGTCGTGCCCTCCACTCAACTCAGCTCAACTCAACTCCCGCATGGGGAATCCATATGGTGGACCCCATAAAACCAAAGTGAAAGGATCAAGCTATTAGAGGTGATTAAATTAGAAAGGATTCCATGGCTAGAAAGTGGGTTACAAACGCTGGGGTAGAAACATTTGTCAGGTGCTCATTTAATTGTGTTGGACAGGTGACAAGTGAAAAGATTAGAGAAGATTTACAATCTTGTTAACACCGTATCACCCAAGCTGACAGATTATGGTTAGAACTGACTGATAAAATTGGTTTTTCAAAATTTTATATAATAAATTACTTTAAATTAATTATCTGCGCTTCTGGGAGTTTTGAATTCTTATGTTTATTTCAAAAACCTTACGTCTTGCTCAAAATAATAAAAGTCATAAGACTGATGTCTTTTATTTTATAGTTTTTCTACATTAGTTTTTGTCTGCGAAATCAATAAAAAGCTTTCAAAACAAGTTATTTTTAAAAAAATTCAATTAAAAGTCTTTGAATGACAATTATTTGTGATTTTTAAACAGAAGATAACATAAATCCTAAATACAAAGTAAATATACAAACAAATCCTAAACAGTTGAACCAGATAGATAATTTAATCTTTAAGACTTTAAACATAAGCACAGTGCTCACCCACCTACTTAATTTGAGTTAATTATAACACACGGCGGTGTGATCAAGGCAAGGTGCTCATTTTGCGATTAGCAAGTAAGACCCATTTTCGATGTCATGTTCTGGGAGTATTAATAGCCTCTGAGGCACAGAGGCAATGACATGCTGTAATGACATATGTCGGCCCGAAATAAACAGCGGAAAGACAAAAAAAAACTTTTATATAAAAACACTATGACACCATTAATTCCGGAACTAAATGGGAGAAAAAAGAGGCGTACCTAGTGGAACAGGAACAGGAAACGGAAGCATTGAAATTGATTTCGCTATGTCTGTTCTGAAGAAGAATTCACACAAAATGAAAAGTTTTTGCTGGAAAAACTTTTGCCCAAGCATTGTCATTGTCTTTTGCATGTTGGCAACAGTTGAATAAAGTTTTGCAGAAACTATTTACCCACAAGAAAGCTCAATTAAATGCTACACTCAATTACAATGAATTTTCCTAGCTTTTGTTGGTTGTCGTTTGGTTGTCCGTTCGTTTATTTGTTTGTTTGTTTGTTTTTGGTGCCACTTCCGTTGCTGCGGCCTTAATGGCATTACCTTAAAAATTGTAATCTTTTGCGGTGGATTCAAGCTAAATGCCTGCTCGTGCCATTTGCCAATTTGTCTTGACTCGCACTGAAGTATCACAGCAAATTATCGCTATGGCAAACAGCAATTTAAACTATTTTAATTGATTTAATGCGCCTTAATGTTTAGCGATTCCGTGATCTGCATTTGATTGATTAACCGAAAATAAACGTATGCAAAACCAGAACGAACCAGCTATGAGTGCATAACGAGTTTATTGTGGCAGCATAGTTCACAAAATATAGTCATAAAAGTGCTATTAAAATGTACACCAAAAGGCACTTTAAGGCTATCTTTAAGTGAGAGCTCGTAAAATGAATAAAACTATATTAATTTAAAGGAGAAACTTTGATTAGAGATTGAATATTACTTTTCATGCACTTTAGTTTCAAAGGTGGTGCATATCTAGGTGATTATTTAAAGCTAAATACAATTTTAAAACAGTGACAACAATATTTAAAGGGCCTAAAAGTCGTTAGAATAGGGTGTGAGTTTTAAATGTATAACTCGAATATTTAATTTTATTTTAATTTTATATTCATCTAAACTATTATTTTAAATATCTAATATCTAATATTCCTTAATTTGCTCTTTCATTTTAGCGTGTTCCACCGCTTCGTATCGATGATTTAATCAATGACTTACGCGATGGTACCAAACTAATTGCATTGCTCGAAGTTCTGTCCGGCGAACGCCTGCCCGTGGAGAAGGGCCGCGTTTTAAGACGTCCACATTTCCTCAGCAATGCCAATACGGCCCTGCAATTTTTGGCCAGCAAACGGATCAAGTTGGTTAATATTAATCCCGCAGATCTGGTGGACGGGAGACCACCAGTTGTGTTGGGTTTGATATGGACGATCATCTTGTACTTCCAGGTAAACATAATAATATAATTAAACCTATAAACCTATACACACCAAGTGCACCAGTTCACGAATTGAGCGCACCACTAAAAAAAATTGGTTGCTAGTTGTACACCTTCTCACGAGGCTACCACCAGTAGAGATGTACACACTCGAAGTCCAAACACCACAAATGCTAAAAAACGTTGAACGTAATTAACCCTATGAACCTTCTTTTTCTATATACTTTATTGATATCATAATCTTTAAACGTACACAAGCTTCGTAAAAAGAGGCGGAAAAACTTAGTAGTAGTTATAAATTATGCGCCACAGGTGGGTCCAAGTCGAAAGTAATTTGTGTTTTGTCGTGTGTACCTCATATTTTTTGGATAGAGAATCGTTTTTAGTTGGTAGCCAAACCATTTAAGGCACTTCCATATCTTAAGTTTAACCATTTTACATAACATTGCATGTGGAAAGTATTGAATTTTAACTAACTCAATTATGTATTCATAGATCGAGGAGAACAGCCGCAACCTAGAGTATTTGGGTCATGGTATTGGCGGTTCGGTTAGTTCCCTCGACAGTGTTGGCAACCAAAAGCACGGCGATCTTAAGGCTGAGAAATGGAAGCAGGGTGCTAGGAAGACCCTGCTCAACTGGGTGACCAACGCCTTGCCAAAGTGAGTAGAGTTAAATAAATGTTTTTTAATTTCATAACTAATTTATGAATCTTAATATCACAGAGAAAGTGGTGTGGAGGTGAAGGATTTCGGCGCCAGCTGGAGAGATGGCGTGGCTTTCCTTGCCCTTATCGATGCCATCAAGGCGAATCTGGTGAACTTGGCTGACCTGAAGAAGGCCAGCAACCGACAGCGCTTGGAGACTGCTTTCGATGTGGCCGAAAGCAAACTGGGCATTGCCAAACTCCTGGACGCTGAGGATGTGGATGTACCCAAGCCAGATGAAAAGAGTATCATGACATATGTGGCACAATTTTTGCACAAGTATCCTGAACCAAAGGTGAGTCTCATAAGCTAAGAAAAAAACTTTAGTAGCTAGAGCTATTTCTAAAATAATTTAAATAATAATGAAATTATCAGAAACAACAACTAACAGAAAACCATTATTTTAAGTAGTGTTAAACAAATTTAGAAAAAAAAAAATTCAAAAATTCCCTAAGTAAAAACAAAAAATAAATTTTTAAGTTAATAGCAGTTTTCTAACAAACTTTCTTTATTTCAGGGTGCTTCACGCGATCTTTCGCATGCGCAGCAGGAAGCGGACGAACTTCGTCGCTTTTTGATAGAGAAGACCACCGAGTACGAGCCTATGGTCATGATGAGCTCGTTCCCACGCGATTTCGGTGAATATTTACTGGCACGTTCTGAAGTCGATGCCCATTTGGCGGCATATAACCGCTTGAAACAGCTCATCGAGAGCCAGAGCGGATTCCTGCAGGTCTCCCGCCAATCTTGGGAGGAGATCAACGAGCTGTGGCAGCGCCTCCAGTACCAGATGATGTACTGGCTCTGGCTGCTGGACTCCGAGCTGCCCGGCGACTTTGGCACCGTTGGCAAATGGTTAGCCGAAGCAGAGAAATTACTAATGGACAATGATATACCCAACGCAATGAACGAGGAAACGGCCGCAGTGATTAGCAGGAAGTTGGAGGAGCATAAGCTCTTCTTTGCCGATCTGCCTCGCATTGTGGCCATGTTCGAGAATGCCAAGCGGTCACCGCTTGCCCAGCAGATTCCGCTGGAGCAGTTGCGTAACATGGAACGACGCCTTCAAGAGGTCGGACCCAAGGCAGCAGAGCGCAGGATTCGTTTGAAGTTCCTGGAGCACAAGTGCTGCCTGATTGCCTTCTTGAATCTGGTGGAGAACAAGATGCGCGGCTGGACTGGAAAGTACGGGCACGAGGAGAAGGTGGCCCAACAGCTGGAGCAGTACAAGAACTTTGTGTCGCGCAACAAGATCTTCCAGGAGTTCCAGAAGGCCTTTGTCGATATGCAACAAGTGGTGGATGAGTACAAGCGTGAAGGCAATGTTCCACGCAAGGAGATCAACGATATTGATCGCTTTATGTATGAAACCGAGGAGCGCTGGAAACGTGTTTCCATGGAACTGAAGTGCTGCCAGAACTCACTGGAGGAGGTGGTCAACTGCTGGCGTAGCTGGAACCAATTGGCCCCCACTTGCGAGGAGTGGCTGCTGTTGGCCGAGCAGAAGGTGAACCAGAGCGAGGATGAGCGTCTGGACTTCTTCCAGGATATACCCGTGTGGAAGGACAAGTTTGATGCCCTGGCCAATTCTGCCAACTACTTGATTGCCTCCTGTGAGGAGCCCATTGCTCAGCAGCTGCGCCAGCGACATGGAGCTTTGTCCGAGCGATTTGAGCGTTTGTTTGCCAACACCAAGCAGTATATGCATGCTGGAGACATCATCCGTTCGCGGCAGGAATACAAGTCGGGCATTGAACAGCTTTCCCGTTGGCTGCGAGGAGCCGAAAGCGTTCTCGATCAGCGTCAAGTTCTTGGCAACAGTGAACAAATCAAGCAATATGGCCAGCAGTTGCAGCAATTGGCCAGCGAAATCGATGATAATGAAGAGCTGTTCAAGACCATCAGCAGGAATTTCCAATCACTGATACAAGATCTTTCCCGCGACGAGGTGGACAAAATGATGAAGCTGCTGAAGCAGGAGAAGGAATCTCTGGTGCGCATACGCGCCCAGTTGCCTGCCAAGCTGCATCTCTTCCACCAACTGCAGATTCAACAGGAATCCCTGGAGGCCGGACAAAAGGAGATTCATCAGTGGTTGAGCGAGGCCGAACAGCTTTTGGGAACGCATAATCTCTCTGGAGGCCGCGATGCCATCAATGAGCAACTGCAGAAACACAAGACCTACTTCTCACGCACAGTCTACTATCGTTCCATGCTGGAGAGCAAGAACAAGGTATTCCAGAACCTGCTGAAGGCGGTGTCCTCCGATGATAAGATCGACACTGCGCCCGCTTCGCAGCAAATGCAACAGCTGAACGAACGCTTCAACTATGTGATTCAGAATGCCCAGCAATGGGAGCAACGCTTGGATTCGGCTGCTGGTGGATGGAGCAACTTCAAGGACAACGAACGTGTGGTCAGCGAGTGGCTCACCCAGGCGGAATCCATGCTGGTGGAGAAGCACATCGAATCGAAGACCACAATCGAGACGCAGAAATACTTCTTCGAGCAGGTCAACGATCGCTGGATGAACGATCTGGTGCAGTCGGCTCAACAACTTCTGACCACTTTGCCCGCCCAGGAGCAACCAGCTGTGGTTCACAGCGTGGAGCAGTTGCAATCCCGCTGGAAGAATGTGCTGTCTCAGGCTCCTTTGCATCTACTCAAATTGGAATTCAGACTGGACGAAAATGCCTTCTATCAATCCCTGAAGGATGTGGAGAAGGAATTGCAGCTGGAGCAGCAGGCCTTAAATCGGAATGAGGATGTGGACTCCATTTTGCAGCGCAACCAACAGTTCCTCCTGCAACAAGATGCAGTGCCTCGCCTGGAGCGTTGCCTTCAGAACATGCAACGATTGGCTAATGCCCACAGGCAACAACAACCCGGTGACATTAGTCTGGATCAGGCCTACGACAATGCCAAGTCCCAGTGGCAACTGTTGTCCAACAAACTGGGCGACATGCGTCAGACCCTCCAGCAAATCCCAGCCCAATGGCAGGGTTATCATCTGAAATTCAACGACATGGTCGGTTGGATGAACGGTGTGGATCAGAGCCTAAAGAACATCGTGAATGAAGTTAACACCATGGAGGAATTCGAGAAGGAGAAGGTTGTCTTCCAGGTGAGCTAAGCAAAAATAAACTTCTTTATGCTATCCATTTCAATCATACCTAAATAATCTTCTCATTACCCATCATGCATGCCTTAAGCTGAGGGAGCTAGTGGTAACTAATCTGCTTTTATATAAAATTAACTATCTGATGCCAACTGTCTTTTCTTAAAACAAAGATTTGTTTGGCATGATCTTTTGCAACCTTTATTAATAAAATTAATTTTTTTTGTAACAGAAAATCTGCCAAGATGCCGACAACAAACGGGAGGATATGAAATGGCTGGTCAAGACCTTGGACTCTCTGCTTAGTTACGCAACCGAAGATGAGGGTAATCTCGAGCAGAAGAAGCTGGAGGACCTGATTGCTCGCTACAAGAACCTTATACCCACGATTGAGATCACCATGGTCAAGACGGAAGTTTTCTCCAAGTGCTACACTTACCGCAGAGAAGTTCACGAGGTTGTCTGTCTGCTGAGCAAGGTCAAGGATCAGACGGCCAATATACCAGCTCCCGACAGCCTGGAACGTGTGAATCGCCTGATTGAGGAGCAGCAATATGCCATCAATCAGCTGGATCACCAGCGTCCACACATCATGTCTATGCTGCAAAGAGGACGTGATCTGATCAAGGATGTGCACGCCCCAGCCTTTGTGAATACTGATGTGAAGAATCTGGAGACGGGTTGGAATCAGGCGTACACTGAAACCTCTGACAAACTGCAGGCCCTCAAGGGAACCCAGGCTGTTTGGAGTGATTTCGTGGACCAGAAGAACGACATCTTCTCCATGTTGCAAACTGCGGAGACGGAGCTTCGCTCGTTGACCCCATTGCAAACCGATCCCAAGAACGTCAGTCAGGATCTGAAGTCCAAGCGAGATCTCAATGTGCAACTGCAGCAGGCTTCCCATCAGCTTCTGCCCAAGTTGCATGCTCTGAAATCAGAATTGGCTCCACTGGCTGCTGCCGACAAGCGTCCCATTCTGGAGAAGGAAGTGACCGAGGTGGAGAAGATGTTCTTCAACACCATGGAGCATGTGAAGGATCGCGTCGGCTATCTGGAGGACTACAGTGCCAAGTGGAATAACTACAAGACACGCCTGGCCGAACTGCAGGAATGGGCCAATAAGGTTGCGCCCAAGAATATCGAAGCCCTTCAGTCCGAGGATCTCACACCGGAGGAGCGTGTGGTCAAGGTGCAGGCCTTCAAGCGCATCCTTGGGGATCGCATGAAGCAACTGGATCTCTTGGCCGCCGATGCCTCCGAGTTGGCACCCAAGGAGGGCAACATTGCCGAGGCCAAGCGACTTAAGGGCGAGATCACCAAGCTGCAGGAGGTCCTCAGTGCCATCAATCGGAATGTGGACCATCAGGCACAGGCTGTGCAGGAGGATCTTGTCAACTGGCAGCAATTCCAGGCCGGTCTGCAGCAAATCAAGCCCGCTGTGGAGCAAAGCGAAGTCAAGGTAAATAATGTAGTTTCTAAGCCCATCTCCCTCGAAGAAGCCGTTGCCATGCAACAGAATGCCCAACAATTCGAGACACAGTGTCAGGAGCAATTGGACAAGCTCCATGGCATATCAAACATCAGTCATAAAATGTTGTGTAAGACCAATGCCCCCGACGAGCTGGATGCCATGCATTCGCGTTGGACGGCTGTCCATGAGAACGCGAAGCAGGCTAGCGCCAAGCTCGAAAAATTGGTGGGCAATTGGAAGTCCTTCGACGCCGATGCGGCCAAGCTGGAGGATTGGGTTTCGCAGGGCGAGCAGCTGATGTCCAGGCGACCAGCTGTCCTCAATACACCGCACATTGACAAACTCGAAAAGGAGCTGGTCAAACTGAAGTCCTTCAACAACGAGATCTCGCAGCAGCAGGCTAAGCTCGTGACTCTGGGTCAGAATGCCGATCAAATTAGTTTGCATTTGGCGCCCGAAGGCGCAGCTGCCTTGAAGGATCGCGTGAACCAGATGAAGGGCAAGTTGCAGAAGCTTTCGGAAGCCACTCGCGGTCACATCAACGAAGTCTCCGATGCCATCATTTCCCGGCAGGACTTTAACGCCAAACTGGTGAACTTCTCAAACTGGATGGAACAGCTTCGTAACCAGATTACGCAAGTGGAAGAAATCAATCCGGAACGTGTGGAAACCAGTCTGCATGTTATCCATGCCCTACTGCAGGAACATGCCGATAAGAAGCCAAGTTTTAATGCCATCTACGATGAGGTTAAGCAATTGGCCCTGGGAGCCACTCCCGAAGAATCGAATGCCCTGAACGATGCCTACACTGCTTTAGTGGTTAACTATCAAAACCTGGAGACCAACATGCTGCAAAAGAAGGCGGCTCTGGAGAAGTGGACTGAACTGCTGGGCTGGAAGAACGACACTGAGTCCCATTTGAACTATTTGAAGCACCAGCTAGACAAACCCGAAGGACCCGCCGCCGAGGAACTGAGCAAGGTCATCGATGAGATCGATAATTTGGGTCAGGGCATTGGCTACTGGAAGGGTCAGGCCAAGGAGATCGACGAAAATCCAGCCATTCAGCTGAGAGATGCCTTGTCCCGTCGTCCACTGATCGCCACTCAAATTGTGAATGATGTTGAGAATAAGTTGGAGAACCTAAAGCTACGCTCCCAAAATCAACAGCAGCAAATTCAACAGATGACCGTACGGAAGGATAAGTTCCATGCGCTGGAACACAACTTTGGCCAGGCGCTGCAGGAGAATCGCGCCAAGCTGGACGAGATTCTCAGACAGCATCCGACTCTGAACAACATCGATCAGATCATTGCCGATTTGGTGGCTCTCAACGATGCCTTGAAGTACCAGGCCGATCTGAAGAATCGCATTCATGACGAAGGTTCTTTGCTGATGCGGGAGGATATTGCCAGCATGCCTGCCATTCAGGAGAGCCTTCTTGTGATGGATAAGAACTACGATTCCCTTCAGAACGAGATTGCCGATCGCATACAGAAGTACAACTTGATAAGCCAGGCATTGAGGGAGTATGCCGATTCCAAGGACAAGTTCTCCAAGGAGCTAAAGAAGGCAGAAGATTTGTTCAATGCTATACCACAACAGCCACGCGATGAAACTGAGCTCCAGCAAGCTTCCGAGAAGACCAGAAAGACCATGGAACAGTTGCGCAAATCTAAGCTTAGCTTGGATGAACTCGAGCGACGGGGCAACAATGTGGCTAAACTATTCAGTGCCATTGGAGAGCCAATTCCACAGGAAGTGCCACAGGAGGTAACAGCTGCCAAGCAAACCTGGCAGGATCTGCACGACAAGACGGCCAAGAACGCCCATGTCTACGAGACTGAGGCTGTTATTTGGTCACAGATCGAAGATGCCAAGAAGGACTTGCTACCCTGGTTGTCCGAAACGAATCAGGGACTTTGTGATGCGGCAGATAACTCAATTGAAATTGAGTTTGGACCCATGCGTCTGAGCAAATATCGCACCGAGTTGCCATCCTACGAGGCTCTAAAGGATTCAATTGTGGAGAAAACAAATGATTTGGTCAAGATAAACAAAGGCGCTGAAATTCCCGCCCTATCTGCACTCAATAAACTTCTGACTGAGCAGTTCGCCGAAGTGAGCAGCAATGCTGATCGTTTGAGTGCTGTTACCACTTCGTTTAATGATCAGGAACAAGAGTTACGCAAACGTTCGAAGGAAGCTGGCGAGCGGGTGAGCAAACTCCGTGAGCAGCTCATCAAGTGCGACGACATGTCCGGTGATAATAACAAGATCATGGAACGTCTGCTGCAATGCCGTGCCCTGCGCGGTGAACTCGACAATAGCGGAAACGAAATCGACAACATCAAACAAAAGGTCGACGAGCTGCGTAATCTGTATCCCACTTTCAGTGAGTCTATTATACCGAAGGAACTGAATAACGTGCAGAAGCGCTATGAGAATGTTGATCTCTATGCCAAGAAGATCGAGAGTTCTCTGCTGCAGTTCCTTAAGAAATTCCATGCCGACAAGGTGGGCATGCTGAAGCGCATCATCGCGACTCAACGCGAAAAGGTGGCTTGGTGTCAGCCTGAGTCGTCCAGTGACAAATACAACCTGGACGTGAAGAAGTCTTCGCTACAGGAGGTCAGCAAGAGCATCGATGATTGCAAGGCGCGACATGCCGAAACGCTGAAGTCACTGGAAATGCTAAAGGCGGTCGAATCACCTCAAAACCTGGCTGAACTTACCAACGATGCCGAGTTACTGCGCAAGGACATGCAGGCTCTGCAGGATAGCTTTGACAAAATCAAGGGAATCCTCGACGAGAACGTGGATTTGTGGTCTCAGTATGAGCAGGCGAACGAGCAGATTTCCAATTGGTTGCGTGACGTTGAAGGAAGGGTAAAGGCAGAGACCAGCAGTCAAGTTAATCTACCCGAAGTGCCACAAAAGCTTCAGGAATTGTCCATTCTCCAACAGGATGTCTTGGCCCATGAGCCCATAATCAACAATCTTGAGCAGACTTCCCAGCAACTAATTGAAAAGAACCCAGAGGCAAGAATTGGACAGTTTGTCACCCACTTGGTGCAGCGTTATCAGGCTGTGTCTAAGGCTTTGACTGGTTATATTGACAAGATCCGTAGTGCCCAGTTGTCTAATGCCAACTTTGCCAAGGCAGCCAAGGATTTCAATGAGTGGTTCGGTGATGCTAAGATCGAATTCCAGGAATTGGCTCGCATGGGATCGCCTGGATCTTCTTCTGCCACAGCTCAACAATTGCAGACGGTCAAAAACTACATCAAGACCTTTGACAATGGACAAGTTTTGTTGAACAACGCTGTGGACATTGGTGAGGCCCTGTATCCTGTGGTCTCGCCCGATAATCGCGAACGCATCCGCTCAGATCTTCGTCAAATGCGTGAGAAGTTCGATTATCTGCGCGATGAGGCAAATGCTTTCATGCAGCAGGTTGAGGGTGTTTTGATTCAAAAGACATCGATCGAAGAAAGTTACACCCAGGTTTCGCACTACCTCAACGAGTCGAAAGCAAAGGTTCCCGCCGGTGACGAATTGTATCCAACTTTAGCCACCAAAAAGGCTGCTCTGCAGAACTACAAGACTCAGCTCCAGGAAATAACCCTTCACAAAAATGCTCTTAAACAATTGCATGACAAGGCTGTGACCCTTTGTGATGATGAGTCAGAGAGGAAGACCGAGGAATCCATCCAGGAGTATAACACTCTATCCAAGAAGATTTCCGATAGGATTACAACCGTGGGTAACCATGTGGTTAAACATGAGGCTTACGATCAGGTACTTGAAAAGGCGCAAGACTGGCTAAACACTATTAAATCCGAAGCTATTGACATTCTCAACGAGACGACTTTCGAGAAGGAGGGCGCCGAGGAAAAACTGCTTGTGGTGGAAAATCTTTTGCAGCACAAGCCCGAGGGTGATTCCATTTTCGATACCTGTCATAAGTTATTGGAAACTGTGCTGACCCAAACCCATCCCAGTGGCCATCCAGCCCTGCTTAAGGGTTTCGAGGAACCGAAGCAATCGTGGGAGGACTTCATGACACTGTGTCAGGACTCGGCCGTTAAACTGAAGCAGCTCTGCTCCAAATGGGATGAGTTTGACACGATAATTGAAGAGCTGGACAACTGGATGAAGAATGTCGAGGCGGTCGTCAAGAACCAGAACCTTAAAAGCACAGCGGAAGCTAAGAATGCCCATTTGAAGCAGCTGCAGGATATTGCCAAGGATATTGAACGCCGTGGATCGGCTATCAATGAGCTGATGGATCAAGGTCGTGAGATTGAGGGTGAAACCGACTTGAACCTTAAGCTGTCCCGCCTGAATACTCGCTATCAGACCCTGAAAAACCTCTGCAAGGAATCGATAGCCAAGTATGTGAACTATGTAAAGGATCACGAGAGCTTCGATAACGATTTCGATGCATTCAAGCAGAGTCTTCAATCTTCAGCTGATGAGCTGGCCAAGGCCAACGAAATTGTGGGCGATCAAAGCGTGCTGCAAGATCAGCAGAACAAACTGCGTGAAATGTCCGACAAACGCATTTCGGACTCCACTCTTTTCGAGGGTCTCATCGACCGCGGCGAGAAGCTCTATGGTCACACCAGTCCAGAAGGTCGTGAAATCATCCGCCAGCAATTGAGATCCCTGCGCACTCTGTGGGACAACTACACTGATGATTTGAACTCGGCCACACAGAAGATCGATCAGTGTCTGCTGCAGTTCAACGAGTTCAGCATTGCCCAGGATCAGCTCACCAAGTGGCTAAAGGATGTGGACAAGGCCATGCAGAGCCACACGGAGCCGAAAACGACGCTGCAGGAAAAGCGTGCTCAATTGCAGAACCACAAGTTACTCCACCAGGAAATCACCACGCACAATGTCCTTGTCGATAATGTCTGTGACAAGGCCCAGATACTGGTGGATCAGATCAAGGATAACTCGTTGAATGTGTACCTAGCCTCGATCAAACAACTTTTCCAGAGCATTGTCCAAAAATCCGATGAGATTTTGCACAATCTGGAGGATTGTGTCCAGAAGCATAACGAACTAAACCATGCCTTGTCTTCAGCCAAGACTTGGATATCGAATGAGAAGGCCAAGTTGCTGGAGTGCGACGATGCTTATGGCGAGAAGGCAGACATTAAGCGCAAGATTGAAACACTGGGACAATTGGCTCAGAACAAACCGCAGGCCATGAAGTTGATCAGCGATATACGTGACCTGTTTGAGAAGGTCAAGGCCACGACTTCCGAGAAGGGCAATGAGGTGCTGGACAAGGAGATCGAGGAATTGGAGACCACCATGAAGAGCCATTTCGACGACATCGAGGGCATTGAAGGCAAGCAAAAGGATGTGCTCGCCCAGTGGGACAAATTTGAGAAGGCGCTCGAAGAGCTCACCAAGTGGTGTCGCAATGCAGAGGCCGTTTTCCGTGAGCAGCAGCTTAAGTCGACGCTCCACGAGAAAGTGGAACAGCTGGAAAAGTACAAGATCCAAAGGGAACTCATTCTCCAAAAGGAGAAGGAGCTCGATGCCTTCGGAGATGCTGCCCATGCCCTGCTTAACAACTGCGGAGCTGATCGTCTAAAGACGCTTACCACTCAGATTACCAATCGCTATCAACTGCTACAGGTTCTAAGCAAGGAAGTGGTCAATCGTTGGTCCAACCTTGTCGACGATCACCAGTTTTACCAGGACAAGTACAACGAGGTGGATTTGTGGCTGCAACCCATTGAGGCGCAGATGGAGAAGGTGCTCTTAGATGAACCCACCCAGAGTTCGAATATCCTGCAAGTGCTGCTGTCTGAAAAAGAGCAGGCAGAAAGCCTATTCGCTGCTCTCAATGCTGCTGGAGAAAAGGCTCTGCCAGAGACTTCAACTCAGGGTAGGGAGAAGATTCGCAAGGACCTGCGTGATATCCGCGATCGTTGGGACAAACTGGACGAGGGCATTCGCAATCTGGAGAAACGTCAGGAGGCACAGGGTGTTCAGCTCACCAGCTACCAGGACATTCTTAATCAAACCACCAACTGGTTGGATCAAGTGGAAAAACTTATTCACAATGAAAACCCAGCCAGTTGGACTAGCGCTCAGGAAATTCGCTCCAAATTGTACAAGTACAAGGCCACAAACCAGGACATTAACTCCCATAAACGCATTGTCGAGGCAGTAAATGAAAAGGCAGCAGCTCTTTTGGGAAGCGCAGCTCCTGCAAATGCCGATGAGATCTCCAAGGCTGTGGCTGAAGTCAACAAGCGTTACGAGCAAGTGGGTCAGGACTGTGCCAAATTAGTTTCTGATCTTGACGGAGCATTCGATGTATACCAACAGTTCAGTGAGCTGCAGAAGGCTCAGCAGGATTACCAGAAGAATCTTTGGGATCGCCTCACCGGTTACTCTGACTACTCGGGCAACAAAGCAGCGCTGCAAGCACGTCTCCAGAAGATCAACGAGATTCAGGATGCTTTGCCGGAAGGTGTGGCCAAACTGAAGTCCCTGGAGGACCACATCGAACAACAGGCCAATAACATACCCGCCCGATCGAAGGAGGCAATGGCCCGTGATCTGGCCAACTTGCATGCCGATTTTGAGAAGTTCGGTGGTTCGTTAAGTGACGTAAAGAGTGGACTAGAGAATCGCCTTCAGCAATGGAATGATTACGAAGTCAATTTGGATCGTCTGATCAATTGGCTGGGCGAGGCGGAGAATGCTCTAAAGAACTACAATCTGAAATCTTCGTTCGAGGAGAAGGAAGAGCAACTGAATCGCTTCCAGTCTCTGGCTCAGAATTTACGTCAAAACGAAGCTGACTTTGACAAGATGAAGGACGACACCTCTGAGCTGGTGCAAAGTTCTGGTGAGACTAGAATTGCTGTAAACGTGCAGCAGGTCTCCTCCAGATTCCAATCGATACAAGCCACCGCTAAGGAGATTCTCAAGAAATGCGAGCAGGCTGTCCAGGACCATGGTCACTTTAATGATAAATACAAGCAGTGCGCGGATTGGTTGGCAAATGCTCAGGCCCGTTACGATGATTGCTGTGACTTGTCCACCGTTGCCTCTCGTGACGATCTCCTGAAGAAGCAACTGGTTATCCAAGAGCTTCTGGCACAGCAGCCTACTGCCACTCAGCTCCTGAACAGTACCGTTGAGCTGGGCGAGAAGTGCTACGGATCAACAGCGACCGAAGGACGTGAAGCCATTCGCAGTCAACTGGATGACCTGACCTTCGATCAATTGTTTGACAACATTGCCATCACAGCGAGAAAGATTCAGGATAAAATTGCCAAATGGTCTGGCTTTGATGAGATTGCCGATAATCTTAAGAGCTGGTTAGACGAAACGGAGAATGCTCTTCCAGCTGATATCGAGCTGAAGACAACGCTGGACGAGAAACGCACTAAGCTGCAAACCTATCGTGACATCCTAAACGACATTAACAACCACCAGGTGGAATTGGGTAACCTTCAAGAGATTGCCGCCAATTTACCGGAGAAGACAGACCTCGTGGACCAAATCCTTAAGGATATTTCTGATCGCTTTGGAAAGCTGCAAAAGCGTGCCCAGAACTACGTGGAGCGCTACGAGGGCATTGTGAGTGCCCATCAGCAATACTCCAAGGCCGTGATGGACGCTCAAGAGTTTATCGATGCCACCCAAAATACGGTTCACTATTGGGGCGATTTGGATCTCGAGCAGATCTCATTGCACACGAACCTGGACCGCCTAAAGAATCTTAAGGCCAGTTTGGCTGATGAGTTCCCACGAGTCGATCAAGTGAGGGCCTTGGGCGAGAAGGTCATTCCGGGTACAGTGGATGTGGGTCAGGTGAACATCAAGTCCCAGATCGACACCACCCAGCAGGAATGGGAGAGTCTACTGGCAACTATCAGCTCCACCATTGAGGGTATTGAAGCACGCCTACAACATTGGTCGGAGTACGAGCAACTACGTGACCAGTGTCTGGCTTGGATTCGTGATACGGATAACAATCTTCATGCTATCGATCTCAAGGAGGATCTGCCAAAGAAGCGTGCTCAGTTGGATGCTCTGAAGGCTCTCCAGGGAGATGTACGTGCCAAGGAACTGGAAGTTGACAATGTCACGGAGAAGGCGCAAACCCTGCTTAAGGGTCCCAGCAGCAATCGAGCCTCTGGTCCTGAATTGGTGACCAAGTACCAGCAGATCTTCCACAAGGTCAAGGAACTGAACAACCGTTGGCAGCAGTACGTCACTTCCCACGAAGACTTTGACAACTCAATTTCTGATTGTTCCTCTTGGATCAATGACATTAAAGAGAAGTTGGACTACTGCTCCGACATGTCGTCTATGAGTCCGAAAGAACTGGATAAAAAGTTGGCCACTATTCAAGATGTTATCTTGCTGAAGGACGAAGGTTCTGCTCGTGTCTTGAAGATCCTTGAGCAGGCTCAGCATGTGCTGGCCAACACAGCACCCGCAGGTCATGAAGCTATCAACAAGGAACTCACAGATCTCCAAGAGCTCTGGTCAGGAATTGCTCTGCGCATCATGGATGTCAAGTCTAATCTGGACGACTCTATTACTCAATGGTCTGGATTCCTGGACCAAGTGCAAAATGTTCGCAAATTCAACGAGTGGTTGGATGGTTTGGTTAAGGAATTAAGTGAACACCAAACAACAATGACAGAGAAGCGAGCTCAATTGGATCGTGTTAAATCAACGGAGGAAAAGGTGCGCGTGGAGAAGATCGATGTGGATGCGCTGAAGATTCAAGCCAAGGAAATGATTGCCAGCGGTCAACAGAGTCAGGCGGCCTTCCAGGCTCAAAAAGTACTGGATACGTTTGATGAGCTTTTTGGTAAGACCCAAAAACTTCTTTCGAACCGCCAGGATCAGTACAGGGATCATCGATTGTTCAAGGAGGCCTACGATGATTTGGTTAGCTGGATTGGACGCGCACGTGAGAAATTCCCTTCGCTGAAACAGAGCAGCTTAAGCGATAAGTTGGCCATTGAAAATGCTGTTCAGGCCACAGAAGCTCTGCTCAACAAGCAGGCTCAGGGTGAACTTTTAGTGGAGCACTTGGTTCACACTGGCGAAGTGGTGCTGGCCAGTACCTCTTCGCAAGGTCAGGAGATCATTAGGAACGATATCCGTGCCCTGCGCGACAGCTTCGAGAGTTTGTTCCGTGAAATCAACCAGCAGAAGGAGAACCTCGAGGTCACCATGGTGCAGTGGCGAGCTTACAAGGAAGAGTATGAGCGGCTAATGGAATGGTTGCAACAGATCGACATCCTTGTGAAGAACCACAAGCTTAACCTGTGCCCCAACCTTCCGGATAAGGAGAAACAGGTGGCCGATATGAAGGAGGTGATGTCGCGTCTTGAAAAGGGAAAGGATGACATCGATAAGTTCAATGCTTCGGCTGCCAGTCTACTGAAGTCCCACCTGGACACCTATGTGAACAATCAGCTGCGGCATTTGGGTTCCGTCTATCAAGTGCAAGTGAACCTGGCCAAGGATGTTCTCAAGAAGGTGGAAACCAATCGGGATCAGCATCGTGAGTACGATGCTAACATGAAATCTGCCAAGGATTGGATAGCCAATGCCAAGGCCACGATTCAGTCGGCAGGCGAAGGAGCTGGCTCCAAGGAGGCTCTCCAACGACGACTGGAGCAGATCCAGGATCTGATTCGCAACCGTGAGCTTGGCCAGAATTTGGTGCACACGGCCATTAACAATGGCGAAAAGATTATCAGGAACACGCGCTCCGATGGACGCGATGCCATCAACACTGAGATGAAGGAATTGCAGACCGAATGGGATCGCTTGGTTAAGAAAATGTCCACCGCCAAGGTGCAGCTGGAAACGAATCTGCTGCAATGGGCGGACTACAGTTCCAGCTACTCGCAGTTGCAGCAATGGATCACCGACAGAGAGGCCAAGTTGCAACAGGCCTGTGAACAGAAGATTGTCAAGTCCAAGCGTGGTCAACCCGGTCTCAGTTGTGGTTTGAGCGAACGCAAGGCCAATCTCCGGCAGACGAATAACATTGTCCAGGATATAGTGTCCTTTGAACCCATGATTCAGTCAGTCACCTCCAAGGCTTCAGTTCTCCAGCAAGGCGCTCCGGGCACTGAGATCTCGGATAAGTACGAGAATCTTACCAAGCAAGCCAAGGATCTGTATGAGAAGCAGAAGAACACCATTGAGAGCTATCAGTCTTTGATTGATGCAGGCAATGAGTTCGCCACCTGGCTGAGAAACGCCAAGGAGCGGTTGAGCAAGTGCTCGGAGCCCACGGGAGATAAACAAGCTCTGGCCGAGAAGACGCACCAACTGAAGATTCTGCAGGGTGAACTCCCAGATGGTGCCCAGAAACTGAAGAATGCTCTGGAGCAGGGCGAGATCGCTTGCCGCAGTGCAGAGCCCGAGGATTGTGAAATCATCGAACAGGAAGTGGCCCTGCTTCAAGAGGAATTCGATGCCTATAGTGAAGCCCTGAATAAGGCCAAGGATTATCTGGAAGTGGGCATTGTCAAGTGGTCCGACTACCAGGATCAGTACACCGAAGCTTTGGAGTGGTTAAGTAAGACCGAAGCTTTGGTGCAATCCTACAACAAACTGCAGGATAGTTTGATCCAAAAGAAGGTTGTCCTCGAGCAATTCCAGGGACATCTGCAGACCCTGTTCGACTGGCAGAAGACGCTGGATGACCTTAACATGAAGGCCCAGGTTCTGCTGGAGACTTGCTCCGACACAAGGATCAGCAATGCCATCATGCAGTTGACCACCAAATACAATGCTCTACTGACCCTGGCCAAGGAGGTGATGCGTCGCCTGGAGATGCACTACCAGGAGCATCAGCAGCATCACAGTCTGTACGAAGAGTGCCAATCTTGGATTGAGAAGACCCGCGAGAAACTTGCGGAATGTGAACAAATACCCGGAACTCTTAACGAAGTTCAAATCAAATTGAACACTGTGAAAAACCTTCGTCAAGGTTTCGAAACCGGTCAAAACAAGTTGCGTTATCTGTTGGAGCTCAAGGAGAAGGTAATAATGAACACCGAACAAAATGGAGCAGCGAAGATCCAGGAAGACACGGAATCCCTGAAACAGGACTTTGACAAACTCTTGGTGGATCTCAACGATGTACGCCAAAAGTTGGCCAATCGCCTTGCCCAGCTGGAAGAGATCTTCAAGCTTTATAAGATCCTGGTCGAATGGCTGGAGGATGTGGAGCCGAGTGTGAAGGCCAGTGATGAGTACCTCAACGATTTAAGCGAAAAGCGTGCGGCGCTGGAGAAATTCCGCGTCATTCAGCGTGACATCAACGGACATAATGATATTGTGGAGAAGATCAATCAGCGTCTTAAGGAGGATAGCAGCTTGGATCTGAATGACTTCCAGCCTGGTCTAGGCAAATTCGATGAACTGCAGACGCAGGTGAATAAGATCATCGAGTCACTGGAGAACCAGGTGAACAGCCACGAGAAATACAAGCAGGCCTACAATGAGCTGCAGGATTGGCTGCGTCGCACACGCATCGAAGTGGAGCAGTGTGCCGATTGTCATGGCGAGAAGGATCAAGTGGAGAGTCGTCTGAATCGATTGGGAGACATACAGTCCTCTTCGTTGGATGGCAAATCTCTGCTGGAAGCCTGCGAGGAGCTCAGCCAGGCGGTGATTGCCACCAGCGGAAGCGAAGGCCAGGACAATGTGGCCCAGGAGATCAAGCATCTAACCTCGGAGTGGGAAACCCTCCAGGCAATATCCCGCGATGCTCGCAGCAGCTTGGAATCCTGCCTGGCCGCCTGGCAGACATTCCTGCAGAAGTTCAACAAGATCAACCTTTGGATCGAAACGATGAGCAAGCGCGTTACCAAATCCCAGGAAGGCGAAAACAAGAACCCCGAAGATTTGGTTAATGCCAAGGTAAGAAATCTTCGTCAAGTCGAACTCTCGCAACTGTAGCACGCACCTCTAACAAAAAAAAAATACTAAAAATGTAATCGAATATTATCTATATATATATATATATAGCCAAAGCGCGCACGTAATGTAGAACTCTCACCGACAACAAAATTTGTATCTAAATACCTCGTACCGTGAGAAATTAAATCATTTACTAAACCCACACTAATCACTACCGCTAACTTTTCAGCTAATCACTTTTTGTAAACTCAATTGCAGCTAATCATTTACACAGACTCTTGTCTAATGCCTAATTGCTTTATGTGCTTTCAATAACCAGTGATAGATCATTGAACTAAAGTCCTTGTCTTCCCGCAGAAACTGCTTGAGGAAGTGCTGGCCGAGAAGGATAATGTGGAGGATCTGAACGATAACTGCGAGCTGCTCATGGAGCAGAGTGCCTGCACTCGCATTCGTGACCAGACCATCGAAACCCAGGCCAACTACACCAAGCTTCTGACTTCCGCCCAGGGATTGGTTGCCAAGATCGAGAAGAATCTGTCCGATCACACTGAGTTCCTCAACTACAAGAAGGAAATGGATGACTGGATAGAAAAGGCCCAACAGGTCCTAGACGACTGCTCCACCGATGGCGATGCTGCAATCATTGCCCAGAAACTGGATACCGTCAATGTGAGTTAACCAGTCTTTATTCAAAAAGAAACATTTTAAAAACTTAACTTACCTATATATGGGGCTCCTCCCAGTTGCAGCGCAAAAAAGAAGCTATTTCAAGAATTTTCATTGACGATCAATATATTTTTTGAATTTTATTCAATTTTTAATTTAAAAAAAAATCTTATTTAATTGAATTTAATAATTTAATAGTTTTATAGTTGTTAAAAAATATAAATGTTATTTTGGTTTGTGATATATTTTTAATTCAAAGCTTATATCATTTACAAATTATATTTTTTAACAGTCCCTGGCTTCCCGCCTGCCCGAAGGTCAGCATCTGTTGGCTTTGGTGCAGGATGCCTACTCGAAGGCCTCGAACATAACGCCCGAGGACAAGCAAGAGAAGCTGCGGGAACTGATGACCAAGGTGCGTGAGGATTGGGATGCCTTGGGTCTGGCGGTCAAGCAAAAGTTGAGCGATCTGAAGCAGGCACAAAATCGTTGGAACGATTTTGCTGCCAACAAGGACAAGCTTGAGAAATGGCTGAACGAAGCAGAGAAGACACTCAAGGTGGCACCCGAAACCAAGGGCGAACTGAGCGAAATGAAGACTCTGCTGGAGCGCTACAAGACCCTTGCGAATGAGCTTAAACAAAAGGGTAATGAGCTGGAGCAGCTGCAGTCGGAGGCTCGCGACCTGGGCACCGAAGTGGATGCAGTGAATCGCTTGCAGTCCCGTTGCGACAAGCTCAAGACGGATTGCGCCGCTCACATTGCGGCGCTGGAACAGGAGATGTTCGATTACAATGCCTACCATCAGAGTCTGCAGGATGTGGAGAAGTGGCTGCTGCAGATCTCCTTCCAGCTGATGGCCCACAACTCGCTGTTCATCTCGAATCGCGAACAAACCCAGGAGCAGATCAAACAGCACGAGGCCCTGTTGGGTGAAATCCAAAAGTATCAGACCAATTTGGATGACTTGAATGCCAAGGGTCAGGCGCAGATTAAACGCTATGAGACCTCAACACCGGCCATTCGTCCCACTGTTGAGTCCCAGCTGAAGAACATCCAGGAGAGCTACAACTCGCTGCTGCAAACCTCAGTGCAGATCAAGAATCGTCTGCTGGAGTCGCTGGCTAAGTTCCAGGAATACGAGGACACTCTGGATAGCATCATGCGTAATCTGGAGGCATATGAGCCGATTATTCAAACCGAACTGGATGCCCCGGCCACGAGTCTGGAATTGGCTCAAACTCAATTGAAATGTGCCCAGGAAATGCAGAATAAATTGAACAACGAGAAGTCCCGATTGGCAGCCGCCGTTCAGGCCTGTGAGGCAGCCACTGCCTCCATAAGTCGTCCAAGTTCTCCGCTGGAGACAGCCATGCAGGCCATTCCCGAAAGGGAGCTCATTGTGCGCGCCAAGCTCGAGGATCTGCTGGATCAGGTAGGATAACGTTGAATCCTTATTGCATTTGTAGTCTTGCGATCACTTTTGGTAGTTCAAAATTCACATTTTTAAAAAAAGAATGGCAGAATATATTAGTAGTTTCTGTTGGCTTTGTTTAGCTTTGTAGTTTTCTTTTGAATAGCAAAAAAAAAATTTTACTTTTTCTTTTTACTTTTTTGAACAAAAATATGAAAAGCCTAGAAATGCCTATTATCCATTCTATTTTCTTTAATTGTTCTATTATTTTCTAACCAACGTCTTGTTCTTTTTATTAATCCCTTAACCCTACAAAACCCAACACTGCTCTAACTTTTGTTGATTTGCCGCACTCCTCCCCGTAACTGTTGTAAAATGCACAACCCACAAAAAAAAAAAAAAACCCTATGCCTTGTGCTTTGCTGCATATAAAGAAACCACCTCCAAAGACTCAGAGCTCAATCAAAGATGTCAACAAAGATGTTGAAGATGATGAGGATGATGATGTTGAGATCCAGGTTGAGCTCAGCGATGTGAATGAGGCGCTTTCGGATCCAATTGCCCACGAGCGTGTCAGCAACTATCGTCGCATAGTTCGCCTGAATAGTGCCCATGTGGGCAAGCTGAATGAACTAGTTGCTAAGGTAAGAGTCAGGATCCTTCCTAGATAGGATCAAACAGGTGGTGGACTGCATGGCTACAGTATTTATTAACAATTGCTTGGTTTCTTTTTTTCTTTATAAAACTTATTATTTAATTTCTAATTAATGTTCCTGCTCTTTTTGTTTAGGTGCAATCCCACTTGGGTGGTTTGACTGCATCCGTTAGCGAACTGGAGCAACAGCAGAAGCAGCGCGCCGAGCTGCAGGATTGGGTGAAGAAACAGCAGAGCTCTGTCTCAGATTGGATGATGCGTCCTTGCAAATTGCGTCCTGAGGCAGCCCAACAGGAGCTGGTGTCCATGAACGATTTGTTGAACTCTATCGGTGACAAGAGATCGCAACTGATGTTGGAAATGACAGGATCATGTAAGTGTTAGCTATAGAATTTCAAATTTCATCTTAAGGTTTCTCTGTGACGGTCAAACTTGTGACCCTTGTATTAAAACTTAAATGAATTTATCTTTACCTAACCAATAGTGGGCGATGAAGACACCGATCTGGATGACAACATTGACAAGCTGGAATCGGAGCTCATGGATGCCATTGCCAAGAAGCAGGCTGGTCAAAATGTGATCGATGGCTATCGCCAGGGAATGGCAGATGTACAAAACTGGTTCGATACCCTGATCAAACGCATGGATGTTCTGGATCGTGGTTCTGGTCTTAATTGTGCCCAGAAAACGGCAGCCATTAATGAGATCAAGAACGAGTACGAACTGCAAGGACATCCCAAGATTCAGGAACTCAAGGGCAAGGCCGCCCAGGTGGCGGAGGTCATCAGCAATCTGGATGGTCAGCAGGTTGAAGAGCAAATGAAGTCACTGGATCGTCGTTTTGCCGATCTTGGCAAGCGCATCGATCGTAAGGCCCAACTGCTGGATGTGACCAACAAGGGAGTGGAGGGCGCCAAGGGTGAGATCGATCAGCTCCAGAATTGGGTGAAGCAGCAGATTGAGGAGCTGCAGGCACCCACTCCATTGGGTTACACACCCAAGGATGCCGAGGCACGGCAGCAGAAGATCAAGAGTCTGATGAAGGATGCCGAGGCCAAGCAATCGCTGGCTGATGTTCTGGAGAAGCGTGTGGCCAATATGCAACAAGAATTGGAACCCGTTGAATATTCCCAACTCGAGTCCGCATTGCGTAATCTCAACTCGGAGAATCGCAATTTATCGGGCGTACTCAAGGCAGAACTTGATCGTGCTCTGGAGGCCAGCAAGGCACGCAAATCCCTGGAGAACGATCTGGATAAGGCGCGTCAATGGTTGAAGACTAAAATCTCCGAAGTGCGCAAGTTGCCCGTTTATCACCCACTTACCTCCGCGGAAATCGAGAAGAAGATCCAGGAGAATCGCAAATACGATGACGATGCCAAGCAGTTCAACGACAGCGTCTTGACTGATGTTCAGCGTCAAGCGACCAACATAATGAAGGATTGCGACGATGGCGATAAGGCTGCACTGCAGCAGATTCTGGATGAAATAGCCGCCGACTATCAGACCCTGAAGGATGAGAGCAGCAAGAGAGGAAAGTCCCTGGATGATCTGCTGCAAGGTCGCAAGGCCTTCGAGGATTCGATGAAGAACATGGGCGATTGGTTGAACGAAATGGAAACAGCCACCGAGGGTGAGCTGCGTACCACTAGTCTGCCTGTTTTGGAGGAGCAACTGGCCCACTATAAGAAGCTCCTTAATGATGCCGAGAACAAGGGCGGCCTCATCAACGATGTTTCCGAACAGGGAAAGAGTATTCTGCCCACTTTGAGCAATGCCGATAAGCTGAAGCTCAACGATGACATCAAGAACATGAAGGATCGGTATGGCAGGATCAAGAACACCATCGATGATCGGGTGAATGCCTTGGGCGATCACATCAAGAAGTACAAGGATGCCAAGAGCAGGCTGGCCGATTGCAGCCAGTTCCTGGGCACCATTCAGCAGAAACTCCGTGAGCTCAATCGTCCAATTGGCTCCAGGATCGAAGATGTCCAGGATTTGTTGGGCGCCTATGAGGGCATACTCAAGGAACTCAAGGACAGCAAGAGCAAAATGGGCGATATGCAAATGGACGATTTGCCAGAGCTGCAGAGCATTTTGGCCCAGCAGGATGATATGATCAAACTGATTGAAGATCAGTTGGCCCATCTTCGACAGCTTCTGCTGCTCCGCGAGCAATTTATTGCCTTGATCAATGAGATTATTGCCTTCATCATGAAGTACACCGATGTCATAATCGATATTGAGAACTCACCCGATAGTTTGGAGGATAAGATCAATAAGTACGATGATGTGATTGTGAAAATCCAGGAATGCGAGGGTGTCCTGGCCAGCGCCAATGACAAGGGCCAGAAGATCGCCTCCGAGGGTAATGCTGCCGATAAGAACAGCATCACCGAGCAACTGCAATCGCTGAAGAATCAACTGCAGAATCTCCGCAAGGCGGTGGAATCGCAGCGCCAGAAGCATCAACTGCAGCTGGAATCGCACAAGAAGATGGCCGCCGAGCTGAGTGAAATTCTCGATTGGCTGCACAGCCATGAGGGTGCGGCCAAGTCGCGTCCTCTGCTGGATCGCGATCCGGAGTCAGTGGAGCGCGAGCTGCAAAAGCACCAGGGTCTCAGCCAGGACATTGAATCGTATCTCGCTAAGTTCAACAAGATCAATGATGGTGTTAAAACCGAAATCGGCATGCCCAGTTCGCTGTTGGAAATGCTTTCCGAGGGTCGGTCCCTGGTGGCCTCCCTGCCCCACGAACTCGAGGAGCGCGAGAAGTATCTGAAGAACAACCGCGACTCACGCTTGGAGTACATGCAACTGGTGGCCAAGTTCAATGATTGGGTCCACGAAGCCGAGTTGCGTCTGCAGAACAGCCAGCATGGCATCGACTACGAGCATTTGGTTCAGGATCTCGATGAACACAAGATCTTCTTTGGCAATGAGGCCCCCATCCGTAATCTGGTGCACAAGCAGATCCAGGAGGCAGCGGACAAGATCTGGTCTTCGCTGAACAACTACGAACAGTCGGAACTTTCGGCGGAGTTGGCTCAGTTCCAAAACAAGTTGACCAATACCCTGGCCAATGCCAAGACGCAGCAGAGTGAGTTGGAGAAGGAGGCGGAACGCTGGCGGGAGTACCAACAGTCCATTGATCGCGTCAAGGCCACCATCGAACGCACCAAGTTCAGCGATGAGCCTGTCCAGAATCTGGCCGGACTTCACTTCAACATCCAGAAGCTGACCCACGCCATCGGAAATGTTCAGGTGAGTTTTGGGAATGCTTTTGGGTTTACCTATTTCGAGCTAAAAAAAAATATACCGATAAATATTATATTTTGCATAATTTATACATGCAACTGGAGTCAAAATTATAATATTAATTTTCTAGCTTATGGACAAGGCAAATGAAAAAAGATTAAAAGTAACTTTTGAAAAAAATTTGTAATTGGGAATAATATTAAAGCTGCATTTCGAAAAAGAATAATTTAAGCGTATTTAGAAAACATTTATTTTTTTGAAAATTTAAAAATGTCCTTTGCCTCAAAAAATTAAAATTAAAACACGTATATTATTTTGACCGTAACTGTAGTAAGAACTATTTGGGAATGTGTTTTATGTATGTAGTGTTCTTGCGTGGTTGCAAATATATAATGAGGCTTGAATAAATTTATGAATAAAGAAGGAGCAAAAAAAAAAAAAAAAAAAAATAACCAAACTATGCAAAAAATTAATTATTACGAGGTAGGCTTTTGTAGGAACAAAAATTGCTTAGGAGAACTTTTAAATAAAAACCCAACATATGGATAATACATATGCTACATTTGTGTGTATTTATAATGGCCATGGACATTCAGCTGTTCGCTTGCATGTTTTGTTCATATAAGTGTGTAGCCGAAAGACCTGTTTTCCAAAAAATGACACATTGCACAAGGATGTGCCACAAACATACATATGCGAATGTATCCACTTGAGAGCCACTTTATGGAGTGGAACAAAAAAAAAAAAAAAAAAATAAAAGTGCATTCGTTTTGCATTTCGTAGTCATGGTTTTGCCGGCCGGCAAAAGCAAAAAAGCACACTCACAGCCACTTATAAACTCACTTTCAATTGCATTTGAGTGCGTTTCTCTTAGTTTTCCACTCTCTTTTCGCCAGATTGCTAATCTCTCTCTTTTTTTATTATTTGGGCTGATAGTTGTTTATTGAACACGTTGAGTTGAGTGGCCATTTGTTTACTATCGTAAGCTTTTACCTTGAAAACTCATTAAACTTTTAACCTACTAGTTCGCTAGTTGTCGTTGAGCTATGCTTATCGTTCAGACTTTTCAGTTCGATTATAATTATTCAAGGCACCAGCTCGAATTTTATGCTCAGAAACTGAAAAAAACAGCTGTTGTTGTTGCTGCTGCCACTGCCGCGAAACGAATTAAGCTCATGACATCATCAGCAGCAGCAACACTGTATCAGTCAACCAGTTTTGAGCCAGGGATGGGATAATAAATATTAATGTAATATTTTGGGTCGAGATAAATATTAAGGGATCGTTAGGACAGCGCATACTATTGACATTGGCAACAAATTTATTAAACAATTTTACGCAAACACTTTATTTTATAATTCAAGAAACTAAACCAAAATATAAATTAAAGGCTACATAACTTAAATACCGATGGCAGCTTACAATCTGAAAAAAAAACTAATAAATAATGTTTGGCAAGTCAAAGTATTGCAACTCCTTAAAAATTTAGTTTTAAAACCTGACTTCTTTATATGATGTTATGAAACAATAAATTTATTTTGGATTATATCAAGGTCTTGAATATTTTAAATTTAAATTTAGCCCTGGTTTCCCAGTAAGATATTGAGATACAACAACAAAAGCGCTCATTTTAGTGACTTTGGTTGAGCGAGCTTTAAGAGAACTGGCCCTTTGAGGCTTCCTCTTTTTGCTCTTTTGCACACAGCTGTTTGGTTGTTGTACTCATAAGTTGTTGTTATTGGTTTCTGGGGCATGCCGGTAGTCAATGTTTGTTGTTGCTGAAAATTGAGAGAGTGACGTGCTCACGGTGGCGTATGCGTGATATGTGTACATATGCGAAGCCCAACTTTTGCCGCCCACGCCCACCCAAAAAAAAAGTATATATGTATATACATATATAATGCGAATTCGAAGTAAAAACGTGTTTGCCCGGCTTTTTTGCTCTCTTTTGGCACGCTCTTTTTGAGGAATTAAGAGCGGCGAGATTCTAACTCGTGCTTATTTGCTTTTTGGGCCTGTTGGGTTTTTTTTGAGTTCCGTCGAGTTCACTTCAAGTTGAGACGTTTATCTGTGCGGTTGCCAACGTGTTTTTGTTTTGTATTCGCGATTCGCGCATTACTTTTACTATATACATGTATATAGATAGAACGAGAGAGAAGAAGCAATAGAGAGGAGGGAATCGCTAAATTTGTTAAATTTGAATTACCCGTTTCGTTTTTAAAATGCCATGTGCTTGAGGCAAGGCGCAAATTGAAATTGAACATAATAAAACAAAATAGCCAGCCACAGATAGACAACAATTATTGAAAAGCCAACGGCTAACGTCATCAGCCACTGAAATCTATAAAAGACCCATAAGAAATCAAACAAAATAAAGCCCACAAATAAAGGCTACACTCGAGGTGCGTTTGTGTGTTTTGAGTGCGTGAATGTATGTGTGTGTGAAAAAAATCTATAAAATTTTATACGAATTAAGCAGCGTTTGCCTTTCAACTCCATGGGCCAGACATATGTCAAAGTTGAATTAGGGCACACAAAGTGGAAACGACAACCTACACAATTGCGTTTATAGCGAATCTTTCGCCAAGGAGACATAAATACCAATATATATATTTTGTATAAATCGCGGTTCCGGAATCGGTGTTACGTCACAATCTATTTCACACTGCTCTCGTTGTTCTTCGCACATTTCAGAGCCAAAATAGCGACTTAACGCTAGTCAACCAGCAGGCTCAATCGCTCATCCGCCAGGCCGACGCCCGTAATCGCCAGCTGATCGAGCAGGATAACGCCGGATTGAACAGATCTTGGCAGGATCTGGTACGCAGCTTGGAGCAGCGACGCGACAACCTGCAACAGTTGGCCGAGCATTGGGACGGCTTCGAGAACAGCCTGCACGCCTGGGAAAAGGCACTTGGTCGATTGGAGGACAAGTTCCGCAATGTCGATCCGACTGTAAGATCCCGACGTCATTTGGAAGACACGAAGAATGCCATTCAGGTGAGTTGAACACAGCGTCACGTCAGCCCATTAAGGTCAGCTTAGATATTTACATGCTGGATACATTTCAAAGGTACACTGAGAAATAGGAGGCTTTACTTTGAAACATAATTTTTAAAGAAAGATTATGAAAAGGGAACCATAAAAGTGGAATTATTTAGGTTCGTTTTTATTTCGTCGATTCTAATAAATAATTGAGGTTTTTATCTATGCAGATATGTTCAAGTTATTTAGAAACATTTTTTTAACTTAAACCTTTACTTGATGCACGTATTCTTATAATCTTTTGTAAAATTTAAATCTCTCTTTAAAAGATTTCCTATTCAATTGATAATTTATTGGACCAAATAACTGTTTTTTATATAATGAATAGGACACATTTCTAAGTCAAGTCTAAGGATAAATATATATTTTTAAATTATTTTTGAGTTAACTTTTTTCGACATGCCTTAAAATGTTCTCCCTTATATTAAGAACAAGATAAAAATTATTAATGTTTTCAATTTATATTCGTATCTCTTGTCTCGCTCCATGTTTCTTTATATAAAAGACGTACGATAAACATTATTTTATATTTTTAATTTCATGTTCGTATCTCTGTGTGTATATCGTTTGCGGCACCCATTCATTCACTTAGTTTCGTTATGGCAAATCCGCCCTCCCTTGGGGCCTTTTATGTTTGTCAAATATTTCTACCAATATCCATGCATAAACACGATTGTAAGAGTCGGATATATATATATATATATGTATATATAGCCGTGAACACCATGCCGACATCAAGTTCATGGTCACGTTGTGGACCGGAGCTTGCGCTCTTTGAGCTTCTCCCTCTCTTTGGCTCTCCCAAGTTGAGCTTCATAAAAGCTATAAAGCAGCTGAGTGTCTAAGGCAGGTCTAAACAAAATTTAATTATGTGTTTTGAATGATTAACACGGAAAGCCACTAAATCACAATAATCAAGAGAAGAAGATTGCTACCAAAACAACATTCTAACTTTCAGTTTCTGTATACTTTTGTTTTTAGTTCACCCAGAGAATCAGAGACACCGAATGATTAATGACCTATAAATACAATAGAGTTGTTTGAATACCTTAACTTTTATTTATATTTACATATTAATTGCATTATTTTATGAACTCAAGGTAGCAAAAACCTCAGCGCTTAATTTACTAGAATCAGTAATTAATATTTCTAGTACTTATCAGTAGTGATTTGCATGATTTGTTGTTAGGTGAGATCATTGTTTGGAGCGATAGCCGCTGTTGATGTTTTTGTTTTTAATTTGACAACTATAAATAGTACAGATATACGCACAGACTTGCTAAAAAAACACCTAGTCCCACTTGAATGACAGTCTTTCAAATCACATTTCAATTGAAGCAATTTTTGAGCCATAAAAACTAGGCCTGGCCATATCGAACTAACGATGTTGTCATACATATGCCATATAAAGTAGGATTCAGCGATAACGAAAAAAAACAAAAACCATTTAACTTATCGATGATAAACAAACGCAAACACATAGTTAAGGCTTTAATTTTGTCTCTATAAATGAGACTATAAATTTTATTTATTTGTTTTTGTTATAAAATTGGATAACATTGTATAATTTTGCTGAAAAACTTCTTTAAAATCGAATAACCTCAAGATCCAAAAGCTGCAAAGTCAAGTCAACAAATTTATTTTTCTTCTATTCAATGTTGACCTTCCAAACTGGAATTGAAACTGAAACTGAGGGAGATACACATAAAAATACAATGAGGTTTATGCAAGCTCTACAAAAAAAGAGATGTTACAATTAATGATATTTATTCATCCATTACATGACCACACCAAATTAATCTTAATTGCGGCAAACGTTGTAATTGATAAATTCTTGTTTTTTTTTAGGAATTACGTGAAGAATCAAATCAACTTAAATCATCACATAAAGAAATCGAGGCGCTCTCTAAATCCATCCTCACATTCCTTGGGGAAGTACACAAACCCTCGGCGGAGGCCATACAGGCCAAAGTGGATAAGTTAGTTGAACAGCAGGCCAAGTGAGTACCCATTTGAAACCCCAATTACCTGAATTCTATCTATCAACTACACTGTGTTAAACTACGCGTGACTTGGGACCCAAAAAAAAAAAAAAGAGGAGAAAAACAAGCCCAAACGATATATGTACAAACAAAGGTTCCAAGATCGAAACGTTTAATTCCGGAAATTGAATTGGCTTGCATACATTATCAAGCTGCCAAACTTGTTGCCTAATGAAAACGAATGGCAATTTTGAGAATTTAACTGGTTACAGTTGACTATCTTGAGAGGCTTTCATGCTTATATCGTACTCATAATTAAATGCGTAGAGAAACCTTATGATGAAAATAATTTCTATAACAGTGATTCATTCAACGGAACTTTATATGAGTTTCTTGATAACTTTATAGTTGCACTTTTAATTGTAGCGATGAAAATAAATTTTTGTTCTCCGCTTCTTCTACTCTTTTCTAACTTGCTTGACTTGTTCGGCCCTCGAAATGCCATCTTATTGTTATAGTTGAGTCAAAAACTGACGTCAGACCAACTGTTACGCTTCGTTGTCGGTGTTTTGTTGTATGTGCATTACGTAAGCCGTGGCTTATAGTTTGTTATTTTACTCGGCCCTCCATTTCCCGAAAACATTAAGATTAATTCCAAGTACTGGGAATAGAAATGTTTGCGGGGAAAACTTTTTTCTGTTATTTTTAACCATTTGTTTTCATTTCTTTTTTTGTCGGGGCTATCCCGTTCTTCAAAGAACTGTGCCAAAGCTTCGTTCTTATCAAAATGGGTCTTATCGATAGGGGTTCTACTGCAAACACATCTAGTATATAGTATTTTACGTTTCTTGCTTCTGTGACTTGATAAGCGCCACAAATGAAGAGGAATTCTCGTGCCGTGCTTTTGCGGAAATGCCTGATAAACATTGCTGTTGTTGCCTGGCGCTAGAAAAACACAAAAACTGTGCCAATATGCCAATTCATTTTGCTTTCCTTGTTGATCATTGAGTTCGCTCTGAAAAATTCATTCGCTTGATTATTTGTCACGTGCATAAGCCTGGCAACATGTTGCCAGCAGCAATCTGGCATGTTGACAAGATTCAGAACTCACCACACCCGCAGATCACGTAAACACTTTTTCGTTGACAGCGGCCCAATTTTCTCCCTTTTGGCCTTTCACACTGACACAATTTCTGTCTGTTTTGTTTTATTTTTACACACAATTTGTTGTTTTCCTGACAGCATTCTGCCTCGCAAACGAGAGCAGCAGCTGTGGCTATAATTTTTCTCACATTTTCCCCCAAAAACGAACCGCAATGTGCGTAAGTTTTCAAAAGGCTTAAAATGACAAATGTTTTGACTGCTGCCAGGCGATGACGGCTTCGATAAATTAAATATATTTTCTTTGGATAATCACGTTTCCCTGTTGATTGAGTGAATAACAATAAAGATAATGTGATAATCCCATTAAAAATATTATATTACTAAGATTTTGTTTTTGTATTTTCACCAAAAGCGTGTCACTAGGCTAATCGAGAAATGAGGCATGAAATATTTGTCTTTAAAATTTAAGATATTTCTTTATGAAATGATCATTTCCCGTTTAATTCCTAAGACGTCCCCCCATTAATTCACTGACATTTTTATTCCTTTAATTGTTCTCATTTTCGAATGCGGCTGTCCCAATCTGAACAAATAAACTATGCCATCATCACGCCGAAAAGAATGATCTAATATGCCCCCCAGCGGCATGTCATCGATAATTATATAGTCTCAAAACTGAAATATGTATATTATACATCCTAAAATGCGACGCAAAATTTAAATGCATTACTTGAGATATTAATAACATTGTTTCGGCATGCAAAAATCTAATCAGCAAAATGACATTAAATATTGCGTAAGCCTCTATGCATTTGTGGGGATTTATTAATTTATTTATAACGATTTCTGGCCTTTCGTGTGTGAACGTGTTTATCTAAAAGACGACAATTAACTTCATTAGCAGCAAGTAAATTTAAATGTTATATGGAGCTTTCAAGGGATATTCTGTATTCCATTGATGAAATGACGGAATAAATACTCAAAGCGATATGAGCAAAATGTAAACAATGTGCCAAAAAAAAAAAAATCATTCAAAAAATAAGTAAATAATAAGGCGCAAGTGAAATTAAATGTTTTGCTTGACTTGGGTGACTTCATCGTTGAGAAATGGCAGAGAAATATGGAAAAAGGTAAACGAGAAACCATATGTGTTAGTTCATTTAAATATAATGATAATTGAACTATTTCTGAATCATACTTCGTTGATTTGAAAATCTTATCAGGCTTTTGAAAAATTAATTAGGCAACCAAACAAATCCAAATTTAATCTGTGATTTGCGTATGCATTTGCATTAACAATTTGTCATTGGGGTACCGCAAAAAAAGAGAAAATCAAAAACTGACAACAACAGAAGCGAATAATAATAAAAAACTTTGCCCAAATGAGGTAATCGGGTAATAATAAGTTTATTTCTGCCACTGTTATACGTTAACAGAGCGCTGTTACCGTTTTTGTTCCATTCCATTTGCTCTCACACTCTCTTTCTGCGACTCTCTCTTGTGGTAAGTTTATTGCCGGCTTTTCTTATCTAAACCGGCAAAATGGATTTATCAATCAAGCCTACATTGTTAATACTATTTTCTCATGAAAAATGGTAAGGGTTGGGCTTCGCAATCAAAGTTTATTGATTTTAGCCGGTTTATTCAATGTCAAGCGCATTTAACAATAATAATTTTTAGTGCCCACCTCATACTCGTGTTCCCCGTTTTATTCAGATATTGAGGTGTGGTGAGTTTTCTCGTTCTTTTATTTCCGTGGTGCCTTCGTGTGCACTGTTAACGATCGACAGCCGACGAAAGACGAAGCGTAAGGGAACTGAAAAGTTTTTGGCAATTTTTGCGTGAGATTCTGGCCGATTCAGTTTTTATTTAGAGTTAGTTGCAAGCGGACGTGTTTCTCAAACTGGATGGCTGGAAACTAAATGAAAGAGCAAACGAACGAAGCGACCGCAATACATATACGCATATTTTTAAATCAAATTAATTAACTAAGAAGTAGTAAAAACCAGAGAAGCAGCAAAGAACAAACAAGCGGTGCCCCCAAAAAAGAGAGATGTATGGCAATGGATTTTCATATGGGCCAACGGCATTTAACCGAAGCATTTTTCTTTTCCCCCCATTTCTTTTAATTTCATGTTGAAGTTATCGAACGCCGCTTTGTGGATTACCAGGCGTATACGTAACGAGCGAAAAACAGTCCCCGAGTCACAGAGTTAATTTTCCATTTTATAGCGTCTGCTTGGGTTTCACCGAAATTCCGCCAACGGAATTGAGGTAGTGGAAGTCAAGCAGAGAGCTCGGAAGTTCCAAAAGTTGAGCACACTTCTGCCTCCCGAGTCAAATAGGAGGTTCGAAAGTTGTCGCCAACAGAAAGACGCAGAAAAATACGAACCCAAATCGCAGACAGAAGACTGAGCAGCAATTAAAAATTGTAGCTAATTGCCGGCAAACTTACGCACTTGAAGCTAAAGTCGTGAAAAGCAAGAGGTGATTGTTATGTCCACAAAAAAAAAAACAACAGAAAACAAGTACTTAAATTCGAATGAGAGCTGGTGTAGAAATTTCCAAGACTTGATTAAGTCATCGTAGAGAATACCCCCTTAGAGCAGCTCATATGCAAAACAGCAGTACTCGTATACCTGCCAGGGTCGTCAGGTGTGATTGTTTTTGTTATTTTCGCTTCATTCAATTCGGTGGAGAGCCGGAGAAAAAAATACAAATCGCACGCGTTTCTACTTTAAACGATGACGTAGTCAAGGCGACAAAAATAGCTGCTTATCGTCGACGAGGGCCTGATTACATTCCTCCTGTCGCCATAATTGATCAAACTATGTTTCGCAAATGTTTCGACAAACGTTTTAGACTTGTTTCGTCGTGGAGCAACACGCGCCGCACCGCTCATTTGTTGCCTTTCACTTTCACTCGTGCTCGCCACGGCATTTCACACATATTTTGCCATTTAAATTAGAGCCGTGCACTAAATTTAAATCGTTAATTTGTACAAAATGGCAGCCGACTGAAAATAGCATAGAGGAAAAATAATTTTCCTTTTATTTATTTTGCTCGGCGGCGGCAACCCAAACAACATTGAGAACTACTCACTAGTTCGATATATTTGTTGGCTGCGAAAAATGACGCCGAAATAATTCTGGCTAGTTTATAGAGTATCGTATATTTCCGACGCCGCCCGAATTTCTGCTTTTCGCCGGCAGCAGCGCGCATTTAACAATTAAAATTAAAATTGTTTTCAGCCGACTTTTCGGCCAATTGGCCGCGAGCCAAATGTGTGTTGACTTGGCCTCATCTTGGGCCGAATTTTTGTTTCGGTCCTCGGCGGCTGTAAAGGGCAATAAACGTTCCATTAACATGTCCGTCATTCCATGCCAAGTGCAATCGTTGATCACGAACACTTGTTGTCGACACACAAAATTATATTTTTTCAACTTTTGCTTTGGACACCAGAGCGTATGAGCGATATGCGTCATGTGCTGGAAATACGGAGCGGAAATCAATGCGAAATTCAAATACGATTAATGTTACTCATTGATTCCATCCCGTTCACTGCAACGCCCCAATGACTTCAGCTTGTCTACGGCCAAAATGCACAGCGAAAAAGAATTATTAAAACATAAATAAATGGAGGGGGAATATAAATTTAAACATGCGCCGCTTTCAAAAATACACGCTAGCTAAAACAATAACAAAAACAAGACAATTTTAAAAGTTGTGCGTGAATATAGGGAACTTTTTTATTTTATGTTTCTTACGGCGGCGGCTTTTTAAATGAAAAGTTTCGCTCTTTGCCTCTCAATGGGATCAAGGCAATTTCGAATTATGAGCAATGTACGAAAATCTTTTTCGAATTTCGAAAAATTGCTCAGACCCCAAGCAAATGTGCTCGGGCCATTTCATTTCATTTAGAAAACTCTCTTGTAGCCAAACGGCAGCATTCATTTTTCACGGAAATCTTCGCAGCCTCGAGGCCAAAGCCCAGTGGATCTTACATATACATATAGCGATATATATATATATGCGCAGCCAAAGAACATTGAAAACTTCAGAATTTTTCAGCCTTTTGTGCCAGAAGAAGAATAACTTTTCGCCCGCCCGCCCCTATATATCTATATAGTAGAGGTCTTTTAGATCTCTGTGTGGACCAAATCTAGATATCTATCTATACCAGCAGGAACCGCGTGGTTTTCACACTGTCTACAACCATATATATATATTGCATGTCATTGAATAACGTGCCCCTGAATTTTAACCCGCTCTATTTTTTTTAGATTGAACGACACTCTGCGCGATAAGGAGCAACAGGTTAGCAAGGATCTCGAGGAGATCGAGCAAGTCTTCCGTCGCATCTCGCAACTGCAGGATAAGCTAAACGCCCTTCACGAACAACTCCAATCGGTTCACGTCTACGACGAGCATATATCGCAAACGGAACAGCTCCTGATCACATTAAATAGCCAGGTGCAGCAGGCCGCCGAGGAGAGCAGATCGCTGGTGGCCCAAACAACGGCCCAGTATCAGGCCAAGCAGAATCAGCTGCCCAGCGACATTGCCCAGGAGTTTACCGCCCTCGAGCTTTTGGCCGAACGTGTCCAGGTGACGATGGAGACCAAAGAGAAGGATTTCAAGCGGGCCAAGACCGTGCGCACCGAATATGTGGCCGGTGTGGACGAGATTCAGCGCTGGCTGCTTCAGGCTGAGGTGCAGGTGCAGGAGCGAAGCCTTACACCCACACAGATGAAGGAGCTGCTGCAGCGCATCAACCACGAGATCACCGCCATCTACGAACGCTTCACGCTGGTCAAGACCAACGGCCAACTGATCATCGAGAATTGTCGCAACAGCGAGGAGAAGACGCTGGTGCAGACGACCATCGACCAGTTGGCCGCATCGCTGGCCCAGGTTCGCGGCTGGCTGGACGAGAAGAAGCAGGCGGTGGGCGATAGCTTGGACGCGTGGACGAGGTTCATGAACCTCTACCAGATCGTGATGTCGTGGGCTGCTGAGAAGCGCACCTTCATCGATCAGACGATCGAGCTGCGCACTCTGCCCGAGGCACGCAACAAACTGAACGACTATGTGACGGCTGTGAAGAGTATTAAACCGATTGTGAAGCATCTGAGCGAAATGGACAAGGAACTGGAGCACATTGGCCAGGTGACGACTGTGGGCGATCTCAAGGACAAACTGCAGGAGGCCGAGGATGCGAAGATATCCGTGGAAGCGGTGCTGCTAGAGAGGGTAAAGTGGAGGATCCGGAGGACTAACCCCTTTCCAAAAAAAAAAACAAACCATTTAATAACTTTATTCTACCCTTTACTATCTTGTAATCCATAGAACTCCCTGCTGCAAGAGGCCTGCGAGGAATGGGACCAATGTGAACGCAAGATTAAGGATATACGCTCTTGGCACGAAAAGACGAAGCAGAGTTTGGACTCCTCGCAGCAGCAAAAGAAACCGCTGCGCGATCAGCTCGGCTTCTGTGAGAAGACCCTGGCCGATATTAATGTGCAGAAAACGAAACTGAGACTGTCCATTGAGAAACTGGAGGTGAGTACTCGGGGGGGGACCGGCGGCATGGCTAATTCCTGCTTATCATACCATTCACAGGTTCATTTCCGCAACGGCATGGGCGGTGATCCGCGTCTCAGCGAGAATGTCGATGAACTGGTGCGCGTGCTCGACGGCCTGGGCGAACTTGGCAAGGCCAAGTCGCAGAGCCTCGAGCAGACGCTGGCCCAGATCGATGTTTACCAGCAGCAGATGCAGACCCTGCGCCAGCGCATCATCCAGGAGGAGCAGCAGCTCCGACTGGTGATGGCGCCCACGTACTTGCCGCACGATCGCGAGCGCGCATTAGCCGAGCAACAGGTACGTACCGTCCAATCTCTGAGAGTTTTAGTAGACCCCAATATAGCGAAGCAGCTAGCAGTTCAGTTCAGATATCAGATATTGCCAGGAGCTCTCTAGTAAAGTCGTCAATTATCCCCTTTTAAATCCCCTTTTCTATATATCTATGAATCTCATTTCGTCATTGCTATGAACAATCTTTCATCGCTATGAAAAACAGTTGACAGAACAACCAAACAAATTTATTAACCCCTTACCCGAATATATAATCTATATATTTGATTAATCTTTGAATTTGTTACGACCCTTACGCTTAAATGTGTGCGGGTAGGTCTGAAGAAAAACAGTTGCACGGTGGCTGCGTATTTAATTTAATTCTTTTTTCGGTTTTATCAAAAAAAAAAAGAAACAACGCGCATTTTTATTTATTTATTTTTATTATCATCTTTTTTTTTGTTCGTCCAAATTCTATTACGTTTTTATTTTCGAATTCGTTTTATGCCATTATATTTCGCACACACAAATCAACATTTATCATACACACATTTCATCTTTATATTTCCTTATGTTTAAACATTTTTCATCTCTCATCTACCGACCGTGCAGCTCTCATTTTCAAATCTCATTGCTACCATATCGCTCTCATTGGAAAATACCCACAGAAATTATACCTCATTTATATCGGCGCTTGCGGATCTCATCATTACCATTTGTCACGTGCTGCGGCCCGAAAATATATATTTAAAATGCCCAGAAACAAATAAGTTCTTGTTGTCAGGGTTAGGCCACCCAGAAAAGAAAAGCAAATTCCTCCTCCAGATAATCATCAAGACTATTTTTAGAGCCAAAACGTTTTCCATTGTTTTTGTTGCTCGTAAACAAAATGATTATATTTAGAGGCAGTTGCCTAGCAATAGGTCTATCAAGTTTTTCCCAGTATTTTAAATCATTTTTAATATTATTACTAAAATTTAACTTTTCATTGCGAACTGCAATGTTGGCGGTAAGTGGCAAACAAAGAATTCAATTCAATTTGGGACCGTAGTTAATATTTTGATGATAAATGGGGGCAGCTCTTGCTATGAGAACTTATTTTGATTTTCTTTCACCTGACCTCACACACACACACACACAAACACCCATGAGAAAGTTCACTCATCACATCGCATTTAAATCGTCACATTTTATGGCACAATTACATATTAAGCTTTCGCTTAGAAATTTTTGAAAGGTTTTTAATTTTGTTTAATTTTTATTTGATTTAATTATTTAGTCAGCTTAGCCAAGCAATCATTTTCTTCACCAAGCAGCTCTCTCTTACTCTCTCTTTATACCTCTTTTATATCTTTCTGGTATTGTACTAGCAAAAGTCGGTTATATCTTAATTATGGTTACGGTTTATAATTTGATTTGGTATTTTATTTTTGACAAATGTATTTTTCTTTATCTTTCCTCTACGTAACTTATTGAATATAAACAAAAATCCTGGTGTCGTTGCGCTGAAAAAATCGAAAAACAAACATGCAAATTATTAAACACACTCCATAAACATTGTTCTTTACTAATCATATTTAAACCAATTAAAACTTATCGTTGGGCTTTGCTCGCTTGCCTGTTGCGCTACTTATAAACCTGTGACTAATCCAAAACTGCTACATATCCGATGTAACCTCGTTAACCCCATCGAATAAACAACCCCTGATCACACATAAACAAACACACATGGGTACTGCTTACTTCTTCTATAAAAACGAAATATCGAACTTGGTTAATGGTCGCTTTTCCTGTATCCCATGGCGTATAATGTGCTCGCTATCTCTAAATTGTCATAAATGAATCTCAATATATATGCTGACATCTTTTGTATTTCTTCTCTATATATATATATATATCTGCTCTCACGCCAACCATTTGAACTCTTTAAAAAAAAAAAAATAAACATGCACCATATATACCCTATATATAAACAATAGGCATGCCGGGAACGTGTCAAAAATCTGCATTCGAAAATAACTGCACGTAATGAGCGCATCAAGTTGTTAATACATCGCGGCACGCCGGACGATGCCAAGCTAGAGATTTAGGATGCCGTACCCTTAACCATAAGTTAAAGCCAATCTAGGTCTAGATCAAAGCCAATGCAGCCACCCCGGCGTCTTCTGTTTGCCCTTGCCACCGGTCTCCTTCTCCCAGGGACGGTGACTTTGGCCAAACTGTCAACTGCCGTCACTACTCTAATCAAAAACATGACCCATGTTTAAGAATATACAATTATATTATATATTTTAAAGAATAAATTAAATTATCAAATTATATTTTTAAAACGCAATCCCCTCTTTGAGTATAATTTTTGAGGGAACTTAGGGTATTTCTCTAATAGGTAGCTAAGCTTTGTCTTTGTCCCCTCTTTTGAAACCCCTGCAATCATATCAAAGCTAACGTTTTTGGCAAATCTTCCCCCTATCTCTCCCACTCTCTCTCTCTCACTCTGATACGTGAACCATGATGAACAATTAGGCAATGCGAGAATCAATCGATGGCATGCAGCAAGTCTACGATGCGACCGCTCGAAAGTCCTATGCGCTGGATCCCCATTCAGTGGTGACCACTTCATCGACTGTCTCGTTGCTTATGAAGCCAACAGCGGCAGTGGGTCTGACCTATGCTGAAGTGTTGTCTGGACATGCGAGTCCGGTAAGCAGCGGTAATGAATCGGTAACAAATCCCCGACAAGAACGAGACCACTCTATTACGACAAAAACGGCGACCCGGCAGGAACAAACGACCGACGATACCCTCAACCAGACAACAATTACAACTGTTACGACCACAACAACAACGACTTCGAGACGTACGCACGGTGATGAAGCCCAAAGCCAAGAGCGATATGAGTTCCATGTCGGCGGCAGCACTGATCCCACAGCGAAATACGAACGTCAAGAACATGTTACACCAACCAGCGATAATACCCCAACTTCAGTTCCTAGCACAACGACAACGTCCAACCCCAACACTCAGTTCATCGAAAGCGAGCAAAAACACCATTCTCAGGCCAAACCGGGTAAGAAACTTCAGCCACCGCGACCAGAACGTCGAGGTCGTTCGCCTAGACGTCGACCTCAACAGCACCAAGCAAAACCAACCCAGGAACAACAGCCCCCAATCGAGATTCAATTCGAGCAGCAACAACCACAACAGGAACAACTCTTCTTGCCCATTGATGACCGCACTAGATCACGTAGTCCCATGTGGGTACCCGGTTCGACTTCCTATGCCGAGGTTCTGCGAGGACTGGAACTGGAGCGCCTCAAGGCCGAGCAGTTGGCCGCCCAGGCGGTTCAAGGCCGCACCGATCTTACCATCCAGGATGTGGTGGATGCCAGCGCAGAAGTTTCAGACAGTATTTACGTCCCCGAACCTGAGCCACAGCCCATTAAAGAAACACAGCAGCAAGAGCCACAACTAGAACAATACATCAGCAACACCGGTACAGATCTTAACTATTCTATCCCGCAGCAGGAGCAACAGCAACATCAGTTGCAACCACAACTGCAGCAATCTCAGCCACAGCAACCGAAATCCATCAGTAACTACGAAGTGCCCATGACAGCTGAAGAGATTGCAGCCACCTACTTGCAGCCCGATCCGCAGTTGTATCAGACAATGTACGAAAACGTAGCCGATAGTGGTCAGTGGGGTTATGTGACAGGATCTGTGACAGAGCCACAGCAACAGCAGGCGACCCAACAGAACTATTATGAGCAGATTATGCAGATGCAGTATCCCATACAGTATCAGCAGGTGGCTGTGCCACCAGCGACAACGCAATATCAGCTTTTGGCTGGCTACTATCAGCCGGTGGCTCAGACGGAGACTTACTCCACGGTTTACCCCGCAGAGCCGAATCAAATCTACTATACCCAGCAAACGGCCGAGTACTCACAGGAATACCCACAGCAGCAGCAGCAAACTGAACCTTTGCAGGAATATCAGCCGGAGACGGTAGAGCAGACCTATCTGCTTGATCCCTACACTACGAATACCACTCTTACCTCAACGACAGGTAACAGCGTGCTGGATCGCGTTGTAACCACGTTGGCATCCATGGTTCAACAGAGTGCAGAGCCTCTGACTACCAGCACCCAACAAATTCAACCGGTGGTGGTCCAGAGCGAGTCGTCATACTATATTGAAGAGCATGTTCATATGCTGCGACCTGTAGAACCACAAGAGTTTGAGCTGAACGAACCCCGACCGGATATTACTTTTGGTCAATTTGATATTGATGCTATTGAAACCATACCTTTGGATGAGCCACAAGTTCCACAGGCCCAATTCGAACCTCAGCCCCAGGTTCAATCTCAACCAACTGAAACGACAACCAGCTATGTAACGGAGACAACAATTGTCTCCGAACAGACACAGCCAACTGTGATAATACGGCAGACTCAGGAAATTGTCGCAGAACCAGATGCTTCACAGACCACTGAAGTACCGACCACGGTCGTGGTGCATCCCCAGCCTCAGCGGCGAAGCAACAAACAAGTCCGGCCCCAGGATATCAGTACAGGCAGCACTTATGCCGAAGTCCTCTTCGGTCTCCAGCACAAAGAAAATGCAGTTTTCCAGCCATCCAGTCAGCAACAGACCCCAGTGCGCCTCACGTCCTCGCCGCCTATGCAACGCAAGCTGGAACAGACAACAATCAATACTGCTACCTTTACTAATAAAACCAAACAGCACGCCAGACAAGTCGAGAAATCACCAACTTGGGAACGCAAGATCGACAATGTTGAGTCGCGTACATCGCGAACAAAGAGAGTGAGACACGAAACTCAACCGGAACCTTTACCGATTAAACAGAGTACTAGGAAAGAAGGTAAGACGGGTAAGAAATCCCAGTCTCCCGATAGAAATGGTGTCGCTTTGGTGGAGAGGAAACCACTTGTTGATGCGCCAACACCGAAGACGGATATTGAAGAGACTCCCAAACCTGAGCCAAAGCCAAGAAAATCAAAGAAGCCGAAAAAGCCAAGCGATAGTGAGGCCGCAACAAGTGTAGAGCGAAAAGATGAATCAGCTGCCGATGTTTTAGTGTCATCTAAAAAGGACAAGAAATTGGCCCACTCTGTTTTGGTCGAGACAACTGTGATAAAAACAATAGTTGAACCTGCTGCTGAGATTATTTTGCCAGTGGAATCAGCTCCAGCTCCCTCAAAGAAAGATAAAAAACAAAAGCCCGTCAAGGAAAAGGACACTACAAAGTCAGAAGAAAAGGTTTTGGAGGTGCCACCAGTTGCTCCAACCAGAAAGGATAAGAAACAAGCCAAGGCGGTGGCGCAGGAACCCGTGCCAACCAAGTCTATTGAGCCGACGGTAAAGGCAACTGACAAGCCAGCCAAACCTGAATCGAAATCAGAGAGTGTGGTTAAAACTGTTGTAGAGGAAGTTGTTGTCAACACCAAGTCGGCCGAACCTGCCATTGAAAAGGAAATTGTCAAAGTTGCTCTCATAGACGAGGAAGAACCCGTAAAATCTCTAGCTCCAGCTGTGCCTTCAAAGAAGGAGAAGAAAAAGACCAAGACAGTTGTTGAACAGCTTGAGCCTGTCACTAAAAAAGAGATTGTTCAACCATCTGTGATTGAAATTGTAGAACCTCAGGCTACAACTATTAGTTCCAAAAAGGAAAAGAAACAGTCGGAAACTATTGTGGAAACTTTACTTATTAGTGCACAAAACGTGGAACCAGTTCCTGCACCAGTGCCCTCCAAGAAGGACAAAAAGCGTTCTAAGAAGGAACCAAAACAACCCTTGGAAACTAAAATAACAGAAACAGTTACAGTTCAAGGTACCGCAGTGACTGAGCCCATTGTTGCTACTCAGGACCTAGTTGAAAATAATATGCCGTTATCGGAACCAATTACTGAAAAAACTTTAAAACAAGAACCAATAACTGAACTGGTGATTCCGATTGAAAATGTTTCCTCAGATGCTGTAATTGCCACAGAAAAGGACACACCATCGTCCATCGAGACCGCCCCCCTTGATATTCAGGAGACCATTATCGAAGGCGAGCCTACGGTCACTACATCAAGTAATACAATCTCAACGGAAAGTGGCACTACAACCATCACAACGCGAACAATAACTAAGCACATTACCAAGCGCATTGTAAAACGCATTGTAGATGGCAAGGAGGAGATTGTCGAAGAAGATGTCATTGATGATTTACCTGAAGAGAACATATCCGTTGAGCAATATAACCTTCCAACAATAGAAACTACCACCAAGGAGATGCCCATTGATGTAACTGGATTCTCTACAACACAGGACACAATCGTACAGCAAGGATCGATAACTAAGACTGTTATAACCAAGACAAAGCGCATCCTGAAGCGCATAACTGAAGACGGAGAGGAAATAGTAGAGGAGGTCTTTGAAGATGAACCTGAGGTTGAGCGCGATGTGACTCTGCTACCTACTACAGTGATAACTTCATTAGAAGTCATCGAGGATGCTGCCCAAAATGTGGTTGATGAAGTTTTAAAACAAGCTGAGGAAATAACGCAAAACGAATCGTCAAAACTGAGCCAGGAGAAGACCAAGCCCTCGATTGAAGCAGAACTGAACCCAGTTGTAAAAGCAAGTCCTGCTGAACCTGAAGTAACCAATAAGAAGGAGATACAGAAGCCGCAAAAGCCTTCAAGAAAAGATAAGAAGAAACAAAAGAAGTTGGAAAGCGACCAAGAAGCTGATATTGAGCAAAAGGTTATCAAAATCGTCGAACCTCAAATAGAAATCACAGAGCCCCTGAACGTACCAAGTGCAATTGCTACGGATGATAATCAAAATCTGTCGTCTGAGCAAACCAGCGTCAGCGATGACAACGGTCTCATCAAGACAACAGTTATCCGTACAACCAAAATCGTAAAGAAAATCAGCAGCAGTCAGCAACAAAGTCAGGAGATGAATTCTTCGACGCATTCAGATGTAGTTTCATCTTTGGGCTCTTACGATTTGGCAGACGAAGCAACCGAATCACCAAAGATTGAGAAATCGGAAACGAATAGCCGAGAAATCAGCGATGAGGGCGTAGTCAAAACAACTAAAACCACAACCACTAAAACCATAAAATCTCCAAAAGTGGAAGAAGTACACGTGGAACCATCATTAGATTTAACTACCGGCACGGTTGTTTCACCTGCAGTTGCTGAAGAGCCCGAGGAAGGTGGTGTAATCAAAACAACTATTGTGCGTACCACGAAGATTGTCAAAAAGATTTCTCAAGAGAGCGAAAATATCAGCGAGACAAGCAGTGAAGCCGAGATTTCTCTACCGATTGTCGAGTCAGTCATGCAAGACGCTCCACTTGTCGCAGAATCTGTAACTACTGAATCAAACAGCGAGGGCATAACTAAGACCACGACAATACGGACAACTAAGGCTACTGCTAAGATTGCGGGCGGAAGTGAGGATGAAGTTTTGAACCTACCGGATGTTCCTGTGGCCCCTCTTGAATTGGAGGATGAAGCTGTTGAACTTCCAGAAGTCCCTAAAGCCCCTATTGACGTGCAAGATAAGCTTATGATAGCGGCAACCACTGTTGATGTTCCCAACTTAACCCAAATAAAATCTACAGTTATGGACTTTATTGGTGCAGAGCAATATGAGGCAAAAAAATCGACTAAGTCGGAAGAAATTGTTTCTCAGATTCCAATTTACGAGGAACATAAAGACCTGGCTCCAGCTCAAGAATTTACGGTGTCGGAACCTGAATCTTCCGGGGTTGGTGATGTTGTCAAGACTACAATTGTTCGAACAACTAAAATTGTCAAGAAGGTATCGCAAAACGCGGAACAAAGTGTTGGTGTAATCGTTGATGCTCCCAATTCGGAGGACACGGAATCAAAACCAGTGGAGCCAGCTGAGGACGTTAGTGCTGGTGTTACTAAAACAACAACCGTGCGTACTACGAAGATCGTAAAGAAGCTTAATGAAGATGGGGAAACGACCACAGAGGAAACCAGCACCGCCAGTGAACCAGTGACAGTGCGAGAAGCTTCGCCAACTATTTCGGAGGTCCCGAGCGAAACTTCAACCACATCTAGTCAAATTGATGGTGCAATTATCAAGACTACGACAATTCGAACAATGCGAATCACAAAGAGGGTAGCCAATGACGGCCGCATTCTGCTCACTGAGAGCGAGACACCGGGTGATGTAATTGTAACTTCAAGCATTGAGATGCCCGACCAGAGACCAATTAGTCCGGTGACTTCCTCGCGCTCAACCTCTCCCGCTGTGACGCCTAGTTCCGAACTGAAGTTAACTAATTTGGGTTCAAACATACAGTTAGGATTAAAGGACAGCCCAACTGGGGTTAAGGTTATTGGCATCGAAACAAACACCGTCGAGTTGCCGAAGTTTGGTGAACAGCAATATGCTGAAAACAAAACTAATGGGTCACTTAACAAGACAGAAAGTATTACCACTACTATGACGACTACCAAGAACACGATACTCACGACTACCCAACGACGAAGCTTCGAAACCGAAGACGGCACAAATGTTCTTTTCGTGGGAGAAGGCATTGACGGTGCATATCCACCGGGCACAGTGCAAAAAATTTCCCTAATTACTCATGAAGAGAAACTGAAGACACCTATCGTGAAAATGCATCTTGATTTTCCGGAGGTTAGTCTTCGGGTGACAGAGACTGTGACTGAAAATGTGGAATCACTGCAAGAAACAGCCGACAGTAGTGAGAATACCGTGATTGACGTAGTCGAATTGTCGAAATCGGAGGTCCCAGAAGCAGTAGAATCCAAATCTGATCCCATTCCCCAGCTAGTAGTAAAACCTACCCCATCAGATGAACTCACAAAGATCGCAGAAACAACCCCCTCAGTTGTCCCTAAAAGTAGCCCAGAAGAATTAAGCCCTGAAGAGCAAAAGCTTTTTGAGGATATTCAGAAAAAACTTTCCAAGAAAGATAAGAAGAAGCGTCCAGCTATTCCGGAAGAGTTTATTAAGCAAGAAACGGTTCAGGTCATTTTGGAGGAAAGCAAAGGTAATGAAAATAGTAATATCCATGATATAGTTGAAAAACTAACCGATGTAGTTGAACCCTTAGTTAAGCAAGACACGTTGGCTTTCAATGTCTCGCAGGAAGAGACCCTGATCTCTAGTGTCAGTTTAGTTAAGCAATCTAAGGATTATCAAGAGTCCATAGTAGAAGTTGCACCAGTTACCGAATCTCCTCAAGCAACTGAAGAGGTCACTGTTAATATTCAACCAAAACCTCTTCTGGAATCTGATAATTTTGTAAACAACATTACTCAAGACGAGTCTTTAATCTCCACCGTCAAGTTGATCGAGCAAACAAAGTCAGACATTCTTTATCATGAGTCTTTAGTTGAACTTGTCCCCGTTCACCCTCAAGAAGAAGTGCCAGTCGAAATTCCATGTGAAACTCAGTCAAGTCCTGCTCCTACTAATATTGCTAATCAAATTGTTTCTGCCCAACCAAGCGCATTAATTGCTGAAGCATTTGTGGCTAACCCGGTAAGCACTTTAAATATAATCACTAATATTGAAACAATTTTACCCCATGAAAAAATATTTGAAATTCCCAAATTTGATATATTTAAACTTAATATCGCTGAGGATAATTATCACATAATCATTTCTAAAGCTATTGAAAATAAACAATCTATCGAAACTGTACCTGAATCGCACGCAAAGACGGTAAGCTTTGACGATGCAACGGAAACTAAAATTGAAACTACCGTCACCGACATGGGTTCAACAACGACACTAGATTCTGCAGCACCTCAACAAACCGATTATATCCCTGCTACATACAACTTCGAGGTTCCCAAATTTGACATAATTTTCTTAAATAAGGCTGAGGCTAGACAGAAAATTCTTGAAGCGGCAGAAGAAGTAGAAAAGTCTGAGCCAATTGTTGATGCTCTGATGGTGGATGAAACCAAAACAATTACAACAGTTACCACTACAACAGTAACTACTGAGTCCACTAACGAAACTGCAGTTCCCGAAGAACCCAAGAAAGTTCAGGAAAAGACACCTGAGGAACCCAAGAAACCAGCTTATGCCGGTCTGCCCGTGGACGACTCTTCCAGCTCTTGGATGGATGTTTTGGATGAGCCAATGAACTTCTCCGATGATGAAGAGGAATCTGTTCCTGAGCCACAAACGGAAGTCACCCCAGTGGAAGAAACAGAAAAGTCTGTGCCAATTGTTGAAGCTCCGATTGTGGATGAAACCAGAACAATTACAACAGTTACCACCACAACAGTATCTACTGAGTCCACCAGCGAAACTGCTATACCCGAAGAAACGAAGAAAGTTCAGGAAAAGACACCTGAGGAACCCAAGAAACCAGCTTATGCCGGTCTGCCCGTGGACGACTCTTCCAGCTCTTGGATGGATGTTTTGGATGAGCCAATGAACTTCTCCGATGATGAAGAGGAATCTGTTCCTGAGCCACAAACGGAAGTCACGCTAGTGGAAGAAACAGAAAAGTCTGAGCCAATTGTTGATGTTCCGATGGTGGATGAAACCAAAACAATTACAACAGTTACCACTACAACAGTAACTACTGAGTCCACTAACGAAACTGCAGTTCCCGAAGAACCCAAGAAAGTTCAGGAAAAGACACCTGAGGAACCCAAGAAACCAGCTTATGCCGGTCTGCCGGTGGACGACTCTTCCAGCTCTTGGATGGATGTTTTGGATGAGCCAATGAACTTCTCCGATGATGAAGAGGAATCTGTTCCTGAGCCACAAACGGAAGTCACGCTAGTGGAAGAAACAGAAAAGTCTGTGCCAATTGTTGAAGCTCCGATTGTGGATGCAACCAGAACAATTACAACAGTTACCACCACAACAGTATCTACTGAGTCCACCAGCGAAACTGCTATACCCGAAGAAACGAAGAAAGTTCAGGAAAAGACACCTGAGGAACCCAAGAAACCAGCTTATGCCGGTCTGCCGGTGGACGACTCTTCCAGCTCTTGGATGGATGTTTTGGATGAGCCAATGAACTTCTCCGATGATGAAGAGGAATCTGTTCCTGAGCCACAAACGGAAGTCACGCTAGTGGAAGAAACAGAAAAGTCTGTGCCAATTGTTGAAGCTCCGATTGTGGATGCAACCAGAACAATTACAACAGTTACCACCACAACAGTAACTACTGAGTCCACCAGCGAAACTGCTACTCCCGAAGAAACGAAGAAAAATGATGGCTTGGAAAAGAAACCTGTGGAGCTAAGCAAACCAGTATCTGAGCCACAAACGGAAGTTACGCTGGTGGAAAAAGCAGGCAATTCTGAGCCGATTGAGGATGAAACCAAGACAATTGAATCTATTAGTGAATTATCCATTTCGAAGGAACCCAAAGAAACTAATAGTTCAGAAAACAAACCTGAGCCACAAAAAGTGGTAGATGAAAAGAAGACCATTGAAAAGGTTTTCACGACAACAGTTATTACAGAAACAACTAACGAAACTACTGTTCACGAAGAATCGGCTAAAAACCCAGAGACTGTTCTATCTATTCCCAAAGAAGAAAATGATCATGAAGAAGGCGATTCGGACTCTCTATCTGTTGAAGTCCAGTCCTTTAATAATGGAGTTCAACAATTGGAGAAACCTCTAGAGGGGCCTATTGATACCTGGTCCAGTGTTTTGGAAGACACAGTTCCTAATACCGGAAGCATTGGCTTTACTTCAACTTTATCGGCCGATGCACCTGAGTTTACTCCATCTTATCTGAGACATACTTACTCCGATCAAACTCATACGTTCCTTGCAAATGAAAGAGTATACAATGAATTTATTCCAAGGAACAGGTCGGAACAGACAATTGTGCCACAACAAAAGCTCAAAAAACCTAAACCATCGAAGCGACAAAACAAGAAGGTGGAAAACAAAGAAGAGATTCATAATATCCAACCTGCTCAGGAAATATACATCCCAGAACCGATACAAATTGTTGAAGAGGTGGAGAATGTTTGGACCAAAAACCGTGATGGCAAATCTTATGCTGACGTGTTACTCAACTCTGGCGTTATTGGCGATGTTGTCGCGGCTACTGAAGAAATACCATTTAAACCAGCTGTAGAGCACACTAAAACACAGGAGCGGAGAAAAAAGACAAAGCCTGAGAAACGCCTGGCAGTTGAAAAAAGTCTTGAACTGTCTGCACCAAGCACTGAAAGCGATAAATCTAAGCCAAATAGCGATAGTGAGCAGTCCAAGCCTACGACAGAAAGCGATCTATCTAAACCAACAACCGAAAGTGCAAAGGAACTTTCTTCCGATGAAAGGGATGTCTTAAGCACCTCCGAGCTGACTTGGTCAGCTCTTGTCCGAAGACCTGGCGAGTGGTCGGACACAACCATAGTCAAGAAAGAAATTACCCATGCAGCTGTCTCAACTGAGGACAAGCCTCGTCAGAAAGAAAAGGAGGAATCCAAGAAACCGACAAAGGTCAAAAAGTCGAAGAAATCAAAGAAACCATTTGTTGAACCAGTCTCGACCACATCTGAAGACGAGCAACCTGAGCCAGTTGTGCCTGCAATAGTGGAGGTTCAACCTGTACTAGTAGAGACGAAAACGGATCAAAAAGGAAATGAGAATGTACAGGGTGGTAGTTCATTCTCTTGGGCTTCACTTGTAAAAAGGCCTGGCGAATGGATTGACAACACCGTAACTCATATTAAGACTGCTGTGGCAACTTCAACAGACGTCAAAGAACCAACTAAAAAAGAACATGAAAAACCACAAAAGCCTAAAAAGCAGAAGTCCAAGAAAAAACCAGAGTTTAAACCTACTCCAATAGCAGAGCCGGAGTCCGAATTTAGCAATGAACCGATCGAAGAAATTGTGGTTCAGGGCGAGGTGGAAAAATTAAAACCTATCGAAAACACAGGAAACTTGTTCTCTTGGGCATCTCTGGTGAAGAAGCCTGGCGAGTGGGTTGATGACATTGCTGACCGTAAAAAGCCAGTTGAACCCCTAAAAGAGGAACGCAGGGAAGATATCCATCTACGGAAAGAACGCAAAACACATAAAACTGTGGCTACTCCTCAGACTGAGAACATCATCAAGCGTAAAATCAAAGAGGAAGTTCGAGAACCTAAAGTCATTCAGTCGACATCAGATGATAGTGATGTAGTTGAGCCATTATCATCTAAAGACGAAAGCACAATTACATGGGCTAAAATCGCTAGTCAAATTGATCATATGACCGAATTGGCACCAAAGCCTAAGAAGGAGGTTAGGCAGAAGCAACCCGAAACCTTAAAACAGCAAGTTAGGTTCGATCGATATGAGAAACCGGCAAAGACAAAGTTGCGTGCCATATCTCCAGATGCCAGTAAATATAAGAAGGAGAGAGGACATACCTGGTCCTCAGTTGTGAGTCATGAAGTCTCTGATTTTATTGAAGCTGAGAAGATCAAACCAGATTCTAAAATTTCTACGGATAAGCCCAGGGAGAAGGCTGAATCTCAAACTAAATCTTCTATACAGTTGGAAGAACCTTTGCCAGACCTAGAATCGATACCAGTTTCCCAAATCCAAGAAAATAAGCTGCAAAGGTCATGGGCTGAAATGAGTGATGACGGCTCGGAAGACGTGGTTATTGAACAGAAATCGTGGAAGGAACTAATAGAAGACGAAGTAGAGATTCCGCTTCTTCCAGAAAATGGAGACGCAGCGAACATCACCAAGATTATTGAAAGCATCCAAGAAATGAAATCAGCCAATAAAGAAAATTTCATCACCAAATTTGAGCCAACAAAAGAAGAGCCAGCATTTGAGCCTCGGAGGGAAGACTTGCTTGTCGAAAGCTTTACTAAATCTCAACCAAGTATTGAAGCGTTTGCTGTGGAGGAAACTAAAACGCTCACAACCGTTACCAGCACAACTGTTACTACTGAGTCTACCAGTGAAACTTCTATTCCGGATGAACCCAAGAAAGCTGAGCATAAGACATCTGGAGAACCCAAAAAATCAGCATATGACGCTCCGATTGCGGATGAAACCAATGCAATTACAACAGTTACAACCACAACTGTAACTACTGAGTCCACTATTGAAACTGCTGTCCCCAAAGAACCCAAGAAAGTTGAGGAAAAGACACCTGAGGAACCCAAGAAACCAGCTTATGCCGGTCTGCCCGTGGACGACTCTTCCAGCTCTTGGATGGATGTTTTGGATGAGCCAATGAACTTCTCCGATGATGAAGAGGAACCTGTTCCTGAGCCACAAACGGAAGTTACGATGGTGGAAGTATCAGAAAAGTCTGAGCAAATTGTAGACGCTGCGACAGTGAATGAAACCAATACAATTACAACAGTTACAACCACAACAGTAACTACTGATTCCACTAACGAAGCTGCAGTTCCCGAAGAACCCAAGAAAGTTGAGGAAAAGAAAATTGAGGAACCAAAGAAACCAGCATATGCTGGTCTGCCCGTGGACGACTCTTCCAGCTCTTGGATGGATGTTTTGGATGAGCCAATGAACTTCTCCGATGATGAAGAGGAACCTGTTCCTGAGCCACAAACGGAAGTTACGGTGGTGGAAGTATCAGAAAAGTCTGAGCAAATTGTAGACGCTGCGACAGTGAATGAAACTAATACAATTACAACAGTAACAACCACAACAGTAACTACTGAGTCCACTAACGAAGCTGCAGTTCCCGAAGAACCCAAGAAAGTTGAGGAAAAGAAAATTGAGGAACCCAAGAAACCAGCATATGCCGGTCTGCCCGTGGACGACTCTTCCAGCTCTTGGATGGATGTTTTGGATGAGCCAATGAACTTCTCCGATGATGAAGAGGAACCTGTTCCTGAGCCACAAACGGAAGTTACGGTGGTGGAAGTATCAGAAAAGTCTGAGCAAATTGTAGACGCTGCGACAGTGAATGAAACTAATACAATTACAACAGTAACAACCACAACAGTAACTACTGAGTCCACTAACGAAACTGCTGTTCCCGAAGAACCCAAGAAAGTTGAGGAAAAGAAAATTGAGGAACCCAAGAAACCAGCATATGCCGGTCTGCCCGTGGACGACTCTTCCAGCTCGTGGATGGATGTTTTGGATGAGCCAATGAACTTCTCCGATGATGAAGAGGAACCTGTTCCTGAGCCACAAACGGAAAATACGGTGGTGAAAGTATCAGAAAAGTCTGAGCCCAGTGTAGACGCTACGATTGTGGGTGAAACCAATACAACCACAGCAGTAACTACTGAGTCCACTAACGAAACTGCTGTTCCCGAAGAACCCAAGAAAGTTGAGGAAAAGAAAATTGAGGAACCCAAGAAACCAGCATATGCCGGTCTGCCCGTGGACGACTCTTCCAGCTCTTGGATGGATGTTTTGGATGAGCCAATGAACTTCTCCGATGATGAAGAGGAACCAGTTCCAAAAACGGATGTCTCGCTAGTGGAAGTAGTAGAAAAGTCTGAGCCGATTGCTGAAGCTCCGATTGTGGATGAAACAATTACAACAGTTACAACCACAACAGTAACTACTGAGTCCACCAGCGCAACTGCTGTCCCTGAAGAACCCATGAAAGTTGAGGAAAAGACCCCTGGGGAACCCAAGAAACCAGCTTATGCCGGTCTGCCCGTGGACGACTCTTCCAGCTCTTGGATGGATGTTTTGGATGAGCCAATGAACTTCTCCGATGATGAAGAGGTATCTGTTCCTGAGCCACAAACGGAAGTCACGCTAGTGGAAGAAACAGAAAAGTCTCTGCCAATTGTTGAAGCTCCGATTGTGGATGAAACCAGAACAATTACAACAGTTACCACCACAACAGTAACTACTGAGTCCACCAGCGAAACTGCTATACCCGAAGAAACGAAGAAAGTTCAGGAAAAGACACCTGAGGAACCCAAGAAACCAGCTTATGCCGGTCTGCCCGTGGACGACTCTTCCAGCTCTTGGATGGATGTTTTGGATGAGCCAATGAACTTCTCCGATGATGAAGAGGAACCAGTTCCAAAAACGGATGTCTCGCTAGTGGAAGTAGTAGAAAAGTCTGAGCCGATTGCTGAAGCTCCGATTGTGGATGAAACAATTACAACAGTTACAACCACAACAGTAACTACTGAGTCCACCAGCGCAACTGCTGTCCCTGAAGAACCCATGAAAGTTGAGGAAAAGACCCCTGGGGAACCCAAGAAACCAGCTTATGCCGGTCTGCCCGTGGACGACTCTTCCAGCTCTTGGATGGATGTTTTGGATGAGCCAATGAACTTCTCCGATGATGAAGAGGTATCTGTTCCTGAGCCACAAACGGAAGTCACTCTAGTGGAAGAAACAGAAAAGTCTCTGCCAATTGTTGAAGCTCCGATTGTGGATGAAACTAAAACAATTACAACAGTTACCACTACAATAGTAACTCCTGAATCCACCAGCGAAACTGCTGTTCCCGAAGAACCCAAGAAAGTTGAGGAAAAGACACCGGAGAAACCCGAGAAACCAGCTAATGGCGGTCTGTCCGTGAAAGACACTTCCAGCTCTAAGTCTAAGCCAACTGTTGAAGCTCCTACTGTGCTTAAAACGAAGAATACGACTAAGTCAGACAAGGAAATTTCTTACCCGTCGGAAGTCGAACAACTTAAAAAACCAGAAGAATTTCCAGTGGAAGCCAGGGCAATACCTATGAAATCATCGCCTCCTAATGTGTGGGAACTGCATTCATCGTATGCTGATGTCTTAAGGCACACTGTTGACTTTATAAGCTTGGAAAAGAAAAATGTAGAAATCCCATCTAAACCCAAAACTGGTAAACCTCATTTAACAAAAGATCAAGCCACAATTGTTGAAGTCTCGAAGAAAACCAAAACCAAGAAAGATAAATCGTCCAAGAAAACAATACAAAATATGACTCCTGATACCGAAGTGATACCCATCGTAAATGAATCACTAACGGACGATGTTACAACCTCTTGGTCAGCCATGGTTGATGAGGATTTGAGTGACAACGTTGAAGCGAGTCTGCCCAGTATTGGTAATACTTTATGGTCTTCGGTTGTACGACAAGGTGTCCAGGAACCTTTCACAAAAATAACTCAGCCTGCCGACCATAATGACACGTCTATAGAAATTCCCTCCAAGCAACAACAACCTCAACACAAAAAGGAAAAGACTCCAAAACCAATTTCTGCACCAATTCAAGCACCAGAACCAGAACTCAAGACTGTTCATGAAACTAAAACTTCGACCGAAACAAGCACAACAGCTCCTTCGAAAGACATTCACGAATTCATTGTCCACGAAAGAAACTCTTCCATTGAAAATCACAAGAAACAAAAAGCAAAGAAGGAAAAGAAACCTGCTAAATCAGTACCAGTTACTGAAGTGGTGACAAATGTTGAAGAGTCTTTTGTTGATGTAACTACTATTAGCGATGATCATAAGATAGAGCGTGAACAAAAACCCTCTTCGGTTTCAGAAAATTCTCCGTTAAAATCCGTGTCATGGTCATCCATTGTCTCGCAGACGGTGATAACAACTCCAATAATTACTGAAACTAAACTATCAAAAACACCAGAAGAACCCATCAAATCTACAGAGGTTCAAGACTTTATAAGTCAAGAACAAATCTTTTCAACTGCAGTTAATGGCAAACATAAAAAACAAAAGTCAAAGAAAGACAAGAAATCGTCCAGTGCGGAAATTAAAAATGAACCAGCTTTTGAAGTGAGTCCAGTTCAAGAAACCATTGCTGTTTCCACAGTTTCTGAAGAACCTACTCCACAATTTAAACCTGTTACTTCCGAGGAAGTAGTCCCATCGCAAACATTGTCTTGGTCGTCTATTGTATCTCAGGACGAAGTTGCTTTAACAGACGATATTCTCCTCAACAAAGAAAAGACTAAAAAGGTAAAGGCAAAGAAGGAAAAAATAACTAAGATTAACCAAGCTGCAAGTTCTGAACCTGTTGTTGAGCCGATTGTTGAAGTCATTACACCTGTTGAACCTGTTGTTGAGGTGACCACTGTCGTCGAAGTTACTCCTGAGGCGCAACTGGAATCCTCTCCAGTTACTAAAGTTGCCCCATTACCGTCTCAGTCCTGGTCTTCCATTGTTTCTCAAACAACGGAAGTGACTACAAACATCACCGAGACTAGTATCGCCGTTGAACCCGAAGTTCAGAAACCAACAGAAGAAAAACCCAAAAAGCAAAAGACAAAGAAGGAAAAAAAATCTAAGGCTGATCCTGTTCCAGAGCCGGTAGCTGAGGCTGCACTTCCTGAACCTTATGTTGAACCCATTGTTATTGAACCTGTTGTTGAGGTGACCTCTGTCCTCGATGTTACTCCTGAGGCACAACCGGAAGTAGCCCCATCACAGTCTCTGTCGTGGTCATCTATTGTTTCTCAAACAACGGAAGTCACTACAAACATCACCGAGACTAGCATCGCAGATGAACCCGAAGTTCAGAAACCAACAGAAGAAAAACCCAAAAAGCAGAAGACAAAGAAGGAAAAGAAATCTAAGACTGATCCTGTTCAAGAGCCGGTTGCTGAGGCAGCACTTCCTAAACCTGTTGTTGAACCCATTGTTGAAGTCACCACAGTAATTGAACCTGTTGTTGAGGTGACCACTGTCGTCGAGGCACAACCGGAATCCACTCCAGTTTCTGAAGTAGCCCCATCTCTGTCGTGGTCATCTATTGTTTCTCAAACAACGGAAGTCACTACAAACATCATCGAGACTAGCATCGCCGATAGACCCGAAGTTCAGAAACCAACAGAAGAAAAACCCAAAAAGCAGAAGACAAAGAAGGAAAAGAAATCTAAGGCTGATCCTGTTCAAGAGCCGGTTGCTGAGGCTGCACTTCCTAAACCTGTTGTTGAACCTATTGTTGAAGTCACCACAGTCATTGAACCTGTTGTTGAACCCATTGTTGAAGTCACCACAATTATTGAACCTGTTGTTGAGGTGACCACTGTCGTCGATGTAACTCCTGAGACACAACCGGAATCCACTCCAGTTTCTGAAGCCCCATCACAGTCTCTGTCGTGGTCATCTATTGTTTCTCAAACAACGGAAGTCACTAAAAACATCACCGAGACTAGCATCGCCGATGAACCCGAAGTTCAGAAACCAACAGAAGAAAAACCCAAAAAGCAGAAGGCAAAGAAAGAAAAGAAATCTGTTGTTGAACCCAGTGTTGAAGTCAGCACAGTTATTGAACCTGTTGTTGAGGTGACCACTGTCGTCGATGTAACTCCTGAGGCACAACCGGAATCTATTCCAGTTAATGAAGTAGCCCCACCACAGTCTCTGTCGTGGTCATCTATTGTATCTCAAACAACAGAAGTCACTACAAACATCACCGAGACTAGCATCCCCGATGAACCCGAAGTTCAGAAACCAACAGAAGAAAAACCCAAAAAGCTGAAGACAAAGAAGGAAAAGAAATCTAAGGTTGATCCTGTTCAAGAGCCTTTTGCTGAGGCTGTACTTCCTGAACCTGTTGTTGAACCCATTGTTGAGGCTGCACTTTCTGAACCTGTTGTTGAACCTTTTGTTGAAGTCACCACAGTTATTGAACCTGTTGTTGAGGTGACCACTGTCGTCGATGTAACTCCTGAGGCACAACCGGAATCTGTTCCAGTTACTGAAGTAGCCCCACCACAGTCTCTGTCGTGGTCCTCTATTGTATCTCAAACAACGGAAGTCACTACAAACATCATCGAGACTAGCATCGCCGATAGACCCGAAGTTCAGAAACCAACAGAAGAAAAACCCAAAAAGCAGAAGACAAAGAAGGAAAAGAAATCTAAGGTTGATCCTGTTCAGGAGCCTGTTGTTGAGACTGCTCTTCCTGAACCTGTTGTTGAACCCATTGTTGAGGCTGCAGTTTCTGAACCTGTTGTTGAACCTATTGTTGAAGTCAGCACAGTTATTGAACCTGTTGTTGAGGTGACCACTTTCGTCGATGTAACTCCTAAAGCACAACCGGAATCTATTCCAGTTACTGAAGTAGCCCCATCACAGTCTCTGTCGTGGTCCTCTATTGTATCTCAAACAACGGAAGTCACTACAAACATCATCGAGACTAGCATCGCCGATAGACCCGAAGTTCAGAAACCAACAGAAGAAAAACCCAAAAAGCAGAAGACAAAGAAGGAAAAGAAATCTAAGGTTGATCCTGTTCAGGAGCCTGTTGTTGAGACTGCTCTTCCTGAACCTGTTGTTGAACCCATTGTTGAGGCTGCAGTTTCTGAACCTGTTGTTGAACCTATTGTTGAAGTCAGCACAGTTATTGAACCTGTTGTTGAGGTGACCACTTTCGTCGATGCAACTCCTAAAGCACAACCGGAATCTATTCCAGTTACTGAAGTAGCCCCACCACAGTCTCTGTCGTGGTCATCTATTGTTTCTCAAACAACGGAAGTCACTACAAACATCACCGAGACAAGCATCGCCGATGAACCCAAAGTCCAGGAGCCAACAGAAGAAAAACCCAAAAAGCAGAAGTCAAAGAAGGAAACGAAATCTAAGGATGATCCTGTTCAAGAGCCCGTTGCTGAGGCTGCACTTCATGAACCTGTTGTTGAACCCATTGTTGAAGTCACCACAGTTATTGAACCTGTTGTTGAACCCATTGTTGAAGTCACCACAGTTATTGAACCTGTTGTTGAGGTGACCACTGTCGTCGATGTAACTCCTGAGGCACAACCGGAATCTGTTCCAGTTACTGAAGTAGCCCCACCACAGTCTCTGTCGTGGTCATCTATTGTATCTCAAACAACGGAAGTCACTACAAACATCATCGAGACTAGCATCGTCGATAGACCCGAAGTTCAGAAACCAACAGAAGAAAAACCCAAAAAGCAGAAGACAAAGAAGGAAAAGAAATCTAAGGTTGATCCTGTTCAGGAGCCTGTTATTGAGACTGCTCTTCCTGAACCTGTTGTTGAACCCATTGTTGATGCTGCAGTTTCCGAACCTGTTGTTCAACCTATTGTTGAAGTCAGCACAGTTATTGAACCTGTTGTTGAAATGACCACTTTCGTCGATGTAACTCCTGAGGCACAACCGGAATCTGTTCCAGTTACTGAAGTAGCTCCACCACAGTCTCTGTCGTGGTCATCTATTGTATCTCAAACAACAGAAGTCACTACAAACTTCACCGAGACTAGCATCGCCGATGAACCCGAAGTTCAGAAACCAACAGAAGAAAAACCCAAAAAGCAGAAGACAAAGAAGGAAAAGAAATCTAAGGTTGATCCTGTTCAAGAGCCGGTTGCTGAGGCTGGACTTCCTGAACCTGTTGTTGAACCCATTGTTGAAGTCACCACAGTTATTGAACCCGTTGTTGAGGGGACCACTGTGGTCGATGTTACTTCTGAGGCACAACCGGAATCTATTCCAGTTACTGAAGTAGCACCACCACAGTCTCTGTCGTGGTCATCTATTGTTTCTCAAACAACGGAAGTCACTACAAACATCACCGAGACTAGCATCGCCGATGAACCCGAAATTCAGAAACCAACGGAAGAAAAACCCAAAAAGCAGAAGACAAAGAAGGAAAAGAAACCCAAGTTGAACCCTGTTCAAGAGCCCGTTGAGACTGCAGTTCCTGAACCTGTATTTGAAGTGACCACTGGAAATAAACCTGAAGTTCAGGAAGATTTGCCAAAGCAAACGTTATCATGGTCGTCTATCTTCTCTAAGACTGTTGAAGATTTTCCTGCTCCAAAAACCAATGAAAATCAACTTCAGCCCCATGACAGTCAAGACTTTATATTGCATGAACAAAAAATGTCCACTGCGGAAGAAAAAAATAAAAAACTAAAGAAGGAAATGGAATCTGTTGAAATCGATAAACCAACCGTAGAAATTACAACCGTTTCAGATGGTTCGGGTGTAAAAATGCCAGAACAGACCGATTCAGTTCCATCACAAACTTTGTCTTGGTCCTCGATTGTTTCCCAAGAAATAAATGAACCGCAAACTGTAATTGTCAGCTCACAGTCTACTTCAAAATCTCAGGATATTTATGACTTTATTGCCCAGGAGCAGAATTTCTCTACGGTTGTCAACGATAAGACCAAGAAACAGAAACCCAAGAAGGAGAAGAAAACTGTACATCCTATTCAACAGCCAATTACAGAAATTGTTTCTGGACCTAAGGATCATTCTCGAGAGAGTGAATCAGTTCCCGAGCCGTTGCCAACACAAACATTGTCATGGTCGTCGATTGTTTCGCATAATATCGATTTGACTCCAACGTTTACCGAAACACGTGTTAATAAAACCGCCGATGCGATCGCAAGTAATCAAGACGCTCAGGACTTCAATACCCTGGATCGGGAGCAGGCAACTCACGTTGACGTAAGTCGACCAAAACAAAAGCCGAAAAAGGAGAAGAAAATTCCTAAAACTTCTGAAAAACAAATTATTGAGCCATACGTTACTTTAGAAAAGGAACCAGAGCGTGACCGCATTTCTGAATCTTCATCGCCCGAGTTCAACATCCAGTTGCCGGCACTGCCAAAACCATCTGTATGGTCATCATCAGAGACCTACGCCGAAGTAGTAAGGAAATCTGGTTACACCAATAACACAAACATTAAGTATCAGAATCCTGAAGCGGTCAAGCAAAACCTGATTGGTCAAAAACAGCCGGCTACCGAAGTCCAGACACAGGAAGTGTTATTGGAGTTCCCCGATCCCATCATTCCGCCGGTTAAAGAGGCGGAAACAGTTGACTATCCTGAAAAACACTCCCAGTTATCCTGGAAGGATCTTATTGATGAAGATGAAGTAGACCCTACAGAGTTTTGGTATCAGGAGGAAACAATGGCCGTAGAAACTAAATTCCAGGAACCGGTGCAAGAAAGACATTCGCGAATCAGGGATAAACCAATGATCGAAATTACTGAAGTATTTACTGAAACCCAACCACAGCCTGAGATTGAGCAAGGATTCCTTGAAATTACGTCAAAGAAAAGAAATCGCTCACGCTCTCGCTCGCAACAATCGCAGATTTCTAATGTCGACGAGAAACCACAAAAGAAAAAATCAAGGAAACCAAAGGGTAAGACGGATACAACCCCAACTCAAAAACCAGTGGAAACACCTGAGGTTGTTAGGCCCCCTAAGGAAATTGAGCCATTTGTAGAAGATAATCATGCTCCCACTCCGGTTAGGGACCCGTCTCCATCTCCTGCTCCATCTCCTTATACTTCTGGTATGTCATGGGCCGCAATAGCCGCGCATAACGTTCCAGAACCGGCTCAACGAATTCGACCCCTTGAAGTTGAGACCAAGGCTACTGTTGTTGAAGACGTGAAGAAATCAACAAAAGAGCATACAGTAAGCATACCAATCAATTTGGAAACAACGGAGCCAAGGACTAAAAAACCAAAGCAAAAGTCGAAGCGTAAATCGCCCACTGATGTGGTTGATTTTATAAATGCTGAAAAACATAGTCATCAAGTGGTTGTTCCCGAGCCTACTCAAAAAGAGAATAAAACAGTCGAGTTCATCGAAGTAGAAAGCAATCAGAAAACTCCTATGGTTCCATTTATAGAAATTCCACAAGAAACTGAAATAAGTTCTATTACAGTTGAGAACGTCACCGTTACTTCAACTGCGACAGAACTAAAAACTCCTCTTGCTCCTTTTGCAAAAATTGCCGATTCTGAAACACACACAACGGTAACCGAGATCAAAACAGAAAAGGATTCGATCATTCAAGATAAAACAGTTCCCAAACAACAGAAGGAAGTTGTGATTGTCGACGTTGTAAAGATGCCTGAGCCAATTGTTGATGTTTCGACCGACGATGAAACAAAAACAATTACAACAATTACCACAACAACTGTTACTACTGGCTCAACCAGCGAAACTGCTATTCCTGAACAACCCAAGAAAGCTGATAAATCGGAAAAAACGTTTGAGGAGCCCAAGAAACCAGCTTATGCCGGTCTGCCCGTGGACGACTGTTCCAGCTCTTGGATGGATGTTTTGGATGAGCCAATGAACTTCTCCGATGATGAAGAGGAACCTGTTCCTGAGCCACAAACGGAAGTTACGGTGGCGGAAGTATCAGAAAAGTCTGAGCAAATTGTTAAAGCTCCGATTGTGGATGAAACTAAAACAACTACAACAGTTACGACTACAATAGTTACTACTGAATCCACCAGCGAAACTGCTGTTCCCCAAGAACCCAAGAAAGTTGAGGAAAAGATGCAGGAGGAACCCAAGAAACCAGCATACGCCGGTCTGCCCGTGGACGACTCTTCCAGCTCTTGGATGGATGTTTTGGATGAGCCAATGAACTTCTCCGATGATGAAGAGGAACCTGTTCCTGAGCCTCAAACGGAAGTTACGGTGGTGGAAGTATCAGAAAAGTCTGTGCCAATTGTTGAAGCTCCGATTGTGGATGAAACCAGAACCATTACAACAGTTACCACCACAACAGTAACTACTGAGTCCACTAACGAAACTGCAGTTCCCGAAGAACCCAAGAAAGTTGAGGAAAAGACAATTGAGGAACCCAAGAAACCAGCATATGCCGGTCTGCCCGTGGACGACTCTTCCAGCTCTTGGATGGATGTTTTGGATGAGCCAATGAACTTCTCGGACGATGAAGAAATTGACGAAAAGACACCTTTGGCGCCATTCAAGAACGTCGTCGATGCTCATAAATCTGATCTAGTTAAGGTGGAAACTATTGTTGAGACTGTTACTCTATCTCATCAGGCAGACAAACCAGAACTACATAGTACTCCTTCTGAAGTCATTACTGAGCTCGTAAAAACAGCTGATTTGGTTCAAAGGCCAGCCGAAAATATAGTTGAGGCTGTACCGGAGATTGAAACTAAACAAGTAATCACCGAGACTCCATTGGCGCCTTTTGAATCGATTCCAGACTCTCCAGTTACTCCGAGTGCAGACGATGCGTTTATTTGTGAAACATCCTACTGGTCGGCGACACTGAAACCGGGTCAAAAATCTACGACAATTACAACAGTTGAGACAACCGAGACGCAAACGGAAGAAAGCCAGCCAATTAAAGTAACAATTCCATGCGATGAGGTTATTGAGGAAGTTGCCGTAAAATCGCCTACTGATCAGCCAACAACCTGGTCAGCAATCGTTCAGACCGAGACGACTGTCTTCCCAGCACCAGATGAAAAAGAAGACAATGAACAGAAACCTGATTGGTCTACTGTTGTTGTGAGCAAAACTACAGACTTCCAGGAGCCAAAGCCTTTAGATAATGTGGTAGAAACGGAGAACGTAACAAAAACGACAACAACTTATGTAACAACAACAGTGACCACACATAAGGATGCTCCCATTGCAGAGGAGGACTCGGTAGCTACTTCCTATGTGTCCACTGTGGTAACAAGCCATAAAAATGATTTGGCTTTGGAAGCAGAACCATCAGCACCAGTTAAAACCAAAACTATTGAACTTAATAAGCCTAAAGAACTCTACGAAAATCTATACCTCGAAGGATTCAAATTTCATCCGCAATACGACTTGTTGCAGGGACTATATCAACAATTACAGGTGGTAAGCATTCCGGAGGAGCCGGTTTTAATTGATCCAAAGGCAGAAATTCCCTCGATAGAAGATTATGTGATAATTGAACCCGAAGCGATATCCCAAATAAATTCAGAAATCCTTGCTTTAAATCTTTATCTCGACCAGCCCAAGTCTCGTATAGATGTTGACACCATTAGTCAGTTGCTCACAGTCGAAGAGCCAGTCGAGGTTATTGTAGAACCAGAAACTGAAGTAAAAGAAACTAAAGCTATAGAAATTCTTGAGGACAAATCAATTGTAGTACCTTCTGTTGAACCCCTAGGCGATGAACTCCTTGTCCCTGAACCAACTCAACCCCCGACTAAACCCAGTGACCTTCTCTGGAACCTCAGCCAGGACGATTTCGTCAAATTTGTCAATCACTATACGAAAACGGCAGGCGACGCTTACGCATTGCTGCCAAGGACAACTACAGACAAGACAAAAGCTCAGGAAACTAAAGACGATAAGCAAAAGACTGACAGCATTGCAGAAACTGTAGTGACAACCACGACCACGATTACGGATCGCGTTGTAGAAAAGACTGAATCAGAAGCATCGTCATTACCAATCATTCCTACCGCCCAACCACTGGCAGCACCACCGGTTGGCAACCTCGATCAGTTGCGTCTGAATCTATATCTGGACGATTGGCAGCCAGCCAGTGTCGATACAGATTTGGCTGACAATTTGTTTGATAGACTGAAACGTGATGATGTTGCTAGTGGCGAAGCGGAACCCGACCAAGACAAGAAGCAACCAGACGGTTTTGTTGAAAAACCAGACAAAGACGATCATGACAATGACGATGATGACGACGACGAAGACGATGATGACGATGAGGGGGGTAAACCGACTGTGCCTGAAATTCGCAAGCCAAACGACGACGATGATAAACCGAACGATAGAGATCCTGGTAGCGGTAGTAGTGGTAATGTGACCCCAACGCCCGAACACGATGCCCAGCATGGTCAGAACCGTAGCTGCTCATCGGAGTATAGGTCCGCCGATCTGCCGGGTGGAGTGGGTCATTGGCGAGATGACAGTACTTATCTGGCTCTAGAAGCCGAACAGCCTCAGGTGAAAGTAGGAAATGAACCAGCAGCAGCACCTATTGTAACAGCTGTTGAATCTGTACTAACCGAAACTAAAGAAACTAAAATCACAAGTCCCGTCCCTATCTCTGACCCTGAAACAAGTCCCAATACCAGTACCAGTCCCCTTAACGTTGCAAACGCACTAATCCAATTGGCAAGCGCCACAACTCACACGCTGACCGCCAAGGCGAACGCAGCAGCAACAGCAACACATGCAGCAGCGCTGGCAGCAACCAGTGCTCTATTGCCGGTTGCAACGGCTGTAGTCGATAAGCTAACGGCGACAACACCAGCGGAGACAGCGACATCAGCAGCAGATATTGCTGCCGTAGAGCCTGTGGTTGCAATACCAGCAGTAACTCCACCAGCAACACACACCGAAACGACAACCACAAGCAGCAAAGAAGAGGAGGTGGATTTGCCCACCGCAAATGCGGGTGTGACAAAGCGCACAACGACAACAACCACAACCGTAACGACAACCACCACATATGAAACGCCAGAAACAACTAGCAACACAACGACAACAACAACAACAACCACAAGCAACAACGATCTGCAACAGCAACGCCAGAAGGTGAACATCACATTGAGCGTTCGTTTATTCATAATTCTAATTTTTGCAGCTTTTCTGTGTGGTTTCGGTATTTGTTCATGGCTTTTATACGGCAATCGCTCGTGTTGCTGTTGTGGCCAGGTCCCGGCCAACACATGCTGCTGCGGCAACAACACATTGCCAGCAGACCCGGGAAATTGCCCGCCGTAAAGTTGGTTTGGGCCTGTGCAGAACGGCAATGAAAAGCAATTGCCTAACTACTAACGTAACTTAATTATCTTAAACATGTTTGATATTTTATGTTCTACTTAAGTTTTTCATTTTTATTATTTTTGTATTGTATGTGTTGTTTTGCTAAACGCATCCAATAGGCTTATGTTTTTTGAGTTTGTATACCTTAAAAAGAAAAAAGTTACTATACCTTTATAAAAGCACCTAACTTAGACGTAAAGAAAAATGTAGATTTGATGTAATTTAGTTCCTTCTACTAATTGATATTAACCTTTGTAAAAGCCCAGTAATCAGATACTACTAATAGTAGTGATAATAATAATAAAATTTATATTAACCAACTTGCACGTTTTAATACCGAGCTGATTTATATCCCCAGCGTGAATACGTAGTTTTCTTCGCAGATTTTTCACACACCACAGAGCACAGAACACAAGCACACACACACAAGATCACGCATATCGAGCACTTTTCCTGCCCCGCACAGTGCCGCACAAAAGTGTGTGTGCACGCAATTACCAAGTTCCCAAATGCAGAATATGCCATTATGTGTACCGCACGTATATATGAGTTCATTGCCTTGCCTACCGCCCTGCTATCAAGAATTTGCCCGCAGAGAATATTCTTCCCTGCCATAGCTATAAATACCAATACCCCATTCGATCCGATCCATGCGGTGCAGGCCGTGTTACTTGCTCGAAAATAGTCTCCCGTTTATTTTACAATATTTAGTCTGCAATGTGCAATGAATGCGTTGAGTTTGACTGCGAAACCCGAAGAAGCATTTCAAGAATCTAAATGTTTGTTAGTGCCAATGTGTGTGTATTTCAATAGGAATATCTTAAAACAGTATTTTTAAAGGATTCATAAATTTTGTAAATAAGAAAGAAAGTAAGTTAAATTTTTCACTCAAGCATTGCATTAAGTCTTCCAACTTTACCTATAGACAGACATTAGAAAATGCATATTTTGGTACTTTTGTCTATCCGCTGTCTATACGCCTACCTCATTGCCGCCATTTAAAATAAGATACTTTTTTTATGCCAAATGCATGTGTTACGTTACGTTAAACGAAGTTTATTCTAAGAGCTAGCGTTATTTTTAAAAGCATTCCCTAAGCAAAATGGTTCCATCTTGTTGTATGGCTGTGTACTTGCATCCATTTAAAATTTATATATATCCATAATATAATTAAACTGCTAATGTAAATATGTTGTATGTGTATAGAAGCCGGCAACAAATATTTACATCAATTTCGTTCCTTAGCAATAATAGCCCAAAATTTGCAATCTTTATTAATATTAACACACTTTCTACACCATCTCCCCGACATCAACATCGCACTCGGTTTCTAAAACTATAGGAACTAATTACGCAAGAACTCGACGAACTGCTTCAATCGCTATCGAGCGTCGAGGATGGCATCGCAAATATGAACCAGAGCAGCCTAGAGGGCATGCTACAAGGATTAAAGGTAATATTATAATAGTTATATAATATAATAACAACACTTTTTGGATGCTTGACTCGGCATGTTTTCAACGTAGCTAGATTAATTTTTAAATTAAAATATATACTCACCCTTGTACATAACTTTTGTAAACGATTATTGGATGCTGGCGTGTGTCAGAGAATTTTAACAACTCAATCGCATCACTCCATATAAAATCGTACATTTTCTGTTAGGTTATTTTTTTGTTTGAAGAGAATATATATATATACCTTCCAATTGTTAGTTTTTGTCCAGTTGCAGTAGTCGTTCCTTTTTTGCTGTCTAAATATTACATTTTGTAGGCCCTGAATCCTATACAATGATTACATTTTGTACAAACATTTGCAAGAAACACGTTACTTAAAATTTTAATTTATACGCCGGATGTGCAGCTAATCCAGAGCAATCTCGAAGTACACGAAAGGGACGCCATCGCGTTGAAGGCCCAGGCCAAGACGCTGCCCACGGATCCAGCAACCGAACGCTTGCTCAACGAAACCGTGGATCGCATTGATTTGCTCCTGCGTCGCACTCAGCAAGGCATCACCATGATAGCGGTGAGTGATTGGTTAAGGTGTACCTCTGCAAAGATTTTATTAATATTTTCCTTAATCCAATTTAGAATGCTATGCATGGCCAAAAGAGGCGACAGCAGGAGATTGACGAGTACCAGCAACATCTGCTCGAACTGGAGCGCTGGATCATCGAGGTATCCGCCGAGCTTGCTTCGTTTGAACCTACCTCAGATAGCAGCACCGATGAACAAGTGCTCAAGTCGCAGGTGGAGCGGAGCCAGCAACTGCTGCGTACCCTCAAGGAACGCCAGCAGTCTATGGAGGATCTGGTGGACCAGACCCGTCAGCTGCAATCCCAACCCGATGTCGCTCCCCTGGCTGACACGCTGATGGAACAGCTGCAAAGCATCATAACCATTCTGCGGGAGCAGGTCACTGTGGCCACCAAGCGCATCTTTACCATCGAAAAGCGTATTGTGGATTTGCGGAAGGCTAAGAGCGAGGAAGCGCAGCGCCAGCGTGTGCTTGCTGATTCCCTAATTAAACCACCAACGGAAGTTGCAGCCACTCCAGAGCCGCATGAATCCATTGAGTCCAACGAGAATACCATTGACTCTAGTTCCATGCCCGAAGAGGAGATCAAACCAAGTGGTGTGTATGTGGAGACGCAGACATCTTTCAGTCTGCAGCAGCAACAGCCAGTTCAGGTGGTAACCACCACTACAGTGGAGGCGCAGACCAGTTTCAAGGAGCCACCAGCTGTGGAAACAGCTGAGGTGGCTCTGCAGACACAGAAGGAGCGTTCGCCCACCGAGAACATTATGGTGACGCAGACTGTGCAGCATGGCCAGGAGACCATTCAGATCGATACCACTCGCAACAAGGATGTGCCCGATGAGCCCGAAGATGTGCAGATTGAGGCTCGCTACCATCAACGACCTCAGGGCGATGTAGATCGTGCCACCGAACTGATCCTGAAGAATGTCCCGCAAGCATTCGAAACCATTTTCGTGGAGCCAGATGAGACGACCACCGAAGTGATTGTGGGACCCGATGGCACCAAGCACATTGTGCTGAAGAAAGTCACCCGAACACGTCAGCAGATTGTGCAGCAGCAGCAGATCAGCTCCATTGAAACAATCAGCGACTCAGATGGCAACATTGAGGTGCACTCAACGGGTCAGATAAATCTGGAAAATGTGCACACCACCGACACCAAGGCAGATCCCGCGGAGGGCAGTGTCCATACCGTGATCACACAGCAAACGCGTGGTGCAGTTGTGGATTCCTCACAACCCGAGGGAGTGATCCTGCAGGAGTTTGAAACCGAGCCCACGATTGAGACGTACGAAGAAGTGATTGAGCCAGGATCATCCCAAGCGCAACTGATTCCCATGCAGACCGGCGATGTGCAAACCCAAGGCACCATTCGAGCTGTAGTCCAACAGGTGACCCGTAAGGTGATCCGTAAGACGCGGAAGATCATTAAGCGTGTGGTTATCATTGACGGAAAGGAACACATCACCGAGGAAGTGATCGAGGAGCCAGAGGAGGTCGAAATCACGGAGGAAGAGACCGCCCCGCATATAAACGTGAATATTGTGCGAACCGTTGATGGAAAAGTGGTTACCGAGGAGGAGTTCCAGCGCTTGATGCAGGAGCCCGGCGTCCTAATCGAAGAAGTTGCCACGGATCTGTGCAAGCCAACAGCAGCAGAACCGCAGCAAGAGGTATTTGATATTGAGTCTACCCAAGTCACCACCACCACAAGAACAACAACAGCAATCACACAAGAACATGAACAAGAACAGCCAGAACAACCAGAACAACAGACACAACCAACAACAGAAACGACTAAAGAAGCACCTGTAGAGTTGCCAGCACCTCAAGTAGATGATGTTGAACAACCCGTAGAAGTTGCCACTACCAGTCCCGTTCATGTTCCAACAGCAGCGGATGTAGTTGAACCCAAAGACTTCCCAACTCCAGCCACTTCTCCAGTAGATGACCAACCAGTGGTTGAAGATATCAACGAAATTTGGCCACTGGAACATCATCTGAAACCCACCAACATTGACTTCTCCCAGCACATCGAAGAATTGGCAGCACCAGCAGCAATAACAAAAACGACCGTAGAGACTGAAGACTCCATGCCAGTAGAGGAAATTTGGCCAACCAGCCCAGAAACCGGAAACTCATTGACTCTGGAGCACTATGAATTCGAGCCACAATCACCTCGTGAAGAGAGCACAAAATCTGATAGTGTTAAACCACAAGAAGAGACTGAAATTAAGCCAGAGCCCATTACCACTGGAAGTATTACCATAACCAAGACAACAACCACCATCACAAGCTCCACAGAACTGCCTCAGGAAACTGTTGTTCAGGCTTTACCTGCAGATGAACTTCAGCCTTCGCTAGCGAAAACCAAAACTGATATTCAGAGTTTCCTGGAAGCCGAACAGACTCTGTCCGCCGCTCTGAAGGAGCAATCTTCAACGCCTGTGGAAACTTCAATTGTTGAAGTTGTTCAGACTCAGCCTGAGGAAAGTCCACTTGAAGAGCAGAAGGAAACTGTTATTGTTGAGGTTTCAACCATTGAGACTGAAGAAAAGCAACTGCCAGAGCCTGTTCCAATTGAGGAAAAACCAGTGCCTGTAGAGCCCCAACAAAAATCGGAGGAAGTGACAGCCATTGAGAAGACTGAACAAAAGCCAGATGAACTCATCACTGAAGAACAAACAGCACCTGTTCAAATCGACTTGCGTGCCGCCACTCAACTTTTCATCTCAGGTGAGGCTGCGGCATCAACGGCTCCACCGAAAACCTTCAAAATTACGGCTCCCTCCTTGGAGGACAATGGCGCTGGTGTGCTGAAGGTTGTCCTGGGCAAGGAAGAGGAATCTGCAGCTCCAACCACCGGCAAGGTTAGCATGACCATCATTGAGACCGCCGCTGCTCCCGTCACCGACGCCAAGCGGCGTCGAAAGAAAAAGAAGAGAAGAGATACGAAGCACGAGGAGGAGGAGATTGAGCAAGAACAAGAGACTGAACCGGAGGCAGTAGTGGCCGTTAAGGAGCCCGAGATTGACTTAGATCTGCCCGTTTCTCCGGAGGATTCACCACGCGATACTGTGCGTCATGAGTCCATTGTCGAGATCAGTCCCGACAGTGATTTGTCCAGCATTGAGATTGACTCAAAGGTCAAGGTGGTGGAAGATGCCGTCGTCTCTTCGCCTTCGGAGTCGCCAAGGACGCCAATGGTTGAGTTGGTCATTCCCACGGAGGTTGTGGAACTGGCTTTGGTGGAGGATGAGGAACAGCAGACGACACCGCGCGTGCCCTCGCCCATTGAAAAAACCGAAGTTGAGTTGGATATCAAATCCGTGCAGACTTCTCCACAGCATCAGCCGACACTAGACGAGACCGCAGTGCAGACGAGTCTGGAGGTGCAGCCGGATAACCAGGAGAACGAATCGCAAACCCTGGTTGTTGAGATTACGGAAACAGAGGCTCAAACCACTCCGCGAAGCGAGGACAAACCAGTGGCAGTGGAGTTATCCACCACCGAGATTCAAACCGATGTGAGCGGTCAGCCAGCTGAAACTGTAGAGATTTCAAGTCAAACCACCGTGACCACCACCATTGAAAAGGAACTGCAGACCACGCCAAAGGATTCGCCTCGTGCACCAGAGCCAGGCAGCAGTGATGTGGTCGAATCTCTGGTCCAGGATTTGGTTAAGGACATGACCACCGATCTGCCAGTGCGTACCAGCGAGCAATCTACTGTCACCGAAACCACCACAACCACGGAGACCCATGTGCAGACTAATACCCCGGAGCCAAGTGAACACATTGAAATTATCAAACCGGAGACTGTCCATGAGGAGACTTCAACAGTGGAACTTGTACAAGTCATCGATGGTGAGATGCAAACCACTCCCTGTGGAGATCAGCAGCCCGCATCCCTGGATGACAATTCTCTGACAGCCACTTCGATATCCGTTTCGGAACCTTACGAACTGGAGGTCAAGACAACAGTGGCCATTCCCGCTGATTCTGACACATCTGTGGCTGAGCCGACGGTCTATGAATACACACAGACCATGCAGCTGCCCAAGCAGGACAAGAAGTCCAAGAAAGACAAGAAAAAGAAGCAGAAGAATCAGCCGGAAGAGGAGCAGCAGCTGCCAGAGGAACCGCAGATCAGTGTGACAGTGGAAATCGCACCCGAATTGCTATCGGAATCGGGTATTGTGGTATCCACCAATCAGCAGATTGAAGAAGTGCCTCATGTAACACCCGTTGTGGAAACTCCAATCGAGCCGGAGGAGGAGGGAGCACCCAAAGCCCATAGAGTGCAACTGCAGATCACCAAGACCACTGTCTACGATGAGTATCCCGATCTGCCGGTGCATATCACCGAGCAGAACAAGGTTTTGATTGCATCTCAGCAAAGCAAACGTTCCGGAGCGGGACCCACATCCTCGGCGGTGACCATCGAAGAGGTTGCCTCACCCACGGAGGAGCTGGTGGTGCCCATCACCCCTGGACCGGACAATCTCAGTGGCGAACCCAGCAACGTTTGGTTCAGTGCCACCACCAGTGTGGACAAGACACCCATTGAGCTCTCCCAGGCTTTGATTATGAGCGAGAGTTTGCAGCACTATCCGGGACAACAACAACAGCAGCAGCAGCAGCCCATCCTAATTTCCACTAAAGAAACTATTGGTGATCGCATCAAGCAGCTTAAGCAGGCATCCCCGCAACAAGCCACTCCCCTGAGCAATGTCCTGCATTTGGCCACTCTATCCGAACAGATCAAGGAACTGCCCACGGAGCAGCGCATCTTAGAAGTCAACGAGGGTCTACAGGATCTTGATGCTGCCCTTAAGAAAGGTGATAAAACGGTGATCCAAACTACTGTCATCACGGTCATTGAGAAGGTTTCAACTTGGTTGGAAACCATCGAGTATCGTGTGTACCTCATCCGACAGAACTCCAATGAAGGACCCTCCGAGGAGAAGCTGGACAACTATAACCAACTTAACGAAGAGCTGAGCACCATCAAGCAGAATGTCAACCAATTGGAGCGACAATTGTCCAAGGCGGAACCGGAGTTGCTGCAATGCGTGGATAGCTTGAAGGAACATGTGGATGCAGTGGAGCAGGTTACGCAACAGAACCAAGTGCAGGATAGCAATGATCTGGACAAGTGGCACAGCTTCGAAGTACTTTTGTACAATGTGACCTCCGTTTTGAGCCAGCTTCAGCAGAGTTATGACCTGCTGATCAATCAGGAGTATCCCCTGTCCGCCAAACTTGCCCAGCTGGATGAACTGGAGCAGCAACATGAGGCCGCTCAGCAGCAACTGGCGCAGCTATGCCAAAATGCCCGTGCCTTCCAGCGCGATTTCCCAGGCAAAAAGATGCCGCAGAGTGTGCACAATGCCTTCGAGGCCAGCAAGAATATTGGCAACAATATTCAGGCAGAACGAGAGCGTGTTCTTCAGCTGCAATCTCTGGCAGAGGAGTACGAGCAGACTCTGAAGGAGTTTACCAAAATCACCGTGTTGGCTGACAAACTGGTTGAGAGTCCCATAGTTTCCAGTTCCCTCGAGCAGCTGAACAACGAGGTGCAGAAACAGAGGAAGTTCTTTGTGAATCTCAGCCACTGTCGCGCCATGTTGGAATCCCTGGAGGAGAACATTGATAGTGAGACGCGCGAGAAGCACTCCGAGTTGCACAAGGAACTGTACAACAGGGCCACCAGTCTGCTGGATAAGGCCTCCGAAAGGTCTTCCAAATTGGTGCAGGCTGCCTCCCGCTGGACTGTTTTGGAGAAGGGAATGCGTGATGAACTGCAGTGGTTGCAGGTGGCTCAACAGCGAGTGCCTGACCTATCTGCTGTTACCTCCGCCGACTACGATCAGTACACCACCCTCTATCAATCCCTGAGCAACGATATCTCACATCACTATGTGAAGATGACGCAGCTGTCGGGCATCGCCAACAAATTGCAGACTTTGGTGCAGGCCCCCAATCTTGTAGAGGAAACCAATGAGGCTTTGATAGTGCTACTCAAACTTCGTGAAGAGGTGGCCTTGTATCTCCATCGTCTGCTGGTATTCAAGGAAATCTGGGTGCAGTACGAACAGCAAACGGACAAACTGGAGGCCTTTGTACGCGAAGCGGAGCAGGAATTGAGAAACATACAGATTCCGTCGCAGCCCACGCAACAGCCCATCGAGCATATGCGTCAGTTCTGGGAGATCAAGGCCCGCTTTGAGCTGCACAACAATGTGCGGACCGAAACGGGACTGAGTTTCGAGAAATCCCTGCAGGTCATCCCATTGGCCGACGAGATGCTCCAACGGCAGTTCCATGCCCAACTGGAGGATCGCTGGCAGGCCGTGGCCCAGGCCATCGAATTGATTCAGCACAATATTGTGGAGTGCCTGTCGTCGGAGGATGTGCCCGCCGACGAGAAACTCAAGATGGTGGAGCGGGAGCTGCAGGAGATCTACCTGACCATGACCAGCATGAAGGGTGTGATCAAGAACGAGGAGGAACTGTGTCTGTATATCGAACGAGTCCAGGTGCTGCGCACTCGCGTGGGCTTCATTGGCAACGAGCTGGGCAGGATTGGCCTGCAAGAGCCAGCCATTGAGCCCGAAAAAGTGGGTGAACTGTTTGCCCTCTCGCACAAGATTAGCACCCAGATCGCCGAGGAGCTGGAGGGTGCCTCCGTGCTGCGTGACCAACTGCAGGCCATCCAGGAGGGCATCAGCAATCAGCGCAAACATCAGGCCAAGATCTCCGTCATTCTGGATGAATGCGAGGCAGCCGAGCGCCAGGGAGCAGATGTTCTCGAAAAAGCCGTCGCCGATTGCCAGGGCGCCGGTGAGGAGCTGGTGACCAGCTGGCAGGAGATTATGCGCATCCGCCAGATGCTCCACACGCTGCCCATGCGCCTCAAGATGTCCGTATCGCCGGTGAAGTTGGAGCGGGATATCTCCCAGCTGCAGGACGACCACGCCTTCTTGGAAAGCAAGTGTACCAATATTATGGCCATCCTGCGGAATCGTCTCGCAGTCTGGCTGCGCTACGAACGCCAACTGGAACTGGTCCACGGATCTGTCCAGGAAACCGACTTCATGATGGAACTGATCCGGGTGCACGGCCAAGTGGACTACGAGCGCCTGCGAAAGGCCACGGAGCGTCTGGAGGTGAGTTTTCTTTGTTCCATATTTTATGACTTTGTTTACGCGGCACGCGGTCAGGCATCGGTTTGTTTCTGAAGATTGGTTCGTATCTTGCTACCTGCTGAGCGGATTTTCGCGAGTTTTCCTTATCAGCATCGTTTTCCCTTTGGAAAATTTGCTACATAAGCCGTACTTCTCTTCTGAGTGCCTTCAGTCGTATTTCAACATTTGAATCTTAAGCATTGAAGTTATAACACAAATAAGAAACAATTTATTTACCTTACCAATTAATATTAATATTTGTTTGAAATTCTTGAAAACTATTGGTGAGTTTTATTAATAATATCACAGTTTAAAACAAGTTTTTAGTTAATAACTGTTTTTAAAATTTATTTAATAATAATAGTTTGTTATCGTTAAAATATTATTATACTCATCTAAAAACTATTATTTATTATAGCATCTTATTGTTTGTTACCTGGAATACGATATTATTTTATTTGTTTAAATAATAATTTAAAGTTTCATGAATAAAATATTTGATACTTTAAAATTCAGAGATTATTTTCTAGCTTGAAAAAATATTATTTTATCTCTTAAAAAATAATAATATTAGAGTTATTAATTAAAATACAATATATTAACTTGGTACTTTATATTTCCAAATTAAAATTCGATTATAAAACAAATTCCAACATTATTTGCTTAGTAACTATTCATATATTATTCACTCAAGTTTTGTTTGAATTTGTGTGGTGCCCACTCTGGCAGCGAAATAAAAAGCTATGCCATTGACAAACTTTTCCCCAAGCTTTTTCGTAAGCTTCCGCCGTTTGTGGTGTTCTTTACGTAGCAAGTTTTTTTGCCGCCGCAGTTTGACGTTAACTTCGAACCGAGCGCGTATCTCCCCGTCGCGGTCGGAATACCAAACATATTACTTGACTAATCCAACTTTATCCGTGTAATAAACCAATCGCAGGGACTCGCTGGCGATCTACATAACCGCGAACAACTGATCGATGAGTTGAAGGGTGCCGCCAAACCGCTGATCGAGAGCTGTGATGTCCAGATTGTCGAGCAGATCGAGTCGGCCGTTCAGGATGCGGTAGTCGCCTGGAATGATACCAGCGAGAATCTGCAACAGCTGCGTACACGCTACCAAAGAGCCGTCGAATTGTGGGACAAGTACCGCAACGCCTCTGCGGCCGTCAAGAATTCCATTGACCAGCAAATGGATACGGTCAAGTCGCTGGAGCAGCCCCTGGATGCCCTGCAACACGCCAAGGTGAGTGAAAAAAGACTGCTTCCGTATGCCGTGACCCATCCGGAAAAACGGCAACGGGTCGTATGAGTGATGTGTATCGCGTGGGCGAAACAGTGATGCCAACGACCTGTTTTTTTTGTTCTGTCAGTTAGGAAAAATCAAACAGGAAATGACAATAATAATAATAATTGCACAAACAAAAGGAGGGGTTGAAAAGTCAGTCAACATTTGATATATTCTAAATGTCAAATGGCATTCTAAAGTCAAAATGATTAATTTAGTTTTGAAAGTTCTCAAAAAGTACTTTTTCTGTTCTTAAATAATTACATTTTGTTAATTATTTAGGAAATATGACACTTTATAGGTAGTTCTTAAAATATATATTTTTCATTATATATATATATTTTGGAGGAAAAATGTGGGCACCAATGAAAATGAACTGCCTTTGCTAAAAGTATAGTTACTTCCGGAAAATCCTTAGCTATATCATCACTGTATGTGCCGAGTTGGGTGTACTATATATTTTTTTGGCGGCAAACTAGTACAGCAATGTGACTCTTTAATTGCCCACCAGAGACGCGGGTGGGCAAGCTAGTAATTACATTGATTTTCTCCGTAGTACTACGCGCCCTATCAATTTTTGGGCGCGTCAATGTAATCGCTTCGTAATAGTTCCGCTGTATAGTATGTATGTACATACATATATGAGCCAACTTGGTCCGCTGTGTTTGTGTCATAAATTATGCTTTGGTAAATAAAACAGACATCGTCGTACGATTTCTTTCGGCATTTACTTAAAAAATTAACGCATACTCTTGGCCCCACCGTTTTGTGTTTATTGATCATTAGGGTCATTATATTATTGGCCTACCACTGGTAGGTGTAATTATATTTTCGGACAGGCAGGCAGGCCAACTGTCATTTCACACAGGAGGAGAGTTTATCAACCCGTATTCGTATTATGAGTATTTTTGTATACATAGCAGCTTTATCAACAGCAGCAGCAGCAGCAGCAGCTAGAATCAGCGGGAACAGGTCCGCAAATGAATGCCTTGAGCTCCCAAAGAAGATAAATGTAGAAAATGTGGAAACACACACCAAACAAATCTATTTCTTAATACTTAATACTCTGCATGTTGGCATTTTCAATGCCACTTCTCTAAGCGCCTGTTTGCTTATGTAGCGGCATGATAAAGCATCGGCAAATACTTTTGAGATGATATCATAGGGCGGTGCGGCGGTGGGCATTTACAACAACCTAATGCCCATGCTGTTGTTCGCTGCTCTAAATTAGAGAATTTATTCGACAGCAAGTTGTGGTGACCTGTTTTCCCTTAAATTGAAAACGAAAGTGCGCCGGGCAGTCGCAGCCCTAATTACCATTGCCGAGCAGGAAAATGAAATGCACTCGACACACGCGGCACGACAATTGATAAGGGTCGGGAAAGCAACGAAAAACCCGCCGGCTTGAGCTAAATACTTTCCGTCGTCGAGTTAAATATAAACAAGTGACATTTTGCCAGCCATCCAAAATAATTGGTGGTACTTGGTACTTTCGGTGTTTGTTTTATTCGGAAAAAATGAAGTAGAAGGAGTAAAACATTAGGAGTACTTATCCAATTTAAATTTTAAATTAAAACGACTTTAAAAGTGCTTTTCAAGAAAATAATATTTAACTCGAATTCAAGAAATTAATATAAAGACAAAGTGATTCATCGAATGAATATATACTTAGTAGAACTGAGAGAAGAAATAAAATACATAAAATAAAATAAATAATTAAAATTGTAAATTAAAGCTGATTTTAAAGAGCTTAAAAAAAATAAAATCAATGAGAAGTTTTCTATTGAATTCATGAAGAGAAAAAGAAGAAATAAAATACGTAAAACATTTATAAAATTTAAATTTTGAATTAAAACTGCTTTTAAGGAGCTTTAAAACAAAAGAAAGTAGGTGAGAATTTTGAATTCAAATTATTATTTAGTTCACGAAATCAAAGATGTGGAATTGGTTGAACTTTTAAAGCAAAATGAGATCTTATGAATCATCAATGGTATAAATGGCAGTTAAAGCTTAAGAATTTAAGTCTTGGTAAAGACTAAAACATCACGTATTTGGTAGTAGTATTTATAGCATTTTCACTCATTTCGGTTGAGAAGAAGTAACTTGTTTTGGCAATCAGCATATGCTTTCGAAGAAATACATATCTCTCTGTTAATTGAGTCTTTATGACCATCTAGACCTTGTGCTTCATTAGCTAACTCGCTCTCCATATCTTTCTTAATATTCACCTTCACACAGGTATGCCAAGACAACCTGACGAGCCAGAATGATAGAATCTTAGAGCTGCGTGACATTGTGGCCAAGATCGCCGCCGATGTGGGCCTGGATGCCTCGTCCCTGATGCAGGGCGAACTGGATGCACTGGGTCAGCGGCTGGCCGAATGCAAGGATGCCATCACCACGCTGGCCAACGTGGCCGAAACGCAGGACAAGGAGCGTCGCGAACTGGACAAGGAGGTGACACTGGCCAAGGCTTACTTCAACAATGTGCAGCAGGTGAGTGAGCGGTGGGGGAAAATTAATAAAATTATGGAGCCACCATTAAAGTGGGCCATGTGGTGATGGCCAACTCCTAACCAGCTATCGATTTGGATATTTGCATGTGTTAGTTTGTGTATGGCGTGTGGGAATTCCCACACTAACTAAACACGGCTAGCCGGCAAGTGTTATTGCTGTTGTGGCTGTTCTCGTTGTTGTTAATCCAATACGAAGGACATGCTATTTTAAGTGGGTTAAAAGTTGAGAAACTTTTTGTGCACCCTGCCTGGCTGGCAACCCAAATCCACAGTGCTCCTCCACATCATTATTGATTGATAAGAGGCGTGAATCTGCTTTTTGGCAGCAGAATAAAGGGGTGTCAGGTTGTCCAGCGAATAGTTTATAAAATCGTAATTGACACTTGCTTTGATGGAAGGATGCTGAATATTTAATGACAGTATGCATATATATTATTAATCCTTTGTTTTTGGTAGTGCAGTTGGTAGACCAACTTCCGTTGTTTTCCTTTGTTTTTGGGTTTGGCGGTTATTCAATTTTATTTTGTAGTTAATGGGGTAAAAGTTTTTGTAATGAAAAAATAAAAAACAAAAAATACTTTAAATTACTTGCCTTGCTGACCGGAAGCTAAATATTTTATTTTCTTGATAAATAAACTAAATGTTGATAAGCGCTTGCTTGGTTTTTTTCAGTAATTTCTACTGTGAATAAGTTTCGAAATATTTTGCTTTTACAATCAAGCCACCATAAAATTAACGGAAGCTTAGTTACGATCAGAAAACTCTACGTTATATACATTTTAAAATAGGTATTGACAATAATAAACTTTATTGATAAGATCCATAAGACAGCCTTTGATTGGGAAACAAATTGCCTTGCCAAATTGGGCATTTGTTGGTAGTATTTTCCAGCCACTTTGCACCACAGTGGGGGCTCATTTGCATGGCACATGCCAACCAGTTTGGTGTACCGCCCTCCCATTTCCTCCACTCCCACACCCACTTCCACTTCCACTTCCAACCCAACTCCTCCACCCATCGACGCTTCAGACAATTGAAGTTGGCATGAGGTCATTGCCAGTTGGCGGAAAGAGTTGCAATGTGCCACACACAGATTGCCATTGTTGTGGAAGCCATGCACTCTGGACAGACGATTAATGGTAAACGGAGACATCTGGGCAGCCATATTAGGGTCAGGCCTATTAGCCATGCAAGAAGCTTATTAAAAACTTGACCATTTTTGATGTAAAAGTATTACAATTTGTATATTTATTTATCTGCTTGTAGGACATTTCCCGCGAAGCACCACAAAATCCAAAAGAAAGCGAGGAGCAACTGGCCGCTTTGCGTGCCCATCTCCAGACATTGGCCAGAACGGAGGAGCAACTGCGTCAGCTGAAGGAGCGTCATCAGAGGAGTAACGAGGCGACACCATCACTGCCCGGAGCCGTCGATGATGATGGCGTCCTGGAGGTTCTGGCCCTGTGGCAGAAGATATTCCAGGACACCTTCCAGGAGTACCATCGCCTGTCCACGCGACTCGCCCGCAGTCAAAACAGTTCGGAAGCCCTGCGCCTGTGGAGACAGTACCTCCAGCACGTTCAGTCCTTCCTCTCCTGCGCCATACCCGAGGACTACAGCAGTCTGCGGGAGCAGCAGCAGCTGTGTGCCATCCACCAGAACCTGCTCATCTCGCAGCAGAGTGTGCTGTCCGAGACGCCACTGGAATCGGAGCTATCGGAGCAGTACAAGGCTCTGACCAATTTGCACAATGAAACCCTGTCGCGGATCATGCAGCGCAATGGTGAACTGGAGCGGCGAGTGAGTGGCTGGAATGCCTATCGCCAGCAGCTGGCGGCTCTTTTGGACTGGCTGCGTCAACGCGAGGCGGAGCGCAATGCGCTGCAACTGCGCTACATTCACCTGAAGCGAGTGCCGCATCTGAAGAACCGCCTGGACGCCATGATCCAGCAACTGGACCAGGGCGAACAGCAGAGCAAGGCGTTGCAGGAGCAGCAGCAAGAGCTGGCCCGGCACTGTGACGACGCTTTGGCCACCGCCATGCGCATGGAACAGGCCAGCATTGGCCAGAGGATCAGTAATCTGCGGGCAGCCCTTAAGACCTGGCAGGGATTCCTGCAGCGGGTGACCCAGCTGTCGGAGACCTACGAACAGCGAGTGCACCAGTTGGAGCGGGAATTTGGCTCAGCCCAAAATATGCTGGATGCCAATCCCAGTGAATCGCTGCCCACACAACCGGCTGCCATTGAACAACTACTGGGAGCCCTGCGGGCGCAGCGGGTCCAACTGGGTGCCCAAGTTCCGGCCCTGGAGAGTTTGACGGTCACGCAAGAGGAGCTCAAGGAGTGCATCAGTCCGCACGACATGAAGACCATTCGCCAACGGAACTGGCTGCTCTGGCAGCAGCATGCCGATCTGGACTATCAGCTGGCCAACTTGATCAACTCCATTGAGGAGCGACTTTCCCTGCTGTCCAACTATCAAATTAGATACGATCGCATATCCCAGTGGCTGCAGCGTTTGGAGCAGCGTGTGGACAAGGATGCGGATGTCACGGCGATGACGAATCCCGAACAGGCAGCCAAGCAGCTGGAGCAGCAAGTAAACTCTGAGCTGCAACTGAGGGACAAGGAAAGGGAGTGGCTACTCTCGACCAGCCGGGAACTGCTCACCCTGTATTCGGAGCCAGAAGTGCGGGCCCAGGTGCAACAGCAAAGTGATGCACTCATCGATCGCTGGCAGCGACTCAAGTATTTGGCCAAGCAAAAGGCCACCAAGATTGGGGAGCTCAAAATGACGCTACTCCGTTTGGAGGAGCGCATTGCCCTGATTCGCGCCTGGCTTTTCGAAGTGGAGTCCCAGCTGGACAAGCCACTGAACTTTGAGAGCTACACCCCGAATGTGATCGAGGCCAAGCTGAAGGAGCATGAGCAGATACAGCGCTCCATCGAACACCACAGCAGCAATGTGGGTGAGGTCTTGAATCTCGTGGAGATGCTACTCAACGATGCCGACAGCTGGCGCACCCAGGTGAACACATCTGGTCTGGCTGCCTCCGCTCAAAATCTAGAGCAGCGCTGGAAGAATGTGTGCAGTCAGTCGGCGGAGCGTAAGGCCCGCATCCTGACCATTTGGAACCTACTGCAGCAGCTCATCAAACTCACTGCGGAGCATAAGAACTGGTTGGGCAAGCAGGAGAGCCAAATAGCTGGCTACGAGCGGGATCAGAAGTCGCACAGCAAGCACAAGCTGGAGGAGCGACAGAAGGAGCTGAGGGCCAAGCTGGAGGAGCTGGAAAGCCAGTCGGTGAACCTGCGCCAATTGGAGCAGATCTATGCCAAACTGACCATGAGTGCCGGCGTCGAGCCGGAGAACATCCAGAAGCTAACCCTGCCCACCAAGGTGATGGTGAGCATGTGGCGCCAGTTGACGCCACGCTGTCATGCCCTCTTGGATGCCATCGACAAGGATGCCAAGCTGATGCGCGAATTCAACAATGCCCAGCTGGAGGCCACCAACTCCCTGAATGCCATACAAAAAGCCCTGGAACAACTGCCAAGTGCCGAGGATCAGCAGAGCTCGAAGGCAGAGCCAAAGGCAGTGCTGCAACGACTGGAGAGCCTGGAGAAGAAGCTGCACGATGCCCAGCAGCATGTCCAGCAGGCGGATAACCTGGCCCAGGAGGCCAAGTCGAGAACCAAGCAGCAGCCACAACTGCAACAGTTGCTGGAACTGGTCACTGCCTATACCACCCTTTGGCAAACAGTGCAAACCCGCATTGTTACCCTCAAAACCAGTTGGGTGACCAGAGCAGCGCAGGCTGCCCTTCCAATCGTGAACGAAGCCGCCAATGCCGCCGTGCAGGTGAATACCCTTTCGCAAAGGAAACTCCGCCAGGCCCAGCAGATGCAGCGGGAAACCTCCATCACGGCCAAGGATGCCTACATCATGGAGCTGCAGACGGCCATCTCGGAGTGCCAGAACAATCTGGACGAGCTGCAGCGCACGGTGGTGGACAAAACACGCAAGCCGGGTCCCCAGAAGATAGCCAAGCTGCTGGGCAATGCCCAGTCCTCCGCCGAGCTGGTCAAGCATCTCAGCCAGCTGCTGCTCACCGAGTGCCAGGCGGACAACCAGTCTGCCCAGGTGGACACCGTGGCAGAGCTCACGTTGCGCTTCGATACCCTGCAGTCGCAGTGGAAGGCGCGACAGCAGCACGATCAAAATGCAAGGTAGCTATGCCCCTTTGAACATTTATTTACATCTTTGTTGGTATATATATGAAAGTCTTGCGAAACCCAGGGATTCTTTAGCTTATAATTGCATATTAGGGCTTTTTGTCGGTCTGCTTAACAACTTTAATGTACACTTGGATACTTAAAGGGATCTCCAGATTATAAAATGAGTTCAGTAAATATTTCCTAGCTAAATTTTAATATAACATTGTGGAGCCAAAGTGGCATATTTAAGAATTTTCTTTCCCATTTGTGTCTCAAATGCTCCTATATCAACTAATAAGAGACGGACGGCATCCTGTATAGTGAATCATATTATAACAGATGACTTGTGTTCGTAAACACTTCAATGAATTTTAATTTTAAATATTAAATAGCAGTACATCTCAATTGGAATATGTAAGAAATTTTAACTAAATGTCTTTAAATTGCTTATATAATTTATATAGATTAGTTGTCCTAATATTTTGGAGCCAAAGTGGCATATTTAAGAATTTCCTTTTCCATTTGTGTCTCAAATGCTCCTATATCAACTAATTAGAGACGGACGGCATCCTGTATAGTGTATTATATTATAACAGATGACTTGTGTTCGTAAACATTTTATTAAATATTAGTTTTGCAGAATTAAGCATAAAGTTTCCTGGCTTGGCAAGCTCTTAAAAGTATTCGGTTCGCCGAATGGAACTCCCCTTTTGGTGTTTGGGATAGTTTTTGACTAACAAATTGTTTTATTGCTTTCCATCTCGCTGTTGCCTACTTCTGTCTCTCTGTCAAAACACGCACACGCATAATCACACCCCAAAAAAAAAAAAAAAAACAAACTTACCCATGCTTAACTCGAACCTGCGCATTCATGATGACACACACACCAGGTGCCACCTACCTGCATCCTACAAGTACAACTGCATACAGTAAGTGTATCTACCTGTCGGTGGGCTGTGCTCCCGATCTCCTGCTGTTGAACTGCCCATCTGCCCATCCGATCCTCTGTTTTGTGTGGCTCTCCACTTGACAAAAGCTGGCAGCGGATCACAAATGGCCGCCAGACTCCAGGGTGGAGTACAGCAAGAGATCGGGAACTATATGCCCAAATGCCTAAGCTGAATTAAACAACTTTGGCGAGGCAAGCTAAAGCTAACAAACTGCATTATAAACCAAATTCATTACTTAGAGAATAAGCCAACTTAAAGAACATATATCAATGTTGATTTTGCAAAGAGTTATTTTGAAATGAATTTTTATCAATTAAAAGACTTTTGAAATGGCAAGCTGAATCTAACAAATTTTATTCTAAATAAACGAAGTGTGTATTGATAAAAACTACAGCTACATGCATATATCAATACCGATTTTGGATTGGTTACATTAATAGTTGCATTTTATTTCTTTATTATATCAATGAAATAACTTTGTCAAGGCAAGCTGAAGCTAACAAGTCAATATCTACCATCTGCATTAAATTGAAATTCATTAAAATCTAAATAAGCATATTCTTTATTGCTTATAACTACAAAAACAAATCAATACCGACTTTGTTATGTGTTATTTTGGATTGGTAACATTAATAGTTGTATTTAATTTCTTATCTGTATCAATTATTAATTTGTTATTTTCTAAAATGTTTATTTTAGCGAGGTCGGCCGGCTAACGTGTCCGCTCTGCACACAGCGAAACTGGCAGCAGATCGACAACGATCTGTGGCGCCTGGAGCAGTGGCTGCAGTTCGCCGAGAGCACCCAGAAGGCCCAATCAACGCCGCCCTCGAATATCGAGCTGCTCGAGGATGTGACGCAGGATCATCGCGAGTTCCTCCTGGATCTGGAGAGTCACAAGTCCATTATCTCATCGCTGAATGTGGTCGGTGATCACTTGGCCACGCACACTTTGGACACGGAAAAGGCAAGGCAATTGCGATCCCGCCTGGAAGCCGATAATGAGCGCTGGAACAATGTTTGCATCAATGCCACCAAATGGCAGGGTCTGCTGCAAACAGCGCTCATGGGCAACAGCGAATTCCATCAGACCATCGATGAGTTGGTGGACTGGCTGCAGCGCACCGAGCAGAACATCAAGGCCTCCGAGCCCGTCGATCTCACCGAGGAGCGTTCCGTGCTGGACGCCAAGTTCAAGAAGTTCAAGGATCTGCGAGCCGAACTGGAGCGATGCGAACCGCGGGTGGTGAGCCTGCAGGATGCAGCCGATCAGCTGCTGCGTTCGGTTGAGGGCTCCGAGGAGCAATCCCAGCACACCTACGAGAGGTAAGGTGTCCAGTGGGCCAGTTCCGAGGGCGGAACGAAACAATTCGTGGGTGCCGCTTAAGCTTAGGGCAGAAAAAAAGAGGGTTTTTCTATAAAGGGAAGAAGAGCCTTCAAGTTAGTTGGGCGGAAAGTAATTACAATTCTGTATTTTATGTAGTTCTGTATTTTCTGTATTTTATGTAGTTTTAGTCGGTATATTTACGGATATTGCTTTTGTAACAAATATTAGTAGTATACAACATAGTTTATTTAAAACCTGTAGGCAATTTGTTTTCCTATTTTGATATTTAGTAAAATTTCTACCCCTTGTAGTAATAAATTTCTACCATTTACCTATGTGCTGTTCTCCCCCATAAAAATGATTAAATTATATTTCGGCCTTTATTGCTTGCCTATTTAACATTCGAAATATCCCCCACATTGTCCACTTTCCACCAAAATACTTTCGGAAACTTTCCAATTAAAATTTATATCCCATACTCCTACAAAATTATACTAAAACTATTAAGCCCTTTGGAATTTTCAAGAACTAAAATCTTTATAAACCATGGTTGGTTTTTACCTAGTAGAACGTATTTCAACTATAAACCTCAATCGTATCGATCGATCATTTGTTTTTGCCTCTACACATATTTTTTGTGTTGCTGTTTATGTTGCGTATATATTATATTATTTTGTGTTGTATTTTTTGGTACTCAAAATTCTTTCGTCCGCCCATTCTAACCCTTCATCAAAACCTACACCGCCAAGGGCCTATGCAAATGTTTTAAATGTTCCAGAACCCTTTCCAGATTGACCGATCTCCGGCTGCGTCTCCAATCCCTGCGCCGTCTATCCGGCATCTACATTGTCAAATTGGGAGCCGTCCTCGGCTACGAGGGCGACAATCTTGGCGTGCCACTGCACATGTTGTCGAGTGAGGTAAGTGTCCACAGTGACCACATTTAGTAATTTAATAGCGTGGTTCCTGTTCTCGAAAGAAAAACATGAATTGTCCTAAAAAAAAAAATATTTAATTTTATTTGTTGATTTGTGAGCGCACCAGAAGTAAGTGACAACCAATTGGCAATCGAACGAGAAAATGTGGAAAATCTTGAAAACCCTTATGATTTGTATTATTTATAATTTATAATTTATTTATTTTTCTATCTTTTTCTTTATGGCAAATATAGCTTTTGGATAATACTACATTATCAACCTCTTCTATGCAGGCCGCCGCACCCAACACAGAAAATGCAAAGTAAATATCTATAGAAGTTGATTTTAAGTTTGTGTTACACATGCATTGTAGTTTTATATGAAGTTTTTAGTTAAAGCAACTTGTGCACTTTATGGTTGTAAATGAAAAGAGCACATAGTTATGACCCCTTAGTAGTTGCATGATTTTTATAGTGATTTATATACCCTTGCAGAGTGTTTATAATTTAAAGGTAAAAAATAGCAATGCATTTTGAATGCTATAAAGTATATATTCAGTATCTATTTATTATTATCTAATTATATTCAGTCCGTTTTAAACCTACCTGGATGAAACTTTCCCAAAACACTTCTATTGCAGGAAGTGTATAGGGTGCAATAGAAGCAGTCAAAAAAAGAACGTTTTAAGAACGTATAACATCGTTGTTTTTTATTTATGCGAATCGAGTTTTGATATTAATTATTTTAAAATTGGACAAATTTATCTTACAAATCTGTCATAAGACACTTTAAAAAAATTTCTTCGGTTAATCGACATAGCTTTATTGTTACTAAACATAATCATAAACAGAAATATCAAAATATAGCCGTTATATAGACTATTTTATTTATATTGTAAAATCTGCAAGAGTGTATAAACTTTGGCTTGCCGAAGCTTGCTTCCTTTCTTGTTTTTACTATTTCACATTGACTAATTGGTATTATTTTCGAATCCATAGCAACAGCGATGGCGATGCTGTCGATGGCGATGTCATCAATACCACGGTTCTGGCGCGCGGTGCTCGATTCCTAGGCCGCGTTGCACGTGCCTCCCTGCCCATTCAGGCGCTCATGCTGCTGCTTTTAGGTGTGGCCACTCTGGTGCCCCACGGTGAGGACTACACCTGTATGTTCTCCAACACCTTTGCGCGCAGCCTGGAGCCGATGTTGTCGTATCCCCACGGACCGCCGCCCACGTAGAGCGGTTGAGTTGCCATTGGATTAGTGCAATGAAACAACGAACAAAAACAAACAACAAAGAACAAGACCCCCTAACTCTATAGTACTATAATGAACAACAATTTAACCCAAAAAAAAAAAACACAAAAACCGCAGTATAAAGATGCCTTTCGTAAGCTAAATTCATGTAAAAATATTCAAAAAAAAAAAAGATAATTTTCTGTAATGAAAATGTAAGAGTTGTACATTTGTGTAGTTTATCACATTTTGTAATTGTATGTAATTTTATAGTAATTGGATAGCTAGAGGCATTAATAAACCAACCAATTTGTATATAACCTACTGAACAGAACAGAACAGACACGACAAAGGCCGAACATGAAACACAAATGAAAGAAATGAAGAAAAAAAGAAAAGAATGAACTAACTATTCAAACTAACGACAAGTAACGAAAAAGCAAAAAATCTTTTGTAAAACGATATATACATTATACATATATATTTGCACAGCAAACAATTTATATAAACATATATACCCACATATATATGGAACCCAAGAAATCTATAGAGAATCCCAACATTTTGTATATAAAAATGAATAAGCTAAAACGAAATCAAAATACGCACACGAAAATTTTACTCAGCGCACGTTTTTCCGGTTAGAGAGCAGATCTATGGCAGCAGGGAATTGTGATCAGGATCTGGCGAATTTCGTGGAACATTTTTGCAGGACCTCCTGAGCACAAGTCCTTGCTGCCATCGATGGGCTAGTAAACCAATCGCAAGACAAATCATGACCCACATAGACCAATCGCCTGGACAACTAAATGGCAACCAATGTCCCTCGTTTACTGCGCGTCTTTCTCCCAAACTCAAGGCGATGCAGTTTGCTAGAGGCATAGGTTTTCATTAGGACTCCGGACATTAAAGTTCCCTTGCCAAAGGATAAATCTACCCGAGGCCAAGTTCTCTCCCACGGCCAAGGGTTAGAATAGAAAAGCTTCAGTGCACCAGCCACAAGGACACTGTGCTTATTTCCAATCCTAAATCTACAACCTGGCAATATGGGGACTAGACATTTCAAAGCATTCCTGATACTCATTTCCAAATTACCCATAGACATTGATTGACAACATACTAGTCTACTCTCTAAAAAAAAAAAAAAAAAAATGGAAAACGTGCGCGCCACGAGCATTGAACAAAACGAAGCAAGTGTCCTATGCCGGTGCTAAACCAACCAACAAATTTTCTATATAAAGGAAAACTGTAAAATGCGTATACAAAAATGAAATGAAAAATCAAATTCATAGAAAAAAAACATAAAAAGAATAAATCTTTGAAAAAAAAATTGAAAAAATGCAATTTGCATAACAGACAAGTGGCGCAAGTCCATCCAGTAAAAAGTAACCTATTTTGTTGTTAATATTTTTTGATAAACCTAATTCTATTTGCCTTATACTTATCCAACTTGTTTATTACAACTATTGTTTATAATTTTAAAGCTTGAGCAATTATTGAGAAAATACATACATTTATTTATTAGACCTATGCGATTTATTATGTATTTAATTAAGTTTGATTTAAATGTTAAATTTGTGTACTTTGCTGCTTCTATCTGGTTATAAAACAATGAGCCGTTATCAAGTTAATATAATTTATGTAGCATTTTAAGATTTCCTTTCTTGTGAACAACTGTACCTTTATATGCATTATGATTATTAAACAAAAATTTAAATATAAATTTGAAGTCTTTGTTTTTTTTTGGAGAAAGGCTCTGTAGCGCACTTTTCAGCGCTGATAAACTGTGCAATAAAAAGCGTAGATACAAGATTTACAAAGTAATCTATGGTGTTAGTCAATAAAAAGACACTTCATTTGAAATGAAAAAGTTGCGTTCGAACCGCAGTTGTATGACGAAGTTCGAACATGGTTTGATAGTAAATAGTTTAGGACGCAACATGTTTGATGGTGGGCTTGAGTTTTTAAGTTTTCGCCGGTTGACCTTTAAAAACTTCTTTACGCATTTTTAATATATTTTATTTAAGATTATGTAGACTCAAGCGCGGCATATTCGTATCTAACAACAGTAACATACAACAGTTGATATCAATTTATTTCAATGTATGGGTTAATGCATTTCAATTGCCGCAGTTTAATTGAGCGCCGCCAGTTATTCAAGTTTAGTCTGGCCTGGCAATCGGTTGTGGTTTTGCAATGAGTCCGATTTGCTGTGCACTGTGTTTCATAGCAGGGTTTTTAGCCCTGGTCTACGTATTCCTCACCTGGAACTTCGACTACTGGAGGAAGCGAGGCATCCAGACGGCCACTTCATGGCCATTTGTGGGCAGTTTTCCCAGCATTTTCACCCGCAAACGTAACATTGCTTACGACATCGATGATATCTATCAGTATGTGTGGCACAAAGTAAACTAATTGCGTTTTATTTAAAACATTCATTCATTTGTTATTAAGTCTCTGTAAACCAGTTGTAAATTATATTATATTTGTAGGGAGTACAAAGAGACGGACAAAATAGTGGGTGTGTTCACCACTCGACGTCCCCAGCTGCTGGTTACGTGTCCGGAATATATACACAAGATTTATGCCACCGACTTCCGTAGTTTCCATGACAATGAGCGGGGCAATTTTGTAAGTAGAAGCATGTTATTTATTTATTTAATATCTTCATCTCAATAGGTGGACAAAAGGGTGGACAAAATTCTGGGCAACAATCCGTTTGTCCTCAAGGGCGATGAATGGAAAGAGAGAAGGACGGAGATCACGCCAGGACTGTCGCCTAATCGAGTGAGATTTGTATTATAATTTGTATAATAAATAATTACTGAAAAAACTATACCATACCAAAGGTCAAGGCTGTTTATCCCGTCTCGCAAAGTGTGTGCAAAAAGTTTGTGGACTACTTAAGGCACCAGGGGAGAATGGCCACCTCCACCTCCCAGGGATTGGATGCAATGGAACTGTCCCTTTGCTACACCACCGAAGTGGTTTCCGACTGCGTCCTGGGCATCTCCGCACAGAGTTTCACGGACACCCCCACACCCCTGGTGGGAATGATCAAACGCGTGTTCAACTCGTCCTTCGGATTCATCTTCTACAGCATGGTGGCCAACATATGGCCACCCATTCAAAAGTTCTACAGCGTGGCCCTGTTCACCAAGGAAGCGGAGGACTTCTTCTTTGACATCATGAGGCGATCCATTAATTTGAGGCGCGAAAAGTCGGGCCAACAACGCGACGACTTCCTCAACTACATGCTGCAGTTGCAGGAGAAAAAGGGATTGGACACGGCAGAGCTCACCTCCCACACGATGACCTTCCTCACCGACGGATTTGAGACCACGGCACTGGTCCTATCCCACACTCTGCTCTTGCTGGGACGACATCCCGAGGAGCAGCAAAAGGTGCGGCAAGAAATTGGCCACGGGGAACTGAGTTTCGAGCAGCTGACAGAGCTGCCCTACCTAGAAGCCTGCATTCATGGTAGTAGAATCATGTTTAAATGCAAGTTAATCACATACTTAGATAGCAATTTATTCTTCAGAAACACTGCGTTTGTTTTCTCCGCAAGTTGCATCCCGAAAACTGGTAACCGAACCCTACGAATTCGTGAACAAGGATGGTGTAACTTTGAAATTGAAACCAGGCGACGTGGTCATCATACCCGTGAAAGCTCTGCACCATGATCCGCAGTATTATGAGAGTCCGGAATCCTTTAGGCCAGAGCGCTTCCTTGAGGTCAACGGAGGTGTGAAGAAATATCGGGATCAGGGGGTCTTTCTCCCCTTTGGCGATGGACCGCGCATCTGTCCAGGTGGGAAATCCAGTAAAACCAAAGTAGGATTCTAATTAAAGAATCTATATATCTTTTTACAGGCATACGATTTGCACTTACTCAACTCAAGGCAGCACTGGTGGAAATCGTTAGGAATTTCGACATCAGAGTTAATCCCAAGACCCGCTCAGATGATCGACTAGATGATACCTTCTTTATGGCCACCCTAAAAGGCGGCATTTTTCTGGATTTCAAAGAGCGATAATAAAAGGGCTGATGGAGCAGAAAGTGATTGTAAAATGCTCAAGTTTTGTTACAATTTGAATTGCTGATAAGTTAATGAGCGAATAATAAATAAAATCAAAAGCAAATGACGCTGTGCCATAAAGTTGCACGTGCCTAGGGGGCATATATTTAAATAGATTATTTATAAAAACAACCAGTATTATCAACAAAATTATTTGTATAACTGATAATCTGATTTGTTAATTTTTTACTTTACCTTTTGTGGAAACATTTGTTAAATTAATTTCGGCGCGGCCTAGAAATTTTAGTCTTATCACAAAGTGGTGCCAAGTGCTTTTTATGGCGATCATTAGATGTGCTGGTGTAGGAAATTTGTTGTTCACTGGGTTCATCCCTCCACTTGACTAATTCAATTGAAATGACCCGCGAGTGAGGTTACGCAATTGAGCTTCAGTTTATTTACATCTGCGTTCAAAAATACTTCTCTATAATCAACCTTGAATATGACTTAAATTTTAATTTTTTGAAATTTACTTAATAAATAAATACAAAAAAAATACTTTTTGTGTTTTAATTTGTTTTTATGACAAACAAATTTTTATTGTCTCAACCGAACTGTACTTCAATAAAAATGCGGCTTGATTCAAGCGATACACTTAAGTGATAACAAGTGAGCCACTTCGCTCATACCTTCGCAATATTACATTGCTATCAACTTTAATTTCACCACTGTGGCCTAAAGTTAGGCAAGTTTTAAACTTGATCGCGATAGAAAAATCATTTCTTATCACAGTAATATATGTACGTTCAACATTAGTTACTGGTGGTGTAGGCAATTTAATCAATTTGTTTGCCCGGGGAATCCGTCCACTTGACTAACCCATCAAGTTCAATAAAAACGACCGAGGTTGTCCAATTGAGCTTCAGTTGATTTCCATCCGCGTTCGCGAGCGGTTGTGCCATGTGTCCGATTTCTACAGCTCTGTTCGTAGTCGCGGCCCTTCTGGCCTTGATCTACATATTCCTCGTGTGGAACTTTAATTACTGGAAGAAGCGAGGCATTCCGTCGGCCAAAACTTGGCCTTTTGTGGGCAGTTTTCCCAGTGTTTTTACCCAGAAACGAAATGTGGTCTACGACATCGATGAGATCTACGAGTATGGTTGATAATACTAATAGCTAATTGGCTTTTTACTGATAACTTTTTGACAGGCAGTACAAGAACACTGATAGCGTTGTGGGAGTATTCCAAACTAGACTACCTCAACTACTGATCACCAGTCCAGAATATGCGCACAAGATTTTTGTGAGTGACTTCCGCAGTTTCCACGACAACGAGATGGCCAGGTTTGTAAGTATCAGTGTAATAATAATAATATAAGTGAAAATATCATTAGAATACTTAATTTCCTCAATAGACCGACAAAAAGGTAGACAAGATCTTTGCCAACAATCCGTTTGTATTGACGGGTGAGGCCTGGAAGGAAAGACGTGCTGAAGTAACACCCGGACTTTCAGCAAATCGGGTGGGTTTATTTAATTATTTATTTATACTATCATTATACATCTAGAAAAATTCCTTAGTTATAGGAATAATAGACATAACATGGCTTTAGCCTAAGGTAATTCTTAGGCTAATTTTTCATAAATATATATGATAGGCTTTTCTATAAGGCCATGTTTAGTCCATTATTCCTTAAATCAATCATTTTTTTCTGAGTGTAGCTTACCCCAAACTGAGAATTTAAGTGCCTGCTATCACATTTTAATTATTGCCCTCGAGGGGGGCCTTGAGCTACATATAAATTAAAGTACTCTAATCTCTTATCGCTTGTGCCTGCCCCAAAAGGTTAAAGCTGCCTACCCAGTATCGCAGAGTGTTTGTAAAAAGTTTGTGGACTATATCAAGAGGCAGCTTTTGATGGCTTCGTCCGATGGACTGAATGCCAAGGATCTGTGCTTGTGCTACACCACCGAAGTGGTCTCCGATTGTGTGCTGGGCATCTCCGCACAGAGTTTCACCGACAATCCCACACCGCTGGTGGGAATGATCAAGCGCGTCTTTGAGCAGTCCTTTGGCTTCATTTTCTACATGGTTGTGGCCAATCTCTGGCCGCCAATCAGAAAAATCTACAGCGTTGGCCTGTTCGCCAAGGATGTGGAGGAGTTCTTCTACGACATCATGCGGAAGTGCATCGAAATGAGGCGGGATAATCCGGTTCAACAGCGCGATGACTTCCTCAACTACATGCTGCAGTTGCAAGACAAAAAAGGACTGGACACGCTGGAGCTGACCTCGCATACTATGACCTTTTTAACCGATGGGTTCGAGACCACTTCGCAAGTTCTGTCCCACGCCCTGCTCTTGCTGGGTCGCAATCCGGAAATGCAGAATAAGTTGAGGAAGGAAATCGGCACTGAAGAGCTGACCTTCGAGCAGTTGAGTGAGCTGCCCTATTTGGAGGCCTGCATTCACGGTGAGTAGTCTTCCCAATCCCAAACTATCTTTACCTTAAGTAAATACACTCTTAATTGCAGAAACTCTGCGACTTTTCTCACCCATGCTGGCTGCCCGCAAGTTGGTAACGGAGACCTACGAATTCGTGAACAAGAACGGAGTGAGTGTGAAAGTGCATCCCGGAGATGTGGTCATCATTCCGGCCAACGCCCTGCACTACGATCCTCAGTACTACGAAGATCCGCAGTCTTTCAAGCCTGAACGGTTTTTGGAGATCAATGGGGGAGCCAAGAAGTACAGAGATCAGGGCGTCTACTATGGCTTTGGCGATGGACCTCGCATTTGTCCAGGTGGGCTAACTAACTAACCAAAACAAACAAGAAAATAAAGCACTCTATTAAACATTCTTTGTTTGCAGGCATGCGGTTTGCACTCACCCAACTTAAAGCGGCGATGGTGGAAATCATTCGAAACTTTGACGTCAAGGTTAATCCCAAAACACGCAAGGATAATCGCTTCGACGATACCTTTTTTATGGCCGCCTTGAAGGGTGGCATTTGGCTGGACTTTGTGGAGCGCAAATAGTTACTCAAAATTAAGCTTTTTTGCTACCCGTTTGCTTTTTAAAATATAGAAGTTGTTAATCAAATTACACTGCTCTGACAATTTTATTTTTGTTAACACTTTTTATACTTTAATTTTGTAACTAGATGAGGGGACACTTTCAGTCCCGACTTAGTGCCAGTTGCACCAGCGGCAAGACTTTAATGGAAGACAGATCCGCCAGAATGGCTTCGATGCTGTCCAGTGAGGCCACCTGCATAATGCTTTCCTTTCTGAAGCTCAGGATAATGATGGCGAACAGGGGCAGGATCTCCAGACTGTCGAAGCCAAGGATCTGGGGGCGGTCATTAGTTTAATACCTTTTCAAGACAGAGTTTGGAAAGGTGTTACTTACCAGATCCCAAAGTACCAAGAGTTGGTCGGGAGGCAAGTGTCCAGAAAAGGCACGCATCAGCCATTTGAAGACGACTCTCAGTCTACAATAAATAGATTCAGTACATAGCGGTCTAGATAGCTTCCCTATCCCTACTCACGGCTGTATCTGTAGCTCCCGGAAATGAGACCACAATTGTGGCTCATAAGTCTGGAGCAGCTTCTCGAAGAGCAAACACAGGCTGACAATCCCCTGCGGATGTGTGTTGATCGTGGTCAGGCGATGGCAGTACCGGATGTAGAAGGCCCGGAAAGTGTAGTACAGATTCACCGGCGAATCGTACAGATAGCAGAAGGGCGCTGCAAACATGCAAATTCCGTGAAAAGGAACCACTCCCGATGGCGGACCCTCGTAACTATAAAATATATAAAAAAAAATTAAACAAAATTATAGGCAATAAGGTCTTAATACATGGAATATTAAGTAATACTTGTGGTGCTAGATAAATACCAATATGATCTACTCTTTTGTGGACAGGGCGTAATTTATTGCTAAGCACTTGGTCAAATTATTGTTTTTAGTGTATACTCACGTCTTGCCTTTGACTGGAAAGGCCTCGTATTCCACACAGCCACCGATGTCCGTGTCCCGGGAGAAGCAGAGCAGCACCTGGTAGAGCACGTCCTCGAACACAAAGTACTGATCGTCGTTGGAGGCCGTCAATTGGATGTCCTTGAAGACCAGTTTGTCCACGATGTGGTCCGTGGTCCACACGGCATTGCGCAGCTTCTGCCAGTAATCAATGTCCTATTGGGGGGATATACTACTGGTTTATTGATTCCTCCATCAAGACAGTTCCATTCATTACATAGTCATGCAGCTTGCTGTCTAAAACGGAGGCCCAAAGGGCTCCCCTATAAGGAGCTGGGGTGCAGCCCTTCTTGAGGAACTGCTGGCACATGGGTGCATGCCTGCCCTCCAGAATCCTCTGACATTGCACCGTGAGATCGGGCACTCCCAGATAGCCATCATTTCGTAGCAGATCCGCATAATGGGCACGCAGCTCAAACAGATTCTTTACAGGCAGGGCAATGTGAGAGAATTCCCACTGGGGAATTTGGCTGTTACAGAAAAGTTTTAATATTTTCTGTAAAATTCCTAAAATCTTCAACTGCTTACTCTGTATTTTCGGTGGTTTTGGCGGGTCCTTTCAGCGAGAGTAGCACCTCCAGCAGGTCCTTTGGTGCATAAACAGGCCTATAGTTGGCCAGATCTAGACTAAAAAAGTTAGTAAATTATAATATTTAAAAGTCAAAAAGTACCCACCCATATTGTAGTTGCTCAGTTCATTCCACTTAGCCATAAAGTCCTCGCGATCGGCACTGATCCTTGGTTGTCCATGCAGGGGAACCTTCAGCTCTGTGCACATGGCATTCAAACTCTTTCTAACCCTTCGATCCCAAAGAACCCCGGCCCTTTTCAGATAGCCAAGTGGATCACTAACGGTGGGTTTCTATAGGGAAATATATGAATCCAAAAATTTGAGATTTTTAATTAAAATTTTAATTCTTAAATAACACTTGAATTTTTATTTAAATTCACATTTTATTGTTTAATCTCTTTAAAAAATATAGAACTTTTGAAGGTAATAATCATTTTTCAAATTAAGTTTGTGAATTTTAAATAAAATTTGAATTTTTAAATAAAGTCTGACAAAGGTAGGCGAATTTTCGTAAGATTTAATATTAAGAACCCTTATTATAAACCCTTTTCTGACTGGTTAACTCAAGCTAAAGAATTGTACCCACCGCTGACTGTTTGCTGGTGAGACTTTTGTCATCGGGTCTGGCCAGTCGACTCCGGACCAGGTTGTACACGATGTTCCGGATCTCCGTTTCCAGGCCGGCGCTCCTGATGGCTTCCTCGAGGGTGTTGCGCATATCGTGGGTGTCCACGCTGGGACTGCAGACCAGCTTCTGCAGTTCCTTGTAGATGGGCTCGTAGCTCTTTGTGTTCTTAATGGCCGCGATGACCTTCGCGGTCATGTGATGGATGCTGGCATCCTGCAGCTCCTCCATCCTGCGATCCTTTTAGCCAACCGTTATGTGTAGCTCTCCGCGTCTAACTAATAACTAACTATTTACACCGTTCTGATTAGCCCCAAAGTTGGCAGGCGCATTTCGTTTGACTTTTATTGATCAAACTCCGTCGCCTGCTTTGATTTGCAGTCCATTCCTTTCGATTCGAGTCGAGTTGAGTCGCATCCTCGGCTGTCGTCGCTTCTTGGCGACGGAATGCAAACACTTGTTTGGCTGCAAGTTTTCAACGAACTACGCCCCTCGCAACCAAACACAAAATTCCATTATGTTTCGTTTCAAATGAAAACGGCTAATGCTAAGGCAAAAGCAAAGGCAAAGGCGCGTGAAATTGCTTTCCATATATTTTTCTGAGTATATATGTATAGTGAGTGGCGGCAACTTTTTCTTGGCATCTGTCATCGTGCCCGACGAGTTGTTGACATGACTGGCGACGGTGCTCATTCTGTTGATTGCAAAGGTGGGCCAAACTTACCTGCACAGAAGCAATTCAACTTTAAAATGAGATTTGGCCAAAAATAGGTTTTTTAAATGTTCCACTTCAAAATGTAGCAAAAATAATAAAGCGATTGTGCTCTTGCATGGATTATATTTCGTATTGTAGCCGTTGTAAGTCAATATTATAAGAAAGCACCAAAAATGAGCAAGAGTTACAAAATTATAATATTCATAAAAAATAAAGAACCTAAAGATTGAACAGAAATTCAACAAAATGTTGCTTAAATATATAGTTGGTGCTACTTCTGTTTTTTGGTTGGTTGTTTGACTTTTTCCAGGAAATGCTCATATGCAAATTTAATATCCATAACCCAAAAAAATTTAATCTACAAATCGTTGTCAATAGTGTAGTTCCAAAACCTAATAATTTATTGTTTAACAAATAAAATAATAGGAAGCAGTTAAAAATGCATAGTAGTAGGGATATTATTAAATGATTTACTGTTTTTTTTGTATGTATATCTTTATTGAGATCCTTTTCACAGAATTAATTAATTCTTGGTAGTTACAAAGGGTTATCAAACCTACCCAACTCGTCTTAACTTTCGGAGTTTTTATCAAGTATTCTTTCTATGATATCATCGTTCAAAAATGTTTGTCCCTTCAACTGACGGTTAAGATGCAAGTAGTTTTTACCCATGGCATAGGGCGGGCTCTTGTTGGTGTCCAAAAAGTATCTTCCCCTGGCCCTGCATTCAAATAAAATTTATCAAAAGTTAAAAAAAAAGCGGTTATTCTACTCACTGCGGGTTCGCGTGGAAACCCATCGTCTCTATATCGTTCTTGGGGACGCAGACACCCGTCGCGAAACTTTTGAAGTTGGGACAGAAGTAACCAATGAATCCGATAGGTGTTGTGATGGATTCCGCGTAGTATTCCGCCGATCGGTTGTGGTAGCAATAATGGGTGTCCACTAAAATGTAAAAAGGGAACAGCTTTAAAACTGTATACGAGCTGTTTTATTTTAATTTTTTTTTGTTTTGAACACCTATCCAAAATTATTTGTGAATGCCAGTTTGTTGGAAATTTTATGACGAATTCAACGATGTATGGCATTCCAACATTAAACCATTATATTCCATAGTTTTGATAAAAAAACTAAAATTTAAACTCATTTTTTGGAGGTCGCCAATTTTAGCATTTTTTATAAGGGGTACCATCATCATTTTTTTCGAAATTTGATCCAACCCAAAATTTTTGAGCTGTGAATGCCAGTTTGTTGGAAATTTTATGACGAATTCAACGATGTATGGCATTCCAACATTAAACCATTATATTCCATAGTTTTGATAAAAAAACTAAAATTTAAACTCATTTTTTGGAGGTCGCCAATTTTAGCATTTTTTATAAGGGGTACCATCATCATTTTTTTCGAAATTTGATCCAACCCAAAATTTTTGAGCTGTGAATGCCAGTTTGTTGGAAATTTTATGACGAATTCAACGATGTATGGCATTCCAACATTAAACCATTATATTCCATAGTTTTGATCAAAAAACTGAAATTTAAACTCATTTTTTGGAGGTCGCCAATTTTAGCATTTTTTATAAGGGGTACCATCATCATTTTTTTCGAAATTTGATCCAACCCAAAATTTTTGAGCTGTGAATGCCAGTTTGTTGGAAATTTTATGACGAATTCAACGATGTATGGCATTCCAACATTAAACCATTATATTCCATAGTTTTGATCAAAAAACTGAAATTTAAACTCATTTTTTGGAGGTCGCCAATTTTAGCATTTTTTATAAGGGGTACCATCATCATTTTTTTCGAAATTTGATCCAACCCAAAATTTTTGAGCTGTGAATGCCAGTTTGTTGGAAATTTTATGACGAATTCAACGATGTATGACATTCCAACATTAAACCATTATATTCCATAGTTTTGATAAAAAAACTGAAATTTAAACTCATTTTTTGGAGGTCGCCAATTTTAGCATTTTTTATAAGGGGTACCATCATCATTTTTTTCGAAATTTGATCCAACCCAAAATTTTTGAGCTGTGAATGCCAGTTTGTTGGAAATTTTATGACGAATTCAACGATGTATGACATTCCAACATTAAACCATTATATTCCATAGTTTTGATAAAAAAACTGAAATTTAAACTCATTTTTTG